GACATCCAACGGCAACGTAATGGTCTTATCGGACCGAATTTACATTGCCACTAAAAGTAATAATAAATGGATTATGGGAAAGAAAAGTTCGTCTTTTCTAGACCATTAATACACACATTGCTTTTTGAAATTGAGAGACATAACAATCGAATATTAAATATAATTCTTTATAATTCTTCTTTTATCTTCTTCTAATCTGCAGAAATCTCTTTTAAACCACGAAACTTGAAATTTACTACTAATGTAGGATCCAAATTCACTATTCGGCTTGACTCTGGATTTCGATTTCGGATTTCGTTTATTCGACGAAGAGTGAATCTACCACTGCATTCGAACCGAATCTGGGAGTAAAAGGATCAAACATATACGGGCAGGGTTTAGTCTAGAGGGAGGAGGAGTGGTTATGCTCGGAGCTGGTTGACCTCGTTTAGGACCGGTAAAAGCATAATACGAATAAACCGCGTCGCGGGGCGCTACCTGGACAAAAAGCAACGAATGTAAATCGATTCCGCGCGTTTCGTCTAATCTCGACCACATTTAAACACGATTTTTTCAGCGTTTTCAGTATCTGCGTACAGTTACGCGTACAGTTACGATTTGCTGTAAACGTATTGAACCACACAGATGGAACACATTTTGACTCCTCATTCAAATTCAAGGATGCTTCGCAAATGTATGCTAAGTCAGAGATTAACGGGTTTCCGTAAAAAGACCTGTCTGTCAAACGTTGAAAAAGAAAAAAAAACTAGGATACTTTGATACGACACGTGATTGCGCCCTTGAAATATGAAAGGCCAACGGGCCAATTTAACAGGCTGTTAACGGCGAATCGCGGTCGATCGTGATTGACGAAGAAACGAAAAGCACCCATTTTACTCGCTGCAGAATGTTCCTTCCCGCGAGCTTTCGTCCATCGCGAATGTTAACCCATTAATGCCGGCTGGGACAGAAATTTCGCGTTGATTTCAATGTTATGAATTTTTATGAAAATACTCGAAAATTTTAATCAAGGTACATGACTAGGGGTTTTGGAGGTCGTTCCTTCCGAATCCGCTGCGAGAATCATAAAAAAATGAGTGTTTGTATTGATTTGTAACGGTTTTTTCCAAAAAATGCGATTTTTTCTCGTCAACTTTTTTTAAATCATGGATTTCATCTTGATAGAAATGTTGAATATTATTGCAAAGTACTCTAATCGTGTCCTCGAGACTTGTACTTAAAATATATGTGGTTCTGAAATTTTTTGTAATTTAGTAATTTCAATATGGCGACTATATATGCGTGTATCACCATAGATATCGTCGGATCCTTGGGAACTCGGTCGAATGACTCGTTATGAGTGCATTTTTATGAAAAATTATCCAAAATAAAAGTTGTTCCGTTGATCGAGTTCTTTCACGTGATAGGCCCCAAATTTGGGTCCGATGTACTTTTTGAGCCTAACGGGGAGCCCAACGTTGATTTGTTGGTGCAAAACTTATATTTTTTATTACAGATCTGAAAAGTACAGAAAATTTTATGTCCAGATATGTATTTTTGAAATTACCAGTCTCGAGGACACGATTGGAGTACTTTTCAGTAATACTCAACATTTTTATCAAGATGAAATCCATGATTTAAAAAAAAATTGACGAAAAAAAATCGCATTTTTTGAAAAAAAAACCCCGTTACAAATCAATACAAACACTCATTGTTTTATGATTCTCGCAGCGGATTCGGAAAGAGCGACCTCGAAAACCCCTAGTAACGTACTTTGGATTAAAATTTTCGAGCATTTTCATAAAAATTCATAACATTGAAATCAACGCGAAATTTCTGTCCCAGCCGGCATTAATAGGTTAACGCGGAATGCGATGTTTCTTCTGAATTCTTCATCATAGATACACCGCACGCGCGCAAGTTACACAACGTTTACGATTCATAGCACGTTACTATAATTTCACGCCGAGTCATTGAGCCTAGAAAATTTCCGAAGAGGCGTTCTCCTCTCTTTCGGTAGGCCCATGCGAGGGAAACATTGTTGTGTCGGGATTTTATATCCCGAGTGTTTTGAAATGCAAAGTGCCCGGGGAGGGTTTATTCGAGAATAGAACGGTTCCGGGTCGCAAGGCGGGAACCGGTTTAAGTTGGAGCAGGTATACGAGCTCCATCACTTTCGGCGCCGTGGACGCGCGTTTATAAACCACGCCACGATGAACTGAAATATAAAATCGAAATAGGGAACAGCGTCTTTGTGTCGTGCGACGTTTACACGTACGAAAGGGGGCGAAAGCGCTCGCCGAAATATGACGCTCATCCGCGTTTGTCTCGCAGACATCCTGTTCCCCATTTAGCCGCATCAGGAAGTACGTACTATGATATGACTCTTCTCATTTTTCGAGTAATTATGTGAAACGCTCGCTCATCCGCTACCGGCTGACCCGACTGAAACGCTCGAGCTGATAAAGAAATTCCGTATTAAAGGCGGTAACTACTTCTGCCGAGAACCGATGAAATCACTTCCTCGTCGTAGAGACACGCGCGAAAGTTGAACATTGGAAAATTATGCTCTTCACGATCTCTCTCGATCGATTAAAAAAGAACACTGTACTTAAGAGGGCATTTAACTATGTCTTAGCTTTTAATTTGTCTCAGCGGTTCCACGGGATCAAAATTAAAACGTCACTCGGACGCGATAATTTGGGGGGGTCTTCGTGTAGCGCGATTATATCTCCCGCGGGACGCTGTAATCTCCGTGAAGTCTCAATGCGTCCCGAATAACTGGCATTAGCTAATTATCATCTCGCACTTGACCCATTAAGAGCCTCTCGTCTTTCGACTGCTCACGAACGACGACTATCCCGCGATCTCGAGCGAACGGGGTTCGTCTCTCTCTCTCTCTCTCTCTCTCTCTCTCTCTCTCTCTCTCTCTCTCTCTCTCTCTCTCTCTCTCTCTCTCTCTCCTCTCTCTCTCTCTCTCTCTCTCTCTCTCTCTCTCTCTCTCTCTCTCTCTCTCTTTCTCTCTCTCTCTCTCTCTCTGTCCCCCAGGTGATCCTTCGCGCTCCGTCGAAATTCCCAGACGTCTTACGGTTAGCGGTAAGTTTAATGGCCGCAATGAAGCGACGGGTTAACAGTAATTATTGCAGTACCACGAAAAGAGAAGCGCGACTCGCGCCATAGCGGGAAGTACGCGTATGTATCTACCGTCCGTAATCATGGGAGACCTTGTTATTTCGCGTCTCCTCTCGTCAGGGTCTAGTGTGCGCGGACTCTGTTTTCGCGTCCGCGTCTACGCGAGCGCGTACGACCGCGAGTGATCATTTCGCTCGCGTTTCTCTTACACACGCTGGCGCTATTCGTTCGTTGCCGTGGGAAGTAACGTGAGAGAAGCGCCGACATTTATTTCACGACACACTAAGCATTTTTCTTTGTGCCTCCTGTGTGATTCACTAGGGGACGAGACTAGTTCATCGCGTGTACGCTCGACATTACGTCTTTTTTGCGCCCGGACGCACCGCCGCGCCGCTCTAAACAAATCCAATTGTTCCGCGACTCGCGGCTTTAAAGCGTTAGAGCGTAAGCTTGGCCTATTCATTGACGGTACGATAATCATCGTTCATAGTGGAAGTGCCACTTGTGACTCGCTTAGCTTCAAGGAAGTAAGGATTTCTCATAGAACAAGACCTCTTGACTCTAGCACGACGAAACGGGCGAAACTCTCGGTGAGCTTCTAAAGAATCTCCCTAAAGAATGTCCCGTTACCGATTAAGAGTCATTAAATTAAGAGACCGGTCTCATAATTATTCAGTTCTGAATTGAGGAAACAATGAAAATGCAAGCAAGATAAGTCGCCAAAGTGGTCGTCAAAGATTATACACAACGGATAGAAAACCGCAGGCACTCTTCACTCTGAGACCCTTTGAGATTAAAGAGCTCGAGTGTCCGTGATACTTAAAACCCATTTGATTCCTTCGGCATTGAGCCTCGCCTTGCTCTCCGCTTGGCATGCCACGGCGCGGCGCGGCGCGCCACGCTGCGCGTCATCTCAATGGAATGAAACGTCTCGACAAGGTCTGCCTGTGCGAGCGTATACGCTTCAAACAAGGAAACTTCTTAGCGTACTAGATGGTTTGTTTTCCGTGTACGAATATCAGCGGATTTACTCTCTTTGATCTCTCGGCGGGATACGCAGCTGCGTAGGCCACATCGTTAATTTACAACTCTAGGTCGCAACCGTTTTATTATGCGGTTACGTATGCATTTACGCGCCAACGGTTAGTTTCTAATGATTGCAATATTATCGTGAGCTCATGATTTATTCAAAGCCGTAGCAAAAAAATTCTCGCGAATCTCGACCGAACAAGACCTGATCTTTGAACGTGATAGTGAATCTTGATAAATGAAATTTCTCTCTCTCTCTCTCTCTCTCTCTCTCTCTCTCTCTCTCTCTCTCTCCAATTGTAGTTCATTTGAGGGGATCAGAGCATCTTAGGCATCGCGCTTGATTAACTATTAAGTAATTTCTAGTCAACAAAGACAGACAAACGAACGAGATGGACGATCGACGAAGTGATAAATTAGTGTCGAGGCTGTTACAGAAACGAAGACTTCGTTCAATTCGACGGACTTTAAATCATATTCAGAGAACGAAGCAACCCCGCGGCACCTCATGCATGGCCCACGGGCGACAAGCTGTTTAGTATATATGTACATCTGCTCTACGCTTGTCGCGCTGCCTCGTCGCGAAGATATGCCCGGATGCTCCAACGTAAGTTGGAGTGTAATTTGCATTTTTTTCGTGAAAACAACATACGTCTTCTCACGGCAGTAAATTCTTCCGCGATTCTCCGCTTAGAAGCGCAGGAGCCAGCCGTGAAGCATGTTTCTCCGGACGTTAGTCCGGATTTTTACTTGACCGTGCAGGACGCAAGACAGGCTTTTCATACGCGAATTTCCAAGGCGCAAAGACAGGAACGCAAGAGATGTAACGGATCAACGAGATTGGCAACGGTACTTTGTACCTGGTTCGCGAGTCCTGCATGCTAATGGGACATCGCCGTGCGTCGCCGTCTTGAGCCTTCGTCCTCGGTGCGCACGTGATATCCTACGTTCCGGTGTTGCCGCGAACTGCGATCGATATCTCGCCGGCGATAAGGTTCATCCACCTCGAGGCATCTGCGATAAGCGGACGAATACTTGTCAATACCGTAAGGATGGATCCAAGAATTGCCGAAGTGACATCACCGCTGCTGCAACAACGCGAAAACATCAGTGAATTACTGTTTTGTACAGAACAATATTATATTAATTATATAAATTGCTACATTGATGTCGTATTTACCTTCAATGGGATCATTGATCTCTTTTCATCTTTCATGGCATGGCGTTCTCCGCTTTTTTCTTATCGGAGGATCGTCACAAGTATCTTGATTCATTTCCGGCCGCAACTCTCTACGCAAAAAAGAATTATCGATAATACTTTTACATATCACTTGCTAATGATGGGTGCGGACCAGAGGCCATCGCTGCCGCTGGAATAAAACCGAGACCGGAAGTGAGGCAATTACTCAGTCGGCCGGGCAGCTCCAGTCAATTGTCCCGATTGTGTTCGCGGTAGCTACCGCCGACGCTGCGGACAGGAAAATGTACTCACTCGTTTCGTTTTGACTTCAACGTTCATCAACTGTAATCGCTCGTTGGCGACAGCTAGATGGCTGTATCGTGAAGTTTTTTTCAAAGAGCGCTTCGAGAAATGTCATTAGCCAAATTTCAAATGCACCTCTCGCGATCAAGTCGAGAGACTGAATCGCGTGGAAATCCGGAAATTAAATCTGCGAATCGGTTCCCAGCAAAGTTACGTGCACGCCGTTGGTCGACGTACCGACCGAAGAATCGAACGATTGACTATTTCACCTCTTTCCTTTCAGGGTGATGATGTAACGGGACTTTCGCTGTCGCTGGGCGGTGAGGCAATAATGTCCACACAATGCAACCGCTTCGTGCAAAACGCCTGGAAGAAGGAGCTCTGTTCGAATTGTTTCAAGCCGAAAGAGGAGCACGCGGCGGCTGACGAAATCTTGAGGCTCAACGTCGAGAAGGCTTCCACAAATCTGAAGATCGATCAACTTCAACTGCAGGTATCGGCTCGCGAGATCTATCTTGTTTAATTACTTGTATAATATTTGTGCAAGTTTTTGGAAAGTCGCTTGAACAGTTCATTCATTTCCGCTTTCGTAATATTTACAACGAATAGATATTTCATATATGTCACTCGTCATTTCATCATTCACAAATTGGCACCTCGTGCGTCACAATTATCGCTGGAGTCTGCACAAGGTCGATGGGTAGAACGAAGGGTATGATACTGCACATTGCGTAACTACTTCCAATTAGTGGGAGACCATTACTAACCAAGCGTATTAGAATATTCCCCTACTATTGTCGCGTCGCCTTGTAACGATACTCGTCGTGCGCTTGTTTCCACAAGATGATTCTTGCAGAGTATCCTACGCGGCAAGGCGGTCTGTCGTAAGGACCAACGGAAGAAGAACGTTGGTTTCCCCGAGTCGCTTACCGAGATCATCGGCTACGGCGGCGATGATTTCTTCTCTGACGGTGGAGAGAACAACGATGGGTTCCAGGTCGACTCGGGAGCGAGTCCGGACGACGAAGCGCCGGACAGCGAGGAGGAACGCGCGTTGGGCAACTTGACCCGCGCGAACACCAATTTCAACACGATCACCGCGAATCTGACGGACCTGGGGAGCAATGGCTCGAACGAGACGATCAAATCGTCCACGACGACGCCTCCGAAGTCCTTCGCTTCCTTGATGCTCGGCAGAATACAGAGAGACGCAGATGGTAGGAAGACGACCCTGCTGGTGTCGGTGACTCCCTTCGGCGGAGACGAGTCTGTGCCTACCGCGAAAAGGCCTATCGATCGAAAGATCAATACGATCAACTTGCAAAGCAGTCCGTTCAAGTGCAAGTCTAGCAATGGAGGATTGTCGGATAACACGGCCGAAGTAAGTATACAATGCGAGAGAATTGTAGGGAACGTGAGTTTTACCTTGACTTCTCTGCTTCTGTCTAGTTGTTCCTTTTGTTGACATTAGAACTATCAATTAGCGCGACCCATTTCTACCGGAGTGGTCGAAATGGGTCAGGTTTTAAAATAATACAATAAATAATAATAGTAAATAAATATAATGTCCTCACACATGCAAGGACAAAAGTATTTATTTCTTTCAATTTCGCTTGACATCTGTTAAAAATATAAAATGCATCGTTATTTAAATTCTGAGTGATTTTCATAAGAAATTACTAACCGGTCATTTTGCGCCGCTTAATAGTTCTGGTGTTAATTAGCACGGTTTTAATTTTCACACTTTCGTGAGATCTAAATATCAGCTGAACAAATCAATTTGTACTCGCATGTCAGCTCAATATATATCATATTGAAGTTTACAAATGATCATTATTGTCCGCTGTAAATAAAAGAAACTACATTTTGCGCAACAAAGAGCCGTCAAGCCTTTATTTCGAGCTTGAGAATTATCGACAAAGTCGACGACGAGGAGCTCACGAAACAAAAAGTAAAGAAATGAATTATCTGGCTTTTGTCTGACATTCTCGCCGATCATGTTGAAGGCCGCGAAGAAACTCAACGGAGCGGAACGCAAGAAGACCGATGAACAGGAACAGAAGCATTCTCCGGAATTGGAGAAGATCATGGACATGCCGTTGATTACATCCGCGAATATGATCTCCGTCGTACGGAAGGAAAGCACGACGGGCACCGCCAATGTGCTGGACGCGGAGAAAGCAGCGGAGATGACGCAGAGATGCGCACAACTCTGCAAACCCGACAAGAGAAACGCCGTCCTCCCCCGCAACAGCGTTCCAACGGTGAAAAAGACTGAAGCCGAGGCGTCAAGGATACTCGCGCAATCCGGGAGTGTGGGAGAAAGCGACTATGTAAAGAGGACGGTAGCGAAGAAGAGCGAGTGTCCGAAACGCGAAGAGGAGGCGGAGGGGGTCGAGGTCGCCTCGACGCCTTCGAAGAACGACGAGGCACCGGAGAGCGATCGTTCGATGAACGTCGCCGGCAAGGACACCACCAACGACACCGACAACATCAAGGTGGACTCGTTGCTGCGAGAGCGCGAGGTCGACGGACACTGCGAGGACATGAACGAGAAGAAATTCTGCTTCGACAGCAGTCGGGAGCTCGCGGGAGAGCCAGACGGCAAGGCGGATGAGGAGGAAGTGACGGAACCGCCGGCGCTGCCAACCAGCCCGCCGCCGATTGTAACCACCGAGCCCAGACCCTCTTTCCTGCATGGCGGCGTTATTAACGATTCGAAAGCAAAGCCCGCGGTGCCGCAGAAGCCCCTGACCTTTTCCGCAAAGCCGAGCTCGGCCGACGCTCTGCTCACTGTGAGGAAAATTTCCAACGGTGATTACGTGCTGCCGCCGCCGTCGGTTCAAAATGTCGCCAGCAGACCCGCCGTTCAGAATTTCAGTGAGTATCGCGCGACTCTCCGCGCTGTGATATTCGTCTAGACATTTAGCGGCTGAAAGAGACGAAGAATATTAATTAAAGCTTGTTATAACCGTGGAATTTGTTCAAACATATCATTTGTTTTATCTGGCTTGTCTGACTTAATACGTACCATCGTAAATCTGTTCCCGGACTTTTGTAAACATTTCGGTTGTTCTTCTCCGTACAAAAAGTGAACTGGAATGTTCACAAAATGTTCGGAAACAATTGCACGGTGAACGTGCAATATCCGGAAGCCAACTCAAGCGTTTCTTCACACCGCGGAAGTTTGAAACATCAAATCATCACTTCCGACAGATTGTTATCTCGATCATTAATCTGTGATGTCGTTACGATGTATGCTCTGATCTTTTTGCAGGCGCGCAAGAGATAGGCTTGCGACGTTCGTTGAAGAAGAATAGCTCGAACGAAGTCGAACAGGTCTCCTCGAATGCGAATCCAAATGCGGCGGAATCCGAGGGCCGGGCAAAAACGCTGTCAAAGTCTACCTTTACGCCGTTATCCACCTCCACGATAACCTCGTCGACGCTGAGTCTGTCGAAGAATTCGACGGAGAACGGGGAAGTGGTGGATGAGAATGTTGCGGTAAACGAAGACTTCGCGGAAGTGACTCCGGTTTCCGTGTCCACCATGGAGCTTGTACGCTCGCCGAACAAGAGGAGGATGGCGCCGCGGCCGCCGGCCGTGGAATCCACGGAGGAATTACCAATCTCTTCCCTGTTCGCCAGGAACCCGGGAGCATCGAACTTGAAGTCCGACTCACCCGTCGTGCGCGAGAAGGAAAAGCGCGAGAGATCGTCCTCGTGCAGCCCGAAGTTCCGCAAGGCGGTTTGCGACCTGCCGGACCCGACGAGCGCCAGCACGAAGCAGACGGTCGAGTCCACTTCCAGAAGAACAATATCCCTGTCGCAGGACAGTTTAACGACCGAGAAGGAAGTGCGAGAGGAGAAGAAAAGGACCAGAAACCGGAAGGGTTTCTCCCTCAAGAGGTTCCTAAGGATGGGTTCGAGGAAGGATATGGACATGATCAGCGGGCAAACGTCGGGCGCGAGGACTGACGAGATTCCGTCGACGCCGCAGCCGAAGCCGCGGCTGGAGATCATTCATCCGCTGGAGTTAGACGGCGCCGCCGTGGAGGTGGTGGGAAATGACCGAGTGACCGGTAGTAAGATCGGCGAGGACCAGACCGACTCCTGCGGTGTCAGGAGCGATGGAACAAGAGCTGCGCGATTCCCGCCGCCATCAGCGGGTAAGTGTAAACGCTTGAAACGCGATATCGGTGTGAAATCTTGAAATCGTCCCGCGACGCGAGAAAAAGAGAAGAAGATAGAGAGAGAGAGAGAGAGAGAGAGAGAGAGAGAGAGAGAGAGATCGGCAATTTTAAACCGCGTGTTACAGCGAGGCCCGGGAAACCTCCTCCGCCACCGAGGAATCAGTCTCTAGAGGACTGGTCCAAATTGGACCCGGCGAACAAGCCGGTTAGGCCGCCGCCGCCTCGCGCGGAAGCCACGAAACTGAACGTCCCTGCCAGAACTGACAAGACATCTTCCAAATCTACCTGGAGGCCAACAGCCACGACGACCTCGGACTCGATTTACGCGAATCTGGGTAAGTTCAGGCCCATACAGTGCAACTAAGTGATCATCGCGACCATTTTCGATGTTAACAGCCATACTCACACGAATCCTCGCACCAGCCGCTTAAAGAGAAAAGGAAAAAAAAATACAAAAGTAAAAAAAATAAAGAATACAAAACGAGAGAGACGTCACCTCGCTTGTGCGGGTACAGCGATCGAGCCACGTGACACCGGATGATAATACTTAACTCGGCGTTCGCGGAGGGAGGACGAACGATTCTCTTCTCTTAATGAGTAGCAATTGATGAAGCGACCGCGCGTCGCGCTTGTCCGCGATTGTGCGTTATACACGCTAGAGGCCGGAGCTTTTAAGATTCTAAAGAAGCGCTAAAAGATCCCGCTCGGAAGGTCACAATATTCTGTGATACGTGTTATATCGATAATAATATCTCTATAATACTTTTATTCTTTGGAAAAGAATTTACTTCCATTATTCTCGAAAATGACTGTCAGGCACGGGTATTGTTCCATGTAGTAGTATTTAGCACCATATAGACCGGAGAGTGCGTTACGGCTTTTTTATTCTTTTCTCTCTTTTTTTTTTTTATATGCTGGTTTTCCGAAGAAAACCGTTCGTTTTTTCGCGACTTCTTGCAAGTTTCGTAAGTAACCTTCGACGGTGAGGCTGCAGCAAATAGTTTGAGAATGGCTGGTCAAGCAAAGTGCGTTATCTATTTGTTGTATACTTGTCGACTTTTCTTGTAAAGATACACGAAGAGTGCAGCAGCGACGAAAATTTTTGTACGAAACATCTGTGTCTGAAATAAACGTATACTGTCTGGAAAAGAAAATAAATCACGGAGTTTTGTTTCCTTTCGATTATATGCCGTATAACGTTGCGGAAAACGTATCCCCTCGATGCTGTGGCTTGTTCGTTGCACCTTCGCATTTATCCCCTCATTAACGCGAGAACAACGGTCGCGTCTATCGCGCTGGCAAAGGCGCGACTACTCAAGCGTAACTGTATGTACACACACACACATATACACACACACAACATACGTACATACACACCGCATCGTGTTCACGTCTCTCTCCGTTTTCTTGTCTCCCTCTGTGATAGTTACGTAACGGTGCGTACCGCGTGCCACCACAGGTAACGTTTGTTGACGTTACCGCGCGTGAATACTCCTAACTGACGCTGGGTGCAACTAACGCCGCATGCATTGCATGCACTTATTGCGTATTGGCATCGTATACCCTTAGAATTTAAGTTTAGATCATGTATGCTTGCAACGCCGAAAATCCTCGATCTCACTCGGGAACCCATTGTTGTGTGTGATTCTTGTTGACCTGTTATTTCCTTTTTTTTATCTGTCGTACAACAGCTTCATAACGATAGAGTTTCGTCGACGATAAGTATCCTTGTGTGGTTTATACGTATCAGTGCTGTCAATGGCTACCTGGATCTCCAATTATTTTAAATCCATGTGTGCAATCGAATATATTATTATATCCAGAGAATCTTTTATCTCATGTTAAATTTTATCGCTCATTAATATCGGTGCAAAAACAATGTGCATGAACAAACATTAATCTGTCACAATGTTACAATGTGAAAATAATCATCAACAGAACTTGTTACTTCAGCACCCTGTTTACCGCGCTCCAGTATTACCTGGAGATTCAGGTAGCACGAGTGACTCTTCGGGTGTTCAGATTAACGATGTCCCATCAATGTCGAAAGCATTAATAATTCTCAAGTATTATCCATCAAATCCGGTAACCGTAAAAATACCTAGTCCACCCCCCGAAAATGCTAATTTCTATATCATTCAAAATCGATTACCGGAAACTATCCGACTATGTCTCGACCACCCATCTACATACAGACACAGACACACATAAATCGTCTCCAACACATGTGGGACACGCGCGATGGGTGAACTAATCGTCATTTTAGTCACTCTCATGAGATGTGACACGAATGTTCCTCCTATAGTATCCTAGAAGCGCTAGGCGAACTAGTGTTTAGATAGCTAGCCTGTTTCGTGACATGCCTTGTGTCTTGTGGTACTAACCCGTGGCGTTTGACGATGGCGGACGTGCCTGCAGCAGCGGAGGATGTTACAGGTGAGGTACGCAGCGCTCTGGCACCCTCGAAACCCCAAAGAACTGCCAGTATGAGAGACCGAGTCATCTCCCAGCTTGTCCCGAAGAGGCATGACAATCAGGAGCATCAGGATTATGACGGGCTCGCGACCGTGCGACCCACTTCCGACTCGCCGGTAACAATCTCTTCGTCGAGTCCGCTTCACAGCGTGGATGCGAGCTTATTAAGTACATCGCATGTATTTGTATTTCCCGGCAGACGTCCAACGATAGCCACGTGTACGAATGTCTCTCCAGCTCACCCGAGTGCGACTCAAATCTCGAGCTACGACACGGGGTCGGCGTCGGAGGCGGATTCCGCGCTGCCTGCAAGAGGAAGTCGGATAGTAGCGCGATGGAGAACGGGGCGGAGATGAAATTCCATCATCAGCCGTTCGTCAGGTCGACCTCATTGCCGTACTGCGGCAGCGAGACCGAGAGCGAGCTTTACGCGCCGTACACCTTTTACACGGGCGATGAGGTACACTGTCGGAGCTTGTGCTTGTATTCTAACGTGTAATCCGCCCGTTATATGTAAGATAAATAAATGTAGAAACAAACCTAATTGGATGCTTGCGAAATCAGGGTGCGGAGGAGGATCAGGACTGGAAAAGCAGGGACGACGAGCCAAGGATGAGTCGCCTGAGGCAACGCAGAGGACGTAGCATCGTTCACCGAAGCCTCGAGGATAATTACGGAGCGGTGGTCGTGGCGAATCACGAAGCGCTCGCCCAATTCCTCGAGCAGGTACGTTACGTCGTTTATTATTTTCTGCGGATCGATGAATGTGAGTTATTTTCAGTAAACATTTACACGTCAAAAGTTGGAATTTTCCCACGTGATGCTGAATAATAGTGGGAAAACAACTCTCTTTACTATATCATATGGTTCTGTCAGTATAGATGTAAGACAATTCTATTTATTTGTAGCGCGATAGGATAAAACATTCAATAGCGGATACTCTGCCAGTTTTCAACATTCTTCTGCAAATTTCATTAAATATTGTGTATGACCTATTTATGGATTATTTATTTATATTTTAATCTCCATATACTTTAATATTTAATAAAATCCGCAGATGAATGCCGAAAATGAATGAACCAGCTATTGTAGATCTATAACTTTTAAGAATGTCATTATCGTCGCATTATCGTTGTGCACAATGACATGTATGGTAAAAAAAAAAAAAAAAAGTACGCGACACATAACGAGAACACTTTCGTTAAAAATTATGGAATAGAAGGTCTATTGGATGTTTTCACCCTAGTAACATAATCTTAAAATATTATGACTATGATCGTACCGAGTTTATAAAATATGAGGCTTCGCTTTGTTACAGGAAAATCAAATGATGCAGTTGCCAGTAGGTTTACGTGCTCTGAAAAACGCAAATCCGCGTTTGAAGCATTTCAACATTGACGCTCTGACACCCGTCTTCGTCGGCAGGAGGATATTCTGTCCGGCGACATGGAACGACCAAACCGTCACCCTCTGCATAACGTTCGATTTAGCCGTGCCTACGCCGCAAAGGGACTTTTACCTGTCGTCTATAATAGAATTCGTAGATACAGTACCGAAAGAGATTATCGAGAAGGTTCGATCATCGGGTAACGAGGATATGGAAGGTACAAGGCGCAGTGCGCTCCATGGTAAGAAAAGATATCGAACCTTCAGTTGCGCACAACAGTGATTCTTGTTCTAGCGACAATTTCGGTGTTCCCTCGTTTGCACGTGGCCACTGTACAATCGTTCGGGACAATGTCAAAGGATGTGAACAATGAAGGTACAAGCCGGGAAGCTTCATTCGTGCTGCTTCAGCTCGTGAACGCTCTGAAGAGTCTTCAGGCACGTGGGATCGAGGACACCAGCAAGTCCCTGAACGACGTTGTACTCTGCAGAGAAGACAAGGATATCTGTTATCGGCTGTATCTGCTGCAAGGGTTAGACCACTTTTCCGCGCACTATGACAACATAATGCGGTACAATAATCTAATCGTATACCCGCATCCCGCTCATACAACGTGCAATTTCCGCTTTTGCAGGAGGTTAAACATAGACCCGTGCGATGAGCCTGGCGAGGAACGGGTCTCGCTATGCGAATGTGCTTTAATAGCGTTGCAGCAGTTGCGTCTCACGGGCGAGCTACCTCTCATACGAGATCTGTTGATATGTGAGAAAGCGGTTACCCTTTCGCAGGTGAGAGAACCGGTATTTCGTCCTGCATCGTCGTGCTGCATCCTGTTTCGTGCCGTTCTGTCCAATTCAATCGCAATGACTCGCGCCGGTCGATCGTTTAAGGTGCCTGAATGCTCGCAACGGCCATATTGAATAATGATGCAATAGGCGGGAAATGACACGCTGAAAATTCTCGCATGCAATTTCCAAACAGAAAGATATTTATACAAGAAATATTTCAGATCACTAAAGCATTCTTGTAAAATGCTTCGATCACTATGTTTTTCCCTTGATAATCAATCAGTAAGCTTAAAATAATTGTTATACAAGACCTAGCCATGCGCATGCGCACGCGTAATCATTTCGTTGGTCGTTCTTACGACCAACTTCAGGTCTGTTCGTTTTTTCAAAGAACTTTTAAATTGGTGAAATAAGTTGTTAGAATTAAGCAAGTATATTTTCTTTCATTCTAATTTATTGTATCGGTGTGCACTACTTCAGAACGTTTTCTTCGAAAACGAACAGATCTTTCATATTATAGTCATTTCACGGCTGTTGACTTTTGTGAAGGAAACATAATAGTTTTATAAGAGAATTTTACAGACGTGCTCTAACGACCTGAAGCATTCTTTCGTACAAATATCTGTTTATTTAGAAATGGTACGCAAGAATTTTAGATACGCGTTTTCTTGCTCTTGACATCATCAATCAAGAGTTCTGCGGCGAGGGACTATAAGCCTTAAAATGACGTTTAATTATCGATTTAATTATAGGTGAAGTCTGTACTGGAGTTTTCACTGTGGGGCCCGGCCGATGTGCCTCTCGGTGGCCCGCGTGAAAGAGAAGTAGCGCTTCAGAGGTGGCTCGATCTTGAGAGAGCGAATGTGCTGCACGCTCTTGTCAAGACGAAGACAGCTCTCACCGTCACCGATGAATATCAGCTGTTATTCCTGGTGCGAACCACTGCCAAGATTATGAGCGAGGCGTCGGTACTGCTAGATGAGCAACGTAATCGTCTGACGCGAAGAGATTGATGTTCCCCGCCGTACATTTGTATCGTGATTCATTATGTGAATGTTTAATACGTTTGCTGAAGGAGATTTACTATTTATTGGTAAACGTCAAAAGAAGAGATATTTGAAGTATATCAAACACAAAGATGATTCACAACAAAAAGCGCGCTATAATAACGTAATAATAGCTTTGCTTTCTACTTGTATAGTCGATAGTCCGATTTTTTTTTATTTTACCACTTTAAGCGTTAAATATATTTTTAAGCTGCAGAGTATTCATGTAATTAACGCATGTTAACGTAAAACTTTAATCGTACGTTTGTCGGTGATGAGTATATATTTTTTATATACAAAAAATATATTGGCATATAAGTAGCTATATTGTTAATTTTTAAGCAACAGCTCGATATTAGAAATGCTTAGAATTATATGCTCGCGCGCGTATGATATTTTTATAATGAAATAAGTGTTTAGAGGAACGTGCCAATGCTCAATCGAAGTGTGATTCCGCGTGTACGATGCGCGATCGTTTTAGAAATAATTCTTTCACATCGTTATCAGCAAATGACAATTGTTTAGAAATGTTTATAAATATTTTACACCATGTTTGTTTATACAAATAAACGTATTAATCACCTGACGCGTCTTTAAATGCTCCTACTTTTATCTTCGTAAAATTAAGACGACATAGAAAGTATTAATTATACGATTATTTAAATTTTACACTGATTTTAGGTCATTACGTTTTTTTGTCGTGATTATTGAACACTATCACTTAATTCAACAGATATGTGCACATCGCTACATACCGCTATTTCCTCGTCGTTCAGTTGGATTTCCGGTACAATGACCTGTTCGTTCGACTGCGAGTCCCAAGAAGGTCCGATAAAGTTTACCGGCCTGCTTGTAAGAATTGTCTATTATAATTAAACATTTTTAATATAAATAAATTTGTGATAAATCATAAATTAAATTAAATATTATTAAAAGAAACATAAATTAAAATAAATTAAAACCATATGACGAGCATATATGTGAGGGAAACATATATGTGTCATAATTTAATTTAATTATAAAAATGCACCTTTTGCTGGAAGCTGGAAGCTCACTCAATCTTGAATCATCTTCATTCTGATTGTCATCATGAAGTAACGAGTCTTGTTCAGTATCGATAGTCATCAGCTTCTTCTCCACCATGTCGTTCAAATTCCCGATAACGATTTGTACTTCGTCCCTCTGAGTTGTTTCTGAATTTCGAAGTATTTCTGTTCTGGCCTGCGGTAATGCTGGGAGAATCTTTTTCCATCTTGTTAATGGAGTTTCGGCAACATTTTGTCTTTTTTCTGCTATTTTAAATAATTTGCGACGCTCCTCCGTACGTTCGTGTCTCAATTGCATCTGGAACATAATCGAAAAAATTTATGAGGATTATAAAATCACCAGAAACTCTGTAAATTACCTTCAGATCGTTATTTGCTTCTCGCAAAGATCCAGCAAGGGATGACATATAATAAATGATTAACGTCATCAGAACGATCAATGGTATTATTATACCAGGCGATGCAATGTAATCGAGACATCTGAAGATTAAATTCCGTAATAAATCATCTTGTATATTTAAAATACAATTCTCTCTTAATGAAATTAAATTTAATTTCTAGATATAATGAACTAAGTTTTTTTTTGTACCAGAAACGAAAGTCGTTTAATGCAAGTGTGATGTGTTGAAATAATTTAACGTAATTATAAGAAAAACAGATACATATACCGTCGAATTGGCTGCGGAAGCGAGTCTGTTAAGCTCTTCGTTGCTAAGTTATAAATTTTTGGATAACCGGAAAATGGACCGCAGTGCCACGAAGGCTCGACCCAAACGATAGCGTAACCGACTGGTAACACACACAAAAACAGCATCATCAGTAAAAGCGCGAAGTAGAAATTATTGGATCTGCAAAATAAAATATAATTTTTGTAAATGCTAATAAGAGAACGCAAACTTATACTTAAATCATGATACTCGTAATAACACACATATATAAACCATTTTATTTAGTTTCTGTGAAAGAAAAAAACAGAGAAAGTACGATAATACTCCAAGTAACGTTATTAACCTGGAGGCTCTAAAAACCACTTCGTGAGGTACGTTGCACGTTAAAACAGCCCAAGAACGTAAATACATCAGAATGCCGAGCTTGAGAAGATTCAGTACAGTCAGACCTGGACTGAAGAACATTCCCATCCAGACCATGCCTTGATTATTCACCAAATGAAGAATATTCTCGGCTATCTTGAAGTCACCGTATTGTGGAAACTGTTTTTCCAGATCCCAGCACCAACAGCCATTCATAAAACGCACGAATACGGCGCGGAAGAAATCCATACTGAGAGTTGCCAGTATGGTAAGTATCTAATGTAAACAGTCGATTATATAAAAGATAAAATTTAGAGAGTAATTTACACGCGTATACTTTTTAATAACATTTGAAATTGTTATTTGCCTACAAAATGCTACATTTAATATTAAGTAATATAGTAATTAAACGTTATTGCAGTGAATTGTGTATTCCTGCTCTATGTTACATATCTTCATGAGTAATTTTTAGAAATTAAGCTTTCATTATACATCTAATTTTAACCATTAACCAGTAATTAAAACCATTTGAAATATTTAGAATATACCTTGATTTAGTTAAAAAATATACTTTTATAAAAAAGAAAATCAATACAAAAATATATTTCATGTCTTACCAAATCCATGACAGTGAGCTTGGCAAGTTCCTGACCAAACATAGTCTCCCAGCATAATCGACGTAACTTCCTCCGAGTCTTCGGATCTAACTGTTCTAGAGACATAGCTGAAATCGAGAGCACATACAAATCACAAAGAAAATAATTTAAAACGGTATTATGAGCATTTAAATTGTATTTCAGCGAAATGTTTACCTAAATTATTCGCCGGCGTGGTAGTGCAAACTTTTTCAAAACATTTTATCATATATTTTTCTTTCGGAAGCGAATTTACACGTTTATTTGATTCTACTGAAGTGCTAGTTTCCGATATAAACGTGGTTATAGGTGTGACATCTGCTGTTGTGAATGCAACGTTAAACTCTTTAACAAATGATTCCTCGCTAGTTATAGTCGATGAAGCAATTGTTGGTTCTTCGGTAGAACTACCGACGTCAATGGTCTCTAATGATTTTGCGACTAGAAATCGTATAACATATTACTTATTGTGCATTAAACATCTGTTACTAATATTACTAATATAACTATATGTAAGAATACGAAAAATGAAATTTACCTTCCATTTTGTCCGATGTAATGGTTGTTGATACCATATTTTCAGTTTGCGATGAAGTAGAACTGCTAGCAGAACTATAGGGATTTTCAGTGGTTGTCGGATCAGATAAGAAATTGGCGGCTACAGTCGGACTTGTGTCATACAATAGCATGTTATCACTCACACGTTGGGTATCATTCTCTTCTTTATAATAAGACGTGGTGTAAGATTCATCGATTTTATCCGTCTCAAAATTTTCATATTGATAATCATCGTAATTCAAATAATCTTCATTATAATCATCATCAGATGTATCATTCAACTCTTTATATAAAGGATTCAGCAAAGGATTGAAAAAGAATGTTTCCTGCCTGATAGCTGGCAATGCTAAATGAAAGGAATCGTTTCGGTTATGTGTGTATATATGTATATGTATATATTGGAAACATTTTAATCAACTTATGCTGATAAATAAATCTTACTTGGCTCTGAAATTTCTCTTTTCACATAAAAGTGGGTGACATTGATTAAAACGAGACTTAGAGAAGCTAATGTTGCAATTCTTGGCGTTGTACCTGTTAATTCGTCACCACATGGCATTTCTATATGTGTGCAACTCGTGCTTGTCGGCTTGAGACCATAAAGATCGTGTTTCTGTAATATAAATATCGAAAGTAATTTAAATATGCAATAAATAAGAAACAGATAAAATCTCCCCTTTCACTCTTTCTTTATCTATTTTTATTTCTCTTGCAAATAATTTCTTATGCCACATTTTATTATACAACTTTATGCTAATGAACCATTACGTACCATAGTATTTATTTTATTAAATAATGCAAATATCAAGGAATAAAGATTTAGTAAATTTAAGACCATAATCCTGAAACAAAAAATCAAGTATATCGTTTGAATTCTACTAAAATATATCATATAATAAGCAATTGTTTATCATCTGTGCGAAAATTCATATAAATTGTACTTTGTAGAATATTTCAAAGAAACTTTATTTGATATTGTCATAATGTACGAATTGAAATAAATTAACACACTAACATTAGCGTGTTCAAACTGGAGTTCTTAACTAAAAACTAATTTCTTGATTTGTCTTATTCTTCTCGTGAAAGCAATCGGTTGAAAGCAACTTTACCGTGCCAGTTGTATTCGAAGTTGCTTTCTGGGATGATAGCTTTCAAGGAAACCAAGGATCTCGAAGAACATTGGATAAGTGTATGTAATCAGAGACATCACGATCGTGATCTCGTTCTGTCGCCACCAATTGTGCGATTCGAGCTCCGTAGTGCTTCGTCCAACTACTTCAATCACAGCGAACACCGATAATGCGAGTAACGATAACACCGCTACGTTCACGAATATCCTCATTGATATGATTTTCCAACTGTAAAACATAATTAAGTAAAAGTGACAGATAATTTTTCTACTATAAAAAGTAATCACCAAATCAATTTATTTAATGTTAGGAACATTTACTTTCTCTCGTCTTTTTCTTTTTCCGCTTCTTCCAATAGAGCCTCCTTGAAACTAAGCACGATGCTGGCTGTACGATTGTGAGCAGTCTCTGGATTACCGATCATGAAATCCCATGCTGTAAAAAGTTTCCACGAAAAGACATACTCGTCTTCTTTCTCGGTCAGTTTGCTTAAACGTGAATTTTCCGCCATTCTGAAACAGGAAATATGTCTTCATGTACATGGTTTATGATTTTTTTTGATAAGAATGCAAATCCGTAATGTTCGCATTTAGACTACACTCGCAGCACACATTCTTTTCTTCGAGAAAAAATGCACAAGTAATTAATTTGCAAATCATTTTAAACAATCATTTGAAAATTATGTTTTTTTCATATTTTTATTGATAAAAAAGAACTTCCCGTCACTTCGAGGTGCTCCAAAAAATTTTTTAAATATATTACTTTTCGTGCCTCGATGAAAAAAATGTGCTGCGTGATCTAACTACACTACAGAGAGAAATCCAGTCGGTACTTGCGCAGAATTGCGACAAAGCTGTACGTATAGACGACCAAATTAGTGACAAAGTATGCCAAAGGCAGTCTATAGGTGCTGTGTGAGTCTTGATTTGTGTACCATCCGTAGAAAAAAGGAGAATACTTTAGCACCCCTTCAAATTCCCACAGAGTTAACAACTGCTTCGATTTAGCGCTTTCTTCTTTTAGCATAATCTTCCTTTCGCCGGCGAGCGTTGCGTTTGCAGTTAGCACCTGCCAGAAAAGATAGCTTATAAATTTTGGATGAGACCTATATCTGCATACAAATAAATTTTACATTGTGACATGATTACTGACATTGTTAAAATCAAACTCACGTTTTTATTTTTGTTACATGTCTTTCTGATAGTCTGATGAATTAACGAAAATAAAGAAATATCTTGCCTCAGGTATCGCTACGAATGCTGTAAGGGTGGCTGCTATGACGAAATTGATCCAAAACAGCCAACGAAGAAAAGTGAAATAGGAAGCAACAGCAGATCCGAAATGAGATTCTATTTCCATAATACGTACTTCCCACGGTATCAACCAAGTTTGAAGATTGATCAGCTCGCGTCGAAAATATTGCCATTTCTGCAAAATAAGATATATCGTGAGTTTTGTAGCTAATCATAAGTAGTATCATTAACATGATTTAAATGTTTGTAAGATATCTATATATAAAAAATGTGATGCTTTATCATGTTAGAATAGACTTTCGTCTATTTGCGAACCTTAGTCATGAAAAATGAAACACGTGCTATAACGTCTTTGGTGCTACGACTTTGAGCGAGTCTTTCTTGCAAAGCACCTTCGTGTCTCCTTACATAGGATTTAGCTTGCCGTACAAGCTTGATCTTACGCCGAAGTGGCCAGGGTTGTTGTTTTACGCCATTCAAAACCTCCTTGTGTAATTTGAGATTCTCGAAAATCTGCTCCTGATTATTGCTCTCCTCCATCGAAATTATCGTGCTATTAAATTTATTGTTATCCGACACTTGTATATTGACAAAGACTAAGACTTAAACATTAGTTCTCCTTAAACTCGCAGTTGTTAATGTTGTAGCAAAAATATTTGTAGCATAAAAATATTTCATGTCTCATAAAAGTAAGAATTTCAAAAAATACTATTTACATGCTCTTAATAATTTCGTTGGTATAGTAATAAGCTACTTGCATTTCTTTTGCTACAACATCGATAGTTTTAAAAATATCTTATTTTCTAAAATTTCTTCCAACTTTCAGTCATTCTTTCAGTAAAGTGTTCAGAGAATTTAAAAAAATGTAAATTCTGTAATTTTTTTCGCAAGGGTTATATTTAACATAAACCTTATAAATTATGAAGACTTGATCCAATTTAACTCTGAACATCGCAAATACTAACTCTCCCGAACTCGTAGTGTAAGCTGAGGACCGACGGCGCGTCACGTTGTCGACGTCAGGACTAAACGGAGATGATGGGCGTCGTTTTCGTCGACTTTGCCGACGCGTTGAGTTCCGTCGTTGAATAATCGCGCAGACTGACGCTGAGTAATCATTTTCATTGCCATTTTTTTCACCGTCCATGGGTGATGTCTCCATTGACATCAAATCTTCCGATTTTTCACTTAAATCCGCTTGCTCGGATATCGCTTTAATAATTTACTAATTTCATGAAACTTGTAATAAATTAACACTACGTCTAAAAAAATTCTAAAATTATCATATCCTATTCTAACATTATCATTTCTAGCAATATAAATATCCTAGATCCGATGCGAATTGTTATCTATAATTATTTTATATTCTCATCAAGTCTTTCATCTTTAAAGATTAATTATTCCAATGTCTAATTTCCAAATTATAAGTTCATTAAAAAAGAAAAAGATTTCATAATCTGTTTGTCTCTAAAAAAAAATAGCTTTTCAAAAGTATTATCTGTAGAGTTCAGTTGTTCAATGATTAAAAACGTCTGCCATTTTCTAATGCTTCTCTAAAGGCAAAATCGACTTTAATTTGATCAAAAAATTTGCGACGAATGAGCGACACTATAATATTCAAAGTATTCTGTTCTAGCCACGAAAACTTAATACGTTGAGCAAAAACTGTCAGTGCCATTGTTACTAACCAGTTACAGAAATACGCCGTGTATCTCTGATAGACCGCACTTCCGCGGCTACGTTAGCTAGCGATTTTGGATCGTTCTCGACGAAATCTTCGTTGCACTGACACTCGACGAAAGCAAACGTAACTGACTGTCGACTGGGCGACGGTTGCGGCTGCGACGGGGATGACGGACCCACCTACAAAGGGTGAAAGATACCAATTACTGTCTTACTGAACCGATCATAGATCTCTCACAGTCACGCGAGTAATACAGAGCTCAGCGACCCAACTGCGGGACCTACTTACATCCAAAGTCATTTCGGCTACAAATGAAATCAGTTCCCTCTTATCAATCTCGAGATCGAATACTTATTAAATAATGCGCTTATTAAACAAATGTCACCACGATCAACTCAGATGCATCAGATTTATTTACTAACATGTTCTATTTCTCGAGAAGATAAAGCAATTAAATCTTCGCCAATATAAATTCCAATTATTTTCTCTTGGGAAAATATTTCTCATAAAGTTCATCGCTGTTATTTTCATCGAGATTTAAATTCATGTTTCTCTAGAGGTTTGGAACTGAATGAAAAAGTCAAGTGTAATTTTCCACATTCATGGCATAAGAAATTGAATTGATTGAGACGTAACTAGAGAAATTTTAGCACCAGATTCTAGTTTCTATTATTTACAGGTCCTCCTTTCCTCGTTTCCTTTTTGACACGACTTCGATGAAGCTTAAACCCTTCGCGCGCGTTCACGTGTTTGCTGATAATCGTTAATCCGAGGTCGCACGCGACCCGGCACACCCTTCGTCGTGTGTATCGCACTGTTCGATAGGATCAACGTGCTCGCGACAATCGTGCGTAGAATCTACTTGATTAATTAAGAAAATTACCCTTTACATTCGATATTTCTTCTATCTACAAAATAATCAGCTTTTGATGCGCGGGACATGCCATTATGAATTTAAAGTCATACAGGAAAAGCAACGTCGCGTGTTGAAACGCAATTCTGCTATTTTACGCGATTGCCCATGTTCGAGGAATTATTCGTTATAACTAAGAGGAGAAAGTCGCTAGAGCCGCCGAAACCGCGAATAGTCACCGTTACACATCTTTTTGCTCTTTGTATAACTCCACCCTTCTGCTTCACAGGTAATCACTTTCCTCAGGGGGCAAAGGGGGAATGATTACTATCGCATGGCATGTGCTACACGCGATCGTACGGTTCCCGCAAAAATCACTCCCGTGCTGCGCACCGCCCGACATAATTTTCGTTAATGCCTGCCAGCCACGACAATCGATTATAAATTCCGGCTGAAATACGCAATTGTTCGTGAACAGTAAATAACGTACACCAAAGAGATAAAACAAAGTTAGAGCACATGATATCGCAATCACATCACGGTATCGCACAATGTTTTATCGTGAGTACAATTTAAATGAACACGAAAGAATTAAACGAATTAATGAACTAATGTATGGAATACCTGCGTGGTCGTTAATGAGGAAAAAGTTTCGGGATGTTCGGAGGGGCGTGACGTTTTGTCTAGTTTTAAAATGCCAGGAATTTTCGCTTGGTCTATCGGTAGAACCGAGTCAACCTGCATATTGCCTGCCACAGACGGCTGTAATCACAATAATGATAAGATTTAAAAAAGGAATATCAGAGATTTCTTCACTTATTGATGAAAATACAAAAATGAACGTGTTTCGAAGCCTGATCGATAATCATCGGCTAATGCAACAGTTTCAGATCACGTACAACGTAAAACTTCACACATAATTAACGTTTTATCAATGAATGCACTGCGATTTACAGCTGCATAATGAAATTATCAACAAAAAAGGTCGAGTACTTAACTTACTGCACAACGAAGGCAAACCGATCCGACTCTTGTAACGATCTGCCGACTTACTGCTGGCCGAAGAAGAAATGAAATTGAAGTTACCGGCATACATTCGCAATAATGGATTCGCCGTCATGCCATTAACTCGTGCATGCTGAAAGGAGCTACGTATTTTTTTGTTTCATTAGCGAGCGCCATGGTCTTCTATCCGTTTGCACGCAAATTTGACGTCAACGTTTTATTGTTCTTAAGAATTATTAGAGCATATCATGAAAATGTTTTCCGACCTAAAAATGACAAAAACATCGATGAAGGACAGATGAAAATTTTCAGAAATAAAACGCATAATATAATGTTGCATTCGTATGATCGCGTGTATGTCGTAGCAAACTATTAAATTTAGTAATTAACAAGCGTTGGTTATTCAGTCTTGATTGTGTAAAAGTTGGTTTTAGAACGTCGGTATCATGATTCGTATAAAATGAAATTGTAAGACTTAAATTATGAAAAAGACATTTTTCGAGATAGTAAGTGTGTGTGTGTGTGTGTGTATATGTGTATATATATTTATCACAAACTGTGTGATCACGCTTATTTTTATTTATAATATTTAAAAATATACTGAAAATAAATTCTCTTGACGATTGACATTTTTGGCACAGGTTCGTTCGTTAAATAACGATTCTTGTACATGGGGATATGCTAGAAACGTCGCGATATGAATAAACGCGTACGCGAGTTACGTATTACGATTTGATCCTTGGGATACCCGAAAGAGAAAAATGCGCGCGTGAGATATGCATTTACGGTTTTCCTCGAACGTGACTGTCGTCCCAACTTTTACAAACATTCCATAGATGTTACTCGTGAAATAGAAACGAATTACTGTAATCTAATGGTATCGCAATTTTTACTTTCGTAAACGCGAAAGTCACACTATCGTGTACGTCACTATATGTCGCTACAGTAATATATATATATATATATATATATATATATAGACTCTATGTCGAGTGATACTCGACTCGTATCTAAAATATCAAGATGAACGTACTCTGTAAAAGACATTCTAAAAGATATTCTAATTTCTTCACCGACTTCGCGCGGACTTCGAGCTCTTCTTTTTTTTTCTAATCCAATCTTAAGTATTAAAAGAGAAATTGTTTAACCTCGATCGTTACTCAGAAATTTCTAAATATATATGACGTTTGGGACCGAGAAGGAAATGCAAACCCTGTTATCCATTAATAAATTAGAAATTCTCAAACCACGCGTAACTTTTCATAATTAATAACTAACATGGGATACACTTGGATAGCACATCACTTTTTTCATTCCAATTCTAATAAAATTATCAATTTTTATTTAACAGAAATTACGCGGACTCGCAAGCTCGTGTTAAGTGTTCACTCATTTGGTGGTGTGACGTGCCCAGGTCGTTCGTTGCACTTCGCTCATCAGATCGCTGCGCGAAGGCAATCGAGCGCTCGTCGTACGAGAAGGTGGTGGACCTGAAGTTCGCAGGATAGTCGCCAGATTCTTCGGATTCTGTGCGGTATTCTTGTTGTCCTGCTGTGTGCCTTGAGCTATTGAGTTTTGTTTCGTGCTTGCTTTCTTGGATATATTATTATCTGAACGTTTGTTTAACGGCGGAGGATCCAGGACTATCGGAGGTATATCGTCTTGAAAATTTGAACGTTCTTGCTTAACTTTAATATCGGCTAACGCATAAGCTACGTTTCTATCGTTGGTGCACGGCAAGGGCTTTATAAAAGCGGGATGCTGCGCGTCCATGCCATCTGTTCCGAGCAAGTTGTCGAGCTTATGAGTCATGACTGGCGATGAAGTGAAGCTGTTCGTTTGAGAGACTCGTAGAGACGCGGAACTAGGAGACAGCTGTGCTGAATTCTGAAAAATTTGGAAATTTCGTTGAGATAAATGTATAGAACGAGTACTTCTAACATAGAAATAATGTACTTAAATGTGTGGCATTTAACATAATATTAAGACTTCTCTCCTGAATAATTGAAAATCTTAAAGAAAAATATTTGAGAAAATGCAAAATAAAAAAAAAAATGAATCATGTTTTTCAATAAGTATTGTACTACGTATTGAAGATATAAGAAATTATATAATCTTTGGTTGTTTTCATAATTGATCTTCTAAAACGAGATTACTTACCGATGGTCCACTAGGAGGTAGAAGCAAACTAGGACCCATCGCGTACGGCGATGGCGTATTGTAGGGTGATCTCTGGGGCTGGAATGGACTTATGTTGTGTAGTCTTTCCAGCAGTTGCGTTTGGAACTGCAGTTGATCCGCGGATGCATTATTGCTCTGGATTCCCATGGCGCCGAGACTCCCGGAATAAAGAGATTCTGCAGGATACGAGCAATATGGAAAAGTTGGTGGATCCAGTTCCCACGGTGAGCTCTGGCCTCCAGTCCGTTGGCACTACTCAAAAAAATGCAATTTTAAGATTCTTGAACTTAAGTATTTTAGAAGATGAAGTTTCTAAAATATATCAATTTATTCATATGTTCTTACCTGCTTGGTTATCCTCGAATATCTAAGTACTTTAGAACCGAGTATATCTTTCAATCTCTGATCGCTTATGTCTCGACAGATTTTAGTAATAAATGGCAGTATTACCTAACATTTGTTGGCAGCTTGTACTCCAATATCCCGTGCGAAGACCTGTTAGACAACACCGTCATACTGGTGCTTAATTGTTATTAGATTAGTCGTTTAAATCTTGGCATGAAATTCATCTCTCGCTACGAAATGTTTTCTGTGCAAATGTGTAAGTAATTAAGTCATAAGAACGAAACGCATTACGTGTCAGATCATTCGCATTCAATATGCAATCAATTTGCGCCCACCGTTAATTCGATCGATGTTAGTATAAGTTTCTCGTTCGGCAATCTTTTCGACTCATGATTTCTGCGCCGTAAGTGTCGGAACGCAATTACTCGCGCGTAAAATCCGAACAGCTGAGCATCTTTTCGCCGTTGACGTCCCGTCGATTCCAAACGAAAACACATAAACATAGTACATGCATCGCGCGCAAGTATCAGAGCTTAAAAAAGTGTTTTATTCGAAGATACGCAACAATAGCGTCGGTGTGTAGTAGCTGCAAAACAGAAAGTGTGTGTAAAACGTTTTATTACAAAGTTAAAAAAGGAGATGTCGGTACAAAAGACGTTAACGGTATTAAAAAAAAATAGAAGAAAAATACAAGATGCATTGTTAAACGTTAATTGAAATGCAACACTGTCGGTCAGTCGGTGCTGCGGCTCCAATCTCCAGAGCACTCGTGTCATGGAATTCGGTAGAGCGTTACCTGGCCGAGGCTCGATAAGTCGGAAGCCGCTGCGTTTTGTTGCATGGACGTGGATGTCGGTATTTGCGATTGTGAAGTGACATGACCACCGGAAACACGCTCCTGTTCTCTCAGGTGGTTCACCAACGCGCTTATGTGCTCTAGCAATTCCTTATTTTGCACTAGAAGTTGGTGTGTCCTCGCCTGTGAACGAGGAACGACTGGCGTCGATATCCAGGAGGGAAATTTCTCATATTGCCGAAATCTTATTAAAGAATATTTTGAATCACGATTGATTAACCGTGAAACGTTGATCTCTCAGCTTTTCCTCTTATTATGGATTAAATATTTTCTTCGAGAACTTTGATACACACTCGCTTATTCGCTTATTCGAAAATAACGAAATAAAAAAGCAATGAAAATAGATAAGAAAAATATATCTGGTAGATGAGAGATTTTGGTGTATATTATTTATTATGTAAAGTATTCTGCCTCCGTTACTTTGCGAAACTATGTTCAGTCTCGAGAAGTTTACTTTGATAAACCAAGTTCGTTTCTAAAATAAATCGCGCGTACAGCCGACTGTTCGCGGTGCTACGAAATATTTGTGTTCTCTAGTAATTGATTCACTTATTTATACCTGAGCTTCGACGCGCGCTGCCGTTTCCGCCGCTAACTGATCCTGAAGAAGTCGTGCATGGGCAACGGCGGCTCTGGTTTGTTGACTCTGTTGCTCCAAACGTTCACGTAGGAGTTGTATTTCATGTTTCAAGGCTGTTAATTCGCCTCCCACCAATAAACCTCCGCATTCGGAGGTCACCGTGCCCTGTAAGAAAAATATATTTATATTTCTATATGTATAAAAAAAGACGAGACAATTCGTTTCGTGAGATATCTTTCTCTTTGATGGCATGTATATGTACAAGTTTTATCAATAATGATAATTTAAAAAGACTTTACCGATGGCGACTGTCTAATTGGTGAGGTAGAGGTGGTTGTGGCCGGTCCATCGTGTGATCGAAGTAGACAGGTAACAGACGTTTGTTCGGGAACCGAGTCCTCAGTATCTCCTAACAGTGATATGTCTGTAATAATGCAATAAAAATGTAATAGAAATGCTTAATAGTAACAGAGACAACAATAGAGACAAGGAGAGACAGAGAGAGAGAGTGAGAAAGAGAGTGAATTCTCGCGTGGGCGTAATTATTCGATTTTTCTAGACCTTGTGACCAGCAATTGAGTTAAAGCTGCCACTTGAGTTTAGTTATTAAGATACAATCGGAAGGAACACTAAAGTGTGTTCTAAACATTCGCTCGACAATGCGGAAGATATTCACCTTTATGTACCGGTGACGGAGAAGGCTGAGATTGCTCATTAGGAATTTCGTCTTGGTCCTCGTAAACATCACCGTAATTTTCACCGTGATTCTCCCCGTCTTTGTCTCCTCGATCGCGATCCTCCGTAGTGTTGTTTATGCTTAATTTATGGCACACTTCAAAAGCTTGCCCAACTGTTCTGACCACCCTCATCGCTTGACTCTAATCGAATCAAATCGGCTATTAATTTATCTCATCATAGATCTCTTTGCAATCTTCCATGTCTAAGTTCACGATACACCAACAATACCAATTTGATATTGAATATTATGATAAAAACGTCATACATTATAAATTACAAATAATATTACACGTTATATCAGCGAGCTTCCAACATCAGCTATTTTTCAATAGTTCTACTCAACAACGATATTTCTCCAACCAACACGGACAAAGTACTCTCTTGAAATTAAAAAAAGAAAGTAAAAGAAAAAAATTGCAACTCAAGACGATTAAATGGACAACCAAGTGTGATCCAGAAATTCTCGTCTAACGTGTGAAGGGCAGCCCGAGCAATCGCGTCATTTACCTCGAGCTCATCGAGATCGTCGTTTTCCTCTTCGAAGGGATTCTCGTCGAAGCTGAGATCAACGCTGTTCTGCGTATGCATCAACTTCAGCCGCGGCAACGATTTGCGCATTTTCAAGGAGTTGAAAATCTCCGGTTCTTTGAAGGAGAGCTTCTTACGCGGCCGAGGTGTTGTTTCGTAGCCTAAGGGGTTGCCGCTAGGGCTAGGGCCAGGGCTTACTGGCACTGGGAGCTCGGTCGAAGCCATCGCCGACTTCGACGAATTCTTGAGCATGGCTTATAAGTCGTTCGCATCTGCTCGGAACTTTTTCACGGAGTACCTGCGGTGCGTCTGCCGTCTTCACAGCCGCGGATGCTGTCATCCATCGCGATCTCACGAACTATTCGCGTATCCTTTTTGCTTCAGATGAATCGTCATTTCGCGGCACAAAGGCAAACCTTTTATCTCGACCGTTCCTTTGATTTTATTGCGGCTCGCCGGGCTCATAAAAGGAACGCACACGTTTGTATGTGCGATTTTATACCTCGGCGATTCGTAACGGGCGCGTACGAAACGTTAATGATAGCTTCTTTATTGAAATCTGAAATAAATATCTTGATAAAACAAACGACTCTTAAGACCGTAAGAGCGTAATTCTCGTATGAGATGTTCAACCGTCCATCAGGAAACGCGTGAGAACGTCAAAATATGCGTCTGTATGTTCGCGACACGAATTATATCAAGTAAACGTTTATAGAAACGTCTAAAATGCATTATCTCTGACGTCGACGCACCGTTGCAGCGGTGCAATAACATGATCTATCGATATACATAGGCGATTCCTGGTAGATAATCGTCACCATTAACGCACATATCGCGGAATATTCAACATTCGGAGAAACATACGCATGTACGAATTCGCTTGAAATGTTTTATCCGCTCGATCTCTCCCCGAATATTTACTTGTTTGGGATATATGCGAGAACAATTTGTGATATAACGTAAGTTCAAAGATTCCTCGTTGGCGCATACGATCTGTCTGCACGACATTTTCAATTATAAATAGTCACCCTGTGTATGTATGTATGTGTAAATTCAATCTGGCAAATTCCCCGCTAAATCGTGCGTAATTTAGAGACTGTTGCCGATTCGCATTGCTTCTGCGAAAAACACGTACATCACGTGCACATTTATCACTTTTAATTATGGAACAATCGGCTACATTACACATGTCTCCCAGTAAAATATTCCACAAGCACTCATTAGTTGCGCGATATTCATCTTGAAAATCGATGAAATATAACAAGAAAGATAATGCAAATGAAAAATTCGGTTTGCTTCCTACACAGAGCTTAATGGCTTTCATAATATTTTTGAAAAGAGAATAAATCGTTCTTTCGAGTACATGATGAATGAGCTTTTCTAAACTTTCTGATGAGTATCATTCAAGACCATTCACCAACACCATCAAGAAAATGTCTTTTGTTCAAGATGACTGTTACCTCAGAGAAAGAAAGTAAACTGAATAATCGCTTTTCTTAGCGATAGAATGATACTTTCCGCTGTATATAAATCTGATCGATTTCTCATTTAGCAACCCAGCACAAGATGTGTAGATAACAGTCGCGTTTGTTCAATTACCAGAGGTATCGGCGGTGAATGAACTTGCATCGGGTCTCGATAAACGTCCGAGTTATCACATCCCATTAGCGTATTATGGCGTATCTTGACGTGACATTATTTTATCGGCAATTTCCTCCGTACGGTGTGTCACGCCTCCGAGGCGACACGACTCTCTCGTTACACATAGATCCCGGCCGACACGAATCTGTTACTGAGTGCTGTCACGTTACAGCCGTCACATATCTCGTAAACAAGCGATTCTATTTTCATTCGCTCGTCACTCCGTTCCGATTACTCCGGCCGATCTCTCGGCCTCTCGGCGAACGATCACTGAACCACACGGTCTTCAATCCCCGTGGACGAGTCACACATCTAATCGTCCGCACAGGACCGCTCGCCCGGAGGACCGTGCGCGCGGCAACGTATGTAATTCGGGACCGCTCGCGCTTCACGTCGTCGCGCTGAGCCCATATCGATACGAAGAATGAAGGAAACGATCGAGAAGGGGCAGAGAGAAGAGGGAAGACAGCGCAAGAACAAGTGTGTATAAGTTTTCGTAAACGAGAGCGCGAGAGCCGAAGTTAACCGTACGGCTTCCTACCGTGGTTTCTTGGCGGCGGCGTGCAGAAGCGGCTGCACGCCACGCCGAACTACGCGCTTCGCTGGATTTTTCCTCCGGTTTATTTATAAGCGCATTAATATTCTCGCTTTCGGCCCGCTCAATGGCACTTCTCCGTCTCCCTTCTTCGTCTTCGTCTTCTTCTTCTTCTTCCTCGCTTTCTTCCTTCGTTGATCTCGATAGTCTAAATTCTAGTCTCGTTTACAAAGTGCTCCGGATAGTTTATATCTTTCTTTTTTACGCATATTTTTTATGCATTGACAGCTTACTACGTATTTGGCACAGCTCGGAATGATTTAAAGAAGAGCAAGAGGCATTTTCCTCCGTTGAGATTTATTGGGTAACGAATTCCCTTCGCTAGAATAATGAATCGAAAGAACGTGGAGATAAGTAGTATATGGTGCTTATTTTCTCTCTCATCGCTTCACACTTATACTGGTCATCTCTAATAGGAAAAGAGAAAAATTTGATCGAATATCAGTAGCTTAATAGTCCTATGTTTTCTCCTTTGAAATCTGCAAACGGAGCAAGTCGCGGACTTAGAATATCAGATATACGGACTGAGAGAGAATGCGGACAGCGATGCTCGAAATTCGCTCGAGATGCTATTACATAGAACGGCACACAGTAGGTACGTCATTTAACGGTTGGCCGCACCAGATTCTTATAGCTCTCGACCGATAAATTATGTACACGGCTGCGCGTCGAGAATTTTTCTATGATAACTTATGATCGTTATACATGATAACGTAATGTACATACGAATAATGATAAATATGCAACAATTGAAAAAAGAAAAAAGAGAAAATAAATTTCTAGATGTAGTATGTGCGATCGTTGAGTTTTTAATAAAACTCGGCAGCTTTATGTAACTATTAAAATCGAATGGTAGTATTCACGCAAGAAGCGACAACAAGAATAGATATTTCAAAAGAACCATTTCTCAAAGGAGAACATTTGTGGAGTCCCAGTTTTATGAGCAAGACAGAGCGGGAAAGAGAAGTCACGTCCATTAGACGAGAAATGTGCTGTCGTGTTTTTTCGTGAATCGGTACAAAATTGATATAAACGACGGAGCAAGTATAGCAACACCTAGAGCAGAAAGGTAGAAGGAGAACAAGTAAAAGCTTTTTGGAAGTTTTGCTCAATACCATGAGAGAGTTTAAAACTTCGACCGACGCGGATATTTCTGGTATCCTAGATATATCGTCTCTTGTACTCGCCGGCTATTTCTGGATTCACCCAGATTTTGAAAGCAACCGGAATCCCCAAATAATCAACAAAGGAAACAAACGAAAATCTCGAACGTTCGCCGGTAAATCGCTCGACATGTCCCGTCTAATAGCGCGTGACGTTATGTAAAAATATTCCGGAACACGAGAAATAACAGATGAACTATATTTTTCTTCCGCTTCTCTTCTACTGCGCGACGTATGCGGGCGCGATCGCCCGATCTCTCTTTAAACAATCGCATTGGCGATACGTCAGCCGCGCGACATTACGCGCGGAAAAGTACCATTTTCTCAATATACGTCACTCCGAAAAACACTGCTTGCGTGCACGCCAAGAGATACGAACTGGGAGACGACCGATTACGAGAGCGACAAATAAACTTCTTTTTCTCCCCGAAGTCCCAGACAGATTTGCCGATCTAAGCAATCGCGAAACGCCAGCGGTCGCCGATGTCGTGGAAGTTCGCACCGGCCTATACAGACTATTTTAATAACTCTGTGCCTACTGCAAATACACGACAAAACGATGCGCCTCTCTGTCCCGCTTCTTGCCCGTCACAACTTCGCCGGGCCATCCCTCCACCCACGAAAAGGCGAAAATACACTCTCACTTTGACAGGGATGCAGCGGCGCACATGTCTCTCTCTCTCTCTCTCTCTCTCTCTCTCTCTCTCTCTCTCTCTCTCTCTCTCTCTCTCTCTCCCTCCAACCCTCCGCGCTTCGTCGCGTCTCCACAACGGTGGAAGACAGAGAGAGAGAGAGAGAGAGAGAGAGAGAGAGAGAGAGAGAGAGAGAGAGAGAGAGAGAGAGAGAGAGAGAGAGAGAGAGAGAATGGGAGGGAGAGAGAACCAAGGAGTCCACGTTTATTTATAGGTTTACAATAACGTAAGTTGATAAAGCGCCAGGCGACGGACGACGTGGACTGCGTGAATTGTCGCGGCACGTACGCACGTGCGCGACGTAATGTTACGCCGCTGGTGTCGCGCGTGCGGAGTGGATACCTTCAGCGGGGTTCTTCCATCGCAGGGGGATTTTGTAAATATGAATTTTTGGATCCTAATTTGTGTCCGATAATATATGGTTTGCTCGATGTAGGAAGCTCGGCGATAGCGAGAGACGTACAAAAAAAATATATCGGCCGATTTGTTATTGTTAGCACAATGCAGATTGCAAATTGCAACTCACCTTTTTGCTAGATTTGAAGACGTTACACTTAAAGGTATTGCTGCTCCCGTCGCGAGCGATGTAACTAAATATTTTCAAGTCGTGGCTATCGTGCGAGACATAGAATATCCTGAAACGTACATACAAATTTTTTTTAAAAACTGCTCTCCGAGAGACAGGATTGTATGTTATTTTGTCGTGATTAATGCAACATGCAAGTTATTTGTATAAAGAATGATTGAAAGACTAATGTGATTGAAAATCAGTACGAAAAAGAGGGAAGCGCGCTGATACTGATAAGTAAAAATAAAATATTGTCTTACCTGTAAATCGGATGATGCATCAGGTATATTTTATTCTCGTCCATCCATTGCTGCTGTCTCTTCTGCGAAAATAAAACGCGAGTTTCATTAATTCGAATATATTGTTAACGGCTATTGACTGTTACTACTATTTGACGTTGCATATATAAGATCGAGAATATATGGCGCTCAATGCGTATCAGTGTGGATATAACGTAGCGTTTGTCCAAAATCACTTCTCGTTATAAATTGCAACTGTTACGAAATGGACATCATCGGGCGTACGTGATTTTTCCGCAAATTTGAGACCTTCTCGCGAAAATCCCTAGCTCTTTTACTGCGAGAACATCACGGAAATCCTGCTGCACTTTTCAGACATTTCGCGCTATCAATGATAATTTTCTGACTTTGTTTACAAGAATTAAACTACAATATGATGAATATTTCATTTACAGGAAGATAATCACTATATAGAACACAATATAGAAAATATTTTGTATTTGATAACTTTGTGAAAAATAAAAATCAGTTAAGTGTGACAGAGAAAGATGTGAATCATAAAAATCTCCGAAAATAGAAAAATATTTTTTGTTACGACGGATAATATCTACATTCAGATTAAAATTGATGTCACTGTTCACAGCTGTATTCCTCCCATCTTTCCTTATATTCCCATCTTCTTAAATTATATAATATACTACAGAATCTAATAGATAACGCGTATCCATTTATGCTGAGAACTATTATCCGCGTTCAAAAATTGATGAATTAACATTTTCAAGCCAATTATAAATGCACTAAAATATATATTTTACGTAATACTAAAAAAAAGTGCGTACCTTCTTTTTCCGTAAAGTCACTTTTAGTCCATCCACAGAGACCTCCAACGTCACTTTCTTCTTTTTGGCCCCTTTGGCCTTAAACTCGTACTGCAAATGAAATAGATCCGATTCAGTTGTAGAAATACTTGCCTACTTATACCATGGTCTAAATCTCCAACTAGGCTAATTAGCCGTTGCGCGTACTCACGCGGATTTTTCGCATCGCCGCCACGATCTCCACTCGGCTAGTCGGTCGAGGAACCTCCATCGAACCAATAAACTGAAACAGAAGCGTAGCAATATTGGTAATAATTCGCAAAAAGTTAAAAATGGCGTCTTCCTGGCATGATGTCTTCCTCTTTAGATAAATTGTATTAGTCTGTCTATATTTTAATAAATTAATGGATTTGTCCGGCTATTCAACTTATTTCTTTTAACAACCTAAGTAAATAATTTTATTTATCTAACTTAATTCTCTTTATATTTCTAATTATTTATCTTAGAATTAGCTCTTTCAGATTCTTAAAAAAGTGGCTTGGTTTAGGCGCAATTTTTCATAATCAAATTTTAACGGGTTCTGAAGTAAACATCAGAGACCGTAAAATTTTCAACGAACGACATTGTGGAGCAAACTGCCCTCGCTGTATTTGCAACAAATATGCAGTTACGTCGCCATAATCATACCACGGTGGAACACTACGGTCCGACGATCTGTATTTAGAATCCCCCCATTGAAGCGATGGTCTAGCCACGTGTTCGGGTGATTCGACGCACACGTGGTGTTCTCCCACACAATCGTTTACGACTACACAGGCAAAGGACAGTTTCTTCATAAATTTGCGATCGATAACTGCGGCGACTTACGGTAACGGAGAACGAATTTGTAAGGAGTGTATTCCGCATAGCTACAAAATCTCACGTTGCCCTGATAAATCGATAGTCAAGTCACTTTGAAGATTTTCTATTTTAGAGACCATCTCAGTTTCGTCACAATTAAAATTGCGCTTTTAAAAATTATATATCACGTAAGTATTTATCCTGTTACACGAGACTACGATTAATTGAACGATTTTATGGATAAATATGCGGAATTTCGTATGTCGAGTTCTCAAGCTGACCTCACGAAGTGCATAAAACTCGTCTTACGGACTTGAGAATTAATTTACAAAGTAACACACGATCGTTGAGATGCGGCAACTTTGGCCGCTGTATAAACGCCGTCCCCTTTTCCCGGCCACTCGCACCATTTACCTTCCTCTGCCCCCGACGTCGCTAAAATTGTTGTAGCTTTACTAGGACGAAAAATCGTTTCTACGAAGCGGAAAAACCAGAGCGATCCCGTGCGCTCCTCGAATTAAACTCATTGTCAATATCTCTCCACCTCGAGGACAGCTTATTCGATCGACAACGTCAATCGTAGCACAAAATAGAAGAGGTCACGTTGCTTCTTGAAACAATTTAAATGCTTAAAGAACCTCGTAAGTTTATTGAAAGACTGACTCTGTCTCATTCGTATTTATGTCATTTATCTCAAAAATAAAATTTGTTCGGAATCATTCATGATTCTCGACCGTCGCAGGTTTCATGAAAGAAAAAGAAAAGACTTCTGCATTTACATCTTCTTGCAACCTAAATATATAAATGTAATCACAATAATATGATTTTAAATTTCATTTCCAAGACGTTTCCCCAAGAATGTCAAATCAAAGAAATATTGCTCATGCTTCCACTAATTGAGAAAGTTTAAGAAGCAACCGACGTCAAGACGTCCTTTAGACATTTTTTTGGACCTGCCATGCCGTTTGAGTTCCTGCGTAAACGCAAACGTCAATGACGTCGCAGTATAAACCGTGAATGTGTATTCCACATTGTGCGGTTTTACAGGCGGCGTGCAATTTACAGGCGCCAACAAACGTGCAGCGCACAAAAGCTTCAACCTTTCTCAGGAGAAGTACACCACCGAAATAAACACGTGCACGATACGATGACGTCACAGGACGCACCGGTGGCCGGCATCGGTACAGAAATAAGCCGGTATCGCTGTCGTCGTCGTCGCGATTGTTGCACCATCGACGACGTCCAAATATCGTTATTTCGAATACACTCGTGGCATTATATCGGATTCTTCGAATTGATTTCATCACGCGGAGAAACGCCATTACATTGTTCCTCCGGCGAAATGTCCTTTTTCTTGCGTTATCCGCTAAGCAGTTCGTTCCCACTGACAGACTATAGTTTACATCTCTCGCGATTTAGTTCTGTTGCGAAAAGATCGTTACAAAGACTTTTATTGCCCATCGTGAGAAATAGTTTACAAATGCTAGATACACTTGCGCTCGCTAAACACTACTCTGGTTCACTTATAAAGGTATACGTCAGGCTGAAAATTATTCAAAAATTTGTAAAAAAGAAAGAAAAAAACGTTGCAAGATTTCTCGTACCGTAAAATTTTGTAAAATTTACAAAATACGCGAAAAATGTTCTTTTCCCGTATTTTGAAAAAAGAAAGGATCTTGAACATATTAAACATCGCATTAACGTACGTATTAATATTAATTCCTATTTGATTTAAACGCCAAGTGGCTGGCATATGCTACATTTCATCCCGAAATAGACAGTTATACTTCGTATGTTGCTAAGAGATAAATGTAGTTTGCAAAGCTATTTCGATACTACATATGTCAACTTTAATAATACGCGAAACACACACAAAACAAGATACAGTTTCTATACTGTGATATTGTATCTCTGGTATTAATCTGAAATACACTTGAAATGTATTGGAACACCGTTAAATAATTTTCATAATTTATGCTGTGACGGAACATTTCATGTTTCTCCTTAAAGAACTATTTTGATATTCTCGAAGAAAAAAATAGAAAAGAATTGACAATCTTAGGATAGCACAAGATACATATACGACATCGAGCTGTGTGTGTGCCCTAGTATGTTCAAATTTATCCTCCCCTCGTCTATTATGTCAATACGCGGCGATACAATAGCGCTATTCTCCACCGAAATGTGCGAGAGAAGGTGCGAAATTCTCTTTTAACGTGCCGTGTTAAGACAGATGCTTTCGTTCCCATCAACCGTTAGAAGAACGACGCACAGTTTATAGTCGACATACATTTTCTTCTGATGCGAGACACTATCGACCGTTAGTGTTATTATTTTCTGGCTGTACCTAGTGCGCGAACAATTATTGAGTCTTTTAATTAAAAATTCGCGTCACAACTAATCATTATCAAAATAATTCAATAGCATTGCAGAGCGAGATTAGTGTCTTCTCCAAATGCAATCGGCAAATTCTGTATAAATTCGAACAACAAACTGCTCGTAAAACATTCGATAATCCTTTCTCTTAATCCCAGTGTTTCCAATTATTGATAACAATCCTAAAAACCTCTTAAAATTTTTAATGAATGCCCATTCAGGCAAATCCAAGAGAGACTTTAATGTTTATACGTTTAATTTGCAGGTGGGTAATACGAAGATAAAAGACTGGTACTGGTTACACACGCGTATATCTCAGGCCGGAAAGCGTGTAACATCCGCGAAAAATCGAGAAAAAGGAATCAAAAGCGCAAAGGTACGCGTATATGTACTTATGGACCGAAGAGGATAAGAGATCACTCCCAGATTACCTTGGCGTGGAACACGATTCCACGGTGAAACGCCTCCTCGCTGTGCAGCGGTATTCGCGTGTCGTACTCGTCATTATGTACGAGGTTGTATTGCTTCTTAGAGGGCATGCTGAGCCCAGCTGCATTCGACTATGCTCGTCCAGCCTGGCTGCAATTACAGTAAATGACCCATTAACATTTCCATGTATAGATAAATATTCTCGTGTAAAACAGCCATTTATTTCGTTCATAATAAAGAGATAAAAATGTCAAGTTGAAGAGACTTGAATGTGAGCACGTGCAACTTTAAAGATTTTCGAGTAAACTCGAAACAAACTTTTCATTTTCAACGTGTTCATACTGAATATACTGGAATGACTGAAATATTAGCAAAAGTATCAGAGATGTTTTGACGTTTTGTACGATCTTCCGCAGTATTATGAGACACTTGAATCGTCGCTCTCGCTGATACTTTAATCTTCATGAGCCATCTTCATAAATATCAGTTGTAATTAACTATAGAGGGTCTACAGTTATATTTAACTGTAGACCCCCGTTCTTTTATAGCTCTGTGTTTGAAAAGAGATGGAGTGAATTGTTTCAATCACAGTTAAGTCTTCGACTAATGTTTACGGCAACGGCTTGAAAGTGAAAGGAAACGTATTTAAATCAACCAACTGTTCAGCAACAATCAACAAACGCGGTCGCTAACGTTTCTCTATCAGAAAAAGAGCAATATTTTTGCAACAAGGAAGATACTATCAATTTCATGTGTCACGAGGAGTAATTCTCTCGGTCGGCGATGAAAATAAGTGAGTTGGAATAGTGCGCGCAATGTGCACCTGCGTTCGTACCGCGTTGGAGAATATGCCGCGTGTATAGACTTTTTCGACGCATTCAAAAGGTATGTACGCGGAAACTTGTGAGTAATGATTTTCTGTCGCGAACGCAACTTAACATTTCATTCGCGGAACAACTGTAGTTCAGGCGATATAAATTGCAATAGTGACCTGAATTGTATAATTCAATGGCCTTCTATTGGAATATCGGATTTTTCGGAAAGCTTGTCTTAAAAAAATATTCTATAATTTGAATATCTAACGTAATCATGGCAGATTCTCCTCACCAAACTATTTTTTTCTCCATCGTAGAATCTAACTTATGAAGACGAACCTTTTACTATTACTGTTTGTTCCTGTTTACTGTGTTGTTTCAATTCTACAAATTGGAATTGTATCCAAAGTTTAACGAAGAGGTATACGTAGAAAAAGTATAGAAAGATACGTATGTATACGATGCGATATGAACCAAGAGTTTTCAATACTTTAAAACAATTACCAGTAATATTTAATTGATACAAAAATTCTCTTGATCGTCGTATTATTTGAACAGACGGATGACTTTATAGCGTATAATTCACGTGCACAATTAATTTTTATGATGTTGTCCTTATCGCATCGACATGTAAAAGCTTCCTTGCATTTAGTTTTCGCATAATGGAAGACAATAAGTCAAATGCAGTGGATTGTAGAAAAACAAACAAATAATAAGATATTATTATCCCGAACGATCCATAAACCACGTTCATTATTGATAAGTAATCCGCAATTACAGACTCGTATTCCCTTTTTTTTTTAATATACGCGCAGTCGTCGTCGGATAAGAGTTACACGATGCCAATGGTGTAAATTCCACACTTTAGCACATCTTATCCAGAAAACGCGAATCTCGCGATACTGAGGAGGCCGCGGCCGATTCTCCACGTCCGCCGCAAAATGCAGCTCCAAGATGCATCATCGAAGGATGCCCCTTTGTGCACGCGCACCTGAGCTAAGCGACGTTCACACCGATACGGCGCGTCAAACAAAGGAAACCGACAAGCGCTTGTACGTTTACTCGCAAATGCAGCTGCGATAAATGCGCAGCACTGCATACGTGCAGTGCATACGTATAAAAAGAGACTATCGCGGATCATCTGTTTACACTATGAGCTCCAAAGAGAAACGCAGCGTCACAATCCGAGATTTTATATGCAAGAATGCATTCGTTATGTAAATTTCGGGAGGTATCTCTCACAAGCTGTTTTCACTTGAAAAAAAATTCACAATACACAATAATGTGTAATTTTATTATAAAATTAGAGAGAATCCCTCCGAATAAATTACCTTGCATGCAACACCGCGAATGCATCCTAAGCCATTTCTACATTTTATCAAGAACGTTTGCGAGTCGTCGAAGAAATTCTACGATTAAAATTTTCATTAGACATGGGATTCGATCCTCACTGATCAAAATAGGGATCTACAATATAATTTTGTATATTAACATAGTATGAACGAACGAACCAATCATCCGACTTATCTTTCAAATTGCAAGTTGACCGAGCCATCGCGTTGCAATAATAAATCTGTCAAGCGACTTCGGAATTCTCCAACTTTCGCGACAAAAATCGAAAATCCCGCTGCGAGAGCCACGTGTCACCCCACCTTGAGTTCGGCATACCGAAATGACGTTTTCCATTCCAGAAAGGTATCCTTTTCTTTGACCGATGCCGACATGATGACTCATGCGGTGCTAGTCGCAAAAAAAGAGGAGACAGGTGCTTTTACCTGAAAGCTGATTGGACAATCGTTGATCGGCGTTGGTTCTCATTAACCGCGGTGATGCGTCTCCTCGGCGAGCAACAGCCGGATGACGGTCTTTGCACGAAGATCGATCGCACTTGTGAATGCAGCTTTATCGAGGCAGCGGATAGGCCGGTCAGGCGAGAGGGGTACGCGCGCGCTCGCACACGCATTCGGGTTTCGCTGTAATAAAGGCGGCGAGGAACCACCGACGACGAGCCATACCACGTACACATGCACACGGACTTGCTTGTCGTTCACTCGCTCGCTCGTTCCCGCGGGTAGGTAGGTAGGTAGGTAGGTAGGAAGGTAGATAGGTAGGCAGACAGGCAGCCCAGGCAGGCACACACAGAGCAGAAAGTCCTCTCTTTCTCGCTCTCTCTTCTTGGAAACAGATGACAGAGTGACTTGGTCACCGTAACTCAGTGGACGCTCCGTGTCCTACGGGAATACACAGGATAACTTACTTTAAGTGAAAGCAACGTCACTGGACTGGTCACCGCGATCACTCGACTCGCGCGCGTTTTATTACTCCGCGATTTACCGTCGACGGTGCCGAACCCGACGAAGCGCTCGAGTCACTCGTGCCGCGCGCGCGCGCGCGCGACCACGAGCGGACGGGACAACGAGGGTTTCGTTCTCGTCGAAAGACGGAGAAAGAGAGGAAAAGAGGAAGAGGGAGAGAGAATGAGCGGAAAGCGGGCGAAAGGAGACTCACGGCAGAGGAGGAGAGACTACGAGCGGCAAGAGACAATATTTATACTGGCATAGCAGCGGGACGCGTGTTCGCGACGCGGCGGCATCTCGAGCGGTGCACAGCGTGTCCCGCGCGCGCACTTCTGCCATCTCCGCTCGATTCCATGGAGTCGATAGACCGCAGTACGCGCGCGCTACCGCTCCTTACGTTTTCATGTTGCGTCGTCGAGTTCTTGGGAGAGAGAGATAGCGTCCCGCTACCGTCGCGGTTCTCTCGCGCAAGATGAAAAACACCTAAGCGTGTACGCGAGGGTGCGCGTTGAAACAACTCGAACGAGCGACGACGGCGGCTCCGTGCACGAGCGTAGGACTCTAAAGGAAACTACACAAGAGCAGGCATCCCTACCGCGAACGTTACCGGCATCGTACTGAAAACCGTATCGCTAGTCTGTATATAGCCGGCTGTGTAGCGCGCGCACTACCTCGGAGCAGCGAGTGAGTGAATGCCAAGCACGGCCGAGAACTGACGGTCGACAACGTCGGCCGTATACCCCTGATGAGGTCATATTATGACTCGGGTTTTTAACATTTATCTGGAACATTATTTACGCGGCTTGGTATGCGTGATATGAGCATTCGTTTATCCGTTACTGAAAAAGAGCAAATAAGCATTAATGATATTAAGAATTTCTTCCTTGGGTGTAGTACGTTTGACGTTGAATCTAAATTTTATATACCTGAGGAGAGATACAGAAATCCGGAGAACATTGTAAGAGGTGTAGAAACGGTGAACTTTTTTTAACTGGAATTTGCAGAATGCATGTTACTATTCTTGAGTTATATGATCTGATTCGAAAGACATATGGTCAGCTGTAAATGTTGTTCTCTTTTTCTAACGTACTTTATCTAACGTGGCTTCGTCGGTTTCTTTTAACGTACAACCTGCAGAGTATGAATGTTAATTGTACTTGAATATATTCATTTTTGAATAAAATTTTTTTTCTAAACTCGGCAATTACGCGATTAGCAGCGTACATATTGTATATGTATGCGTATAATATAGATATATGTGTGCGTATGTATGGTTACGTGTGTGTGTGTAACAGTAATATTTCATCGTCTATATATTTTAGAAACGGTTATTCCATGATATTGCAAATTAGGGTTCATTAGCTTACGCGTACTTTGTTTCTCACCGCATAAAAAGGTGAAAACTAAAATAAAAATATTCATTACGAGTGATTTTGGTTTCGTCAAAACGGTAGGACGCCATTACAAAGCCTGGTTATGGGACAGTATAAAAAATATCGAAAGATTCGGATAGAAAATGGGTCAAAATTATGTTTTCATTATTTTGATTCTTTTTCATTATAATGAATACCTGTTCTAAACTTGGGTGCAGTAATAATCGTTTCCTTTCTTCCATTCTTTTTCTCGATTCAGTTACCTGTTCACATCGTAGAATGCGCGGGTTTTTGTCGTAAAAGGATGATCATGAAATAAAATAAATGTTAAGTAGAGGCAAAATCGAAATATAGTCGATGCGTCATTGGCTGACAATTTTGATCAATAGCGTCTCCGTTTGCTTATAACGGTTTCACCCTGCATTCTAATATCCAATAGGAGAATACATTTTTTAGAGACTTTAACTAGTGATATTTCATTAAAGCTCATTTCTAAAGATACAAAACGTCATCTAGTGTACATAGGAGGAAACTGATGTAGCCGAAATCAGAAGAAACATGCTATTCTATGTTACTGTCACTTAAAGGATTAATACCACGTTTCTCAAACAGCCTCTGTCTTTCCTGGGTATTTTGTGCTGGATTGAAGGTGGGTATATTTTTACGATAGGATACATGTTTTAAAATCCGCAATCATCCACTAGTATGTCAATTGCAAGAATTTAATTTTCTATTTTTCTGTCATTATCATTTTTTATACTTACTCTATAAGGTATTATTTTTGTATGTGGATAATGTTTAACAATGGCAATATAAAACCTCAATGTTCATTGTTTATAACTTTTATAATTATGTGTATAAAATTAAAATATAAAGAAATAACATTAACTGTACAATAAACTAATTTAGGAGTTGATCAAATATCTTTGACAAGTTGAAGTTGTTAGTGATCTCAACATTTAAGTAAACATACTGTTTCAATAGACATAACCTATAAATTATAAAACAATTGATAATAAAAGTATGATGTATTATATATTCATATTGTTATCTAGAGCATTATTTGGCATATCACTTTTAAGTGTTATTTAGAATACTAGATTTTAGCTTTTGTTGAACAATTTAGCATGCCATCTAAAAGAGAATATATAAGTTATATCTGTGTAAGAAGTGTGATCTGAACTCTATGTATCTGAGAATAAATTTATATTTACTTCCAATTAGTATTTATATTTTTTCTTTACAGAATATAATTTGTTGATATTTTGAAAACTTAACTTTTAATATTTTGAAAATTTAGTTTTATAAAATTGGTAATTCATACTATTAACACATTGGTATTTTAAATATATCATATTTTGCAATAAAATATATATATATAATGATATTCTAAATGTATATTATATATATCACATAAGAAAACTATTTATCTTAAAATCTCTTTTAAAATTGCAGAATGAAGCAGATAGTAACAAATCAAACAGTTAAAATCCCAGAGGGATTGACTGTTACAGTTAAATCTCGTCTGGTAACTGTCAAAGGACCAAGAGGTGTTTTAAAACGATCATTCAAACACCTTGCACTTGATATTCGTGTAAGTTGAAAATCATGTAATAAGAAATACTTGGTTCTAATTTTCACTTGTTGTGAAAGGTTGTGATAAGAATATATTATGATGATAATTTGGATTCCCCTTCATTTCCTATAAATGATAAATCCATATCTGAAATTTTTACAACTAAATCATAAACGTATATAATGTGTTGTTTATAAATTGTTATAAATTATATATATATTTAGTATAAACTATATTTTAGATGGTCAGTCCAAGGTTATTGAAAGTTGAAAAATGGTTTGGTACGAAAAAGGAATTAGCTGCTGTTCGTACTGTATGTTCTCATATTGAGAACATGCTTAAAGGTGTCACAAAAGGATACCAGTACAAGATGCGAGCTGTATATGCTCATTTTCCTATTAATTGTGTTACAACGGAGAATAATACAGTCATAGAAATCCGTAATTTTTTGGGTGAGAAGTATATAAGGCGTGTTAAAATGGCACCTGGAGTGACTGTGGTAAACTCTTCCAAACAGAAGGATGAGCTTATCATTGAAGGAAATTCTTTAGAAGATGTATCACGTTCTGGTAAGTATTTTGCTAAAAATCATATTGCAAATAGATAATTTGAAAAATTAACTATATAATCATGTATTAATATTATGTTAAATTTCAGCTGCTCTTATTCAACAGTCAACAACAGTGAAGAACAAGGATATCAGAAAGTTCTTGGATGGACTTTATGTATCTGAAAAAACCACGGTTGTACAAGATGATGAATAAATCCCCCAATATTATTAATTTTATATTAATGAATAAATTACTGATCCAATACCAAAATAAATGTACAACTTAAAACTGCTTCGACAATGACAGTAGTACATCTGAGTTGTACATTTAAACAGTAGTACATTTAAAAGAAAAGGAACAATACAGATTAAGTGCATAGCATATGCGTCATAATAACTTCTTACATGAAATATATTTTATACATGAAATAATATATTTTAGCGAAATGAGTAATAAAATGAGAATTATGATACTGTAAGAAGTTTTTATGACTCAATGATTAGTCGTCTTAAATATGGATTCCAGAAACATGTAAATTTGCTGCATAATTTTAAGAGGTATAAATAGTATACCTACATTGATTAAACATTAACACTGTTCTTCATTGTAGTGATTTTAAAAGCACATGAACGTAACTGATAGTGACGAGAGGTCGGGTCAATGGTCATTCATAAAACATACACTTCATTGTGATAATAATATCATATGCAGCATATATTTTGAGTATATTATATCTAGCTTACCACGCGGAAACATTCGCAATAACATTAAATGGCCGATATAAAAATTAAGATAGCCTGTAATTAAAATAGTTATATTACCAGTGATTTGACGTGGTTAAAAAAGAAATACTTTTTAGGAATTTCTTATTTTAAGATGGAATTAAAGATATTTTTTTACTTTTTGCTATAGTGATTTGCTAGAATAAACTAAACATATAAAAATACCGGAAGGACGAGAAGGAACGAAACATACACGGATAATATCAGTACACAGCCAGAGTGTGATCATGATAAACCTAAGATACAGTAGCTTACTATAATTAAAACAAGGAAACAAACAATAATACGATACCAGGTAACTTAAATGATATTAAAATTCCATCTCACTTTAATTCATATACGTATATATGTTATTCCAAAATAATTAACAGATCCTAAATTGACAAGAAAATAACATTGGTTATATTTTATTTAAAAATAACATTTGTATGATCAACGGAAATGATGTAAAATATATTTTATCTTTAAAATTTTGGAATACGCAAAATTTTCAATATTATGCACATTATTCTCTTAGAGATATACACACATGTTACTTTAAATAAATATATTAAACATAAAAGTTATATAAAATTATATAAATATTATATAAATATTCATGAACTTAGTTGTGCGATATGCAAAAATAATAACAAGAATGCAAAATGCATTCTTATAATGCAATAATGCAAAATGTGACAAGAATATCAAGACGTTACGTCATAATTGTAATAACATGCTTAAACTGGTATCCTTTATGCAAAATTTTTTTTCTAGATTAGTTGCCTGAGGCATTTCGATTTCGTCCTTTAAATATCATTGTATAAGTATTTTATAATAAACTTTGTATTTTCCGCATAAGAAGTTATATTTAGTAGCAGCAAACAAACACGCACAGGAAGTTATTTAATTTATGTGTAATATTCTGGTATAAGTGTAATATTTTTATTTGATCTTTGCATATCATCTATGTTATAGCATGTCATAAAAAAGGAAAAGTTCCAGTAAAGAGAAATTTGAATGAAAAAGGATTATTCCTAATTTATTCAATTCTCTCTGGTTTCTCGATTTTAATAATATTTACGAGTGAATAATTAGAGTGACATCAATAGATAGATAAAAAAAATTTTTTAATATTTGGTAAATGGCATTTAAACGTGCAGTTTTTATGAAATTATTTTATTTTTGTCAGTAAGTTCTATGATATTGTATTAATCTATATTGTTTGTTGTAAATTCTTATCCTGTAATAATGTTAATATGTGACCTATAATGCTTGGAGGAAATTACTGTGCGAATATCAAAAAGATAGTGCACAAGTTATCTTTTTATTTTTATTATTTATTAATTATCTTTTATTTAATTATTTTTTTGTTTAAGAAAGTTATATCGACAGTTTAATTGTAAAAAATCACGTTTATCGTATAATTTCCTTTCTCATTACATTATTAAAAAATAGGGCCAGAATTTAAATCAATTTATTTCTGCTATTTTTATTCATATTTGAAACATTCTTATTTTAATTTGTATTTATTTTATTTTATTGTTATTTTGTACTTTATTTTCAGATGTATCACTTACATTTTTATTGTTTCATTTCTCGATAGTTAAAAAAATCGCATAATTTTCTTATTTACTAAAAATTTGATCTAAAAATATAATACAATGCATATTTAGATGATTAATGTCACTATTACTAATGCAAGTATATAGACATACATAATTGTTTTTCCATGTATAATTTATTATTTGTATAATTTAATTACGTATAATTTAATATTCATTGTATTTTAGATCTGTTCGAAATATCTATAAAGTTTTATAAATTTCAAATACAATGCTTCCGGTGGAATTGACAGAATAAATTTCAGTATGTATTAGTTTCGCGATTAATGATTGATATGCTCGAAAAATAATTTAAAAAATTATTTCTAGGAATGTTTTGTATAAATTGCACAAGAAAAAAAAATATATATATATATTCTAAGAATATATACGTATATTAAGAATATATATCCTAACATAATTAATATTTTATTGACGTCCCACAGTATCGGAATTGGAGAGAGGAGGAGGGTTGAGATCCAGTCTGCTGCCAGAGTGGGGATTCGAGCAAGATAGAGAGAGGAAGAAAAGCATGAACCTGTGTCTTCGAGTTCATACTCTATCCTCTGTCGCGGACAGTCCGCCTCCTGCCTACCCATCGCTTTTAGACGTTCAAGTATCAAGCTGCATGCTACGTAAGTACATCACGCTCAACGTGCACATTAAAATTATTTCTCTTAGCTGCGCAATAATCGTAAGAAGTTTTACCACTAAATTGAATATTTACTTTCACATCCGTTCACTCAGCCAGTACGCGACCGTTAACTCCGTATATTCATATATATCACGCTTCCTCAGTGTATTATCTCTGAAATATGGCCGGAAGAAAATATTACAGATGAATGTCAGAAGCTACGGTCAAGCTAACATGTTTACTTATTATGTTTCCGATCGTCTCTCGCTTTCGATTCTAAACAATCGAGGAAATACAAAATTGCATTAATAACATGAAAAAAAAACAAAAATTCTTCTGTAAATTGTTTTTGCTGCATTTTCTTTTTTCTCAGCAAAGTAAAGAAACAGATTTTTAAATCTGATATAGATATAATCCATGTGTCTGTAATGCGAGATGTTAGATTTCGAAAGAAGAGTTGGATTTCGCTAATGTCGCGAAAAATTCTAATTGGAAATCCATAAATCCATAAAATGTTCTTATATCATTTTGATACATGTGCTGTGCAATTAAAATTGATTAGCGACATTTGAAATATATATATATATATATATATTGCATTTAATAAAAAAGTGAAATTTTGATGCAAATGGTGCAAATATGTACATTTAAGTGCACATTTAAATGTATGTTTTAGCAAGCACAACAAATCAATTATGGATAGTCTGGTCAGTGTGCAAAATAGTTTCGATATGTATTTTCGTATTGGTTGCGCATATTTTTAGATGTTCGAACGATCCTGAAATGTGTCGAATTAAATGTATAAAATTAATATCTTTTCATTTTACGTATCCTCATGCTTTGTATCAATGTTTACACTATTTCATTGATTTTTAATTTTAGCCTTTAATATTTTTTATTTTATTATCTTATTTCTCAGGTTTATCCATTTATTAATTATTTGAATATATGAGACGCTGCTTAATTTATTTAATTTCCTTTTTCTTATTTAAAGAGGATATTTTATCATGAAATATAAAATAACATTCACGGTTAAGTACGTAATTGATATATTTGATGATCCACGCATGAACCTTGTTCGTGCCATTATCTGTATTTTATCTTTTTGATAAAGAAATATCTTTGGCTAATCTGAAACAATGTAGTATTATCACAAATTAAGTAATTTTCTCCGAAGGTATTAATCTTAATATATACGAAATAAATTTAATTTAATATATACGAAATAAATTTAAATAAATTTATTACTTATATATTATGCATGTAGACTTTTTTTATTACTTTTTTTGTTCTCTTATTGCCACATATGCAATATAAAAAGGCTTCTTTTGCAATTTAATAACATTGATATATTTAGTGATTACATGTGCACGTGTAATTTAACATGCATTCATTACATAATTGATGAAATATGAATATTATTTAATATAAATATAACTATTAATCTAACAATCAACTGTATAGAATGCAGATATGAAAAAAATATGATTAGACAGTCGATACAAATTAACTCAAAATTCATTATGCGGTGTTCATTCCGCGGTGTTACAAACAAAACGTTGCAGAAAAAAATTAATTTAACTGTAATTAATTTAAAATAATACATTACAGAGAAGCAAAGGTGAACTTATTATGTTCAAAGCAATGAGATAAACAAAATTTTTCATTTTGTATTTATTACCGAAAAGAAGAGAAAACACAAAATACATGCGAGCGAGCGTAATAAAGAAATTGCTTAGTACGATTATTCGAGTATGTGATTATGAAATGATATTTTTTAATAATACATGAAAAAATAATGAACAAGAGATGTTTGTGAAACGTTTAATACACTTGATCATCGATCAAGGCTTAAAATCTCGCTTTCCAGTTACACCTTTAAACTCTGTACTTTTTCATATAAGATCGTATCATATTAAAGAGAAAAAATATTATTTCTTTATGATCATATTGAGAGATTCAAGTTAATAATAGATAGTTAATAATCAAGTTAATAATCAATTAATAGTCAAGTTAATAATAGAGATAAAGTTTATAAAATGTAAGAGAGTTACCTTGATATTAGATAATATGAAGCAAATTTTGATTTTATCTACAGGGTGTTCCCCCTGTCCCATTTAACCTGACAAATCGTAATATCTGGAAAACTACATGTCGGATCAAAAAAAGTGGGTGATGAAATTTGTTCGTTTCGAAGGGGGACATCCAATGATATCAAACTCGACCTCCCACCCCACTCCCGGGGGTGGGGGTGGGGAGAAACTTTGAAATCTTAAATGGGAACCCCCATTTTTTATTGCAGATTCGGATTCTACGTCACAAAATACGTAAGTTTCGTCCGAAACTTTTTTTTTAATTCGTGATAGATGGCGCTGTAATCACAAAAAATTAGATTTTCTGCAATTCTTCATAAATACGACATGTAGTTTTCCAGATATTACGATTTGTCAGGTTAAATGGGACACCCTGTATACTAGAATATATAGGTATGAGTGTCCGAAGTGACATATGTAAAGTATATGCACTCGACAAAAAGTTTATTTTAATATTAATGAATACCAGTGAAGAGGCAAAAAACTATTTAATATCAATCTGGTGTAACAAATGACAGATGACGAATGTAACACACATATTTATTGCGAATAACCAGTTTATATGCATACAAAAACTTTAATGTCTCTCACGCGCATATACGCACGCTCGGCTGTCTAGCTTCGAAAGAAAAAATGAATAATTTTTTACTGTTGAACTATAATAATGTTCTAATGTTTAATTTTAATTACTTAACTATAAAGTTCCGGTATAAATGATTATACTCCTTTTTGCAAATAGATTGTTACATTTGACGTGTTATGGAATGTTTTCCTGTCGCATACATATACATTATAGAAGTTTGAAATATAACGCAGTATGCAATTATATCGATTGCAATCTTTGACGATCCTTACCGCGTATAATGCAATCTGCAGTTATATCGATTGCGATCTTTATGACGAATTATAATAAATTAATCTCTTTTCATGTTATAAAAAATCAATATTGTGATGAGAGATTTTATATATTTTTATATATAAATTTACAATCTCCCTAAGTTATGTTAAAAAAATTAAAATACAATTTAACGAATAAACAGTATAAAGTGAGAATGTTAAATGTGACAGTAATGCAATCGAGATTTTCTTGGTATAAAAGTCCGTCTGAAACGTCGTTCGCTCGGCTCTCTTGAACTTTGCACGTGTTCTTCACTCTATGTGTGTATTATTAATCATCCGCTTATCTATCAATACGATGTTTAAAGGGGACACAATTTAAATGCTTTATACGCCGTTCGAATGAGGAGATTTTCAGAAATGAATAGGAATGATAAATATATTCTCTTCCCATCGTTTTAAAATTTTATCAGCTACATAAGTAGTTACGATAATGAGCAATGTTTTTTACAATTTCTCAGTGTGTTGATTTGTATATGATGCGCAACGGTCATGCTCTCTATGTCTCGTATATGATGAGCAAAGTGCACATCATATCGACTTTACCAATCGATTTAAACAATTACGATATATATCTTTAGTAATTTTATATCATAGAAAATTATATTCGATCTTGCGTCGTCTTGTATATCTACTTCGATAAATACAATGTAGTAACATTCGACAGTAAAATAAACAAACCATGAAAGCTATGTTGAACAAGCATATGTTAGGATATACGTAAACATCGCATATTTACATCGCAGTACCTTACTCAAAGGTATCCTGCTACTTTCACTTCGCTTTCAACATCTCATGTGTATTTCGACGAAGAATGAATTCAAATACGTTGTTTTATCCTTATTATGCGATGACGTCAAAACTATATCAATATATAACATTATATGTTTTGCTCCATGTTTGACTTATCGCGGTTTATAGTTTATACGCGCTTAAAATCGCTTGTTGACAGTTTAGTTTCGCGCTGCTTGTTAAATACGATAATATCTATGACGCAGTTAGCGATTACTCTAGTACGACCTTTCTTTTTCTTTTTTGATGTAGACATAAAAATCGAGTTAATGATAATTATTGCTGCTGTCGTTATTGCCAAACACAGCGATTCATCCGCGAGACAAGCCTCTGTCTACTACTTAAACATTTAACAATAGCTCGATATTATGCGCTGCATCGATATATGGCTGGATGAAATCGCTACAAGTCAAAGATCATCAGGCTGGACTTAGTTCCATAAACTTGGACTGTGGCTTTGGTAATTATAAAATGTTCTAAGATATCATTGGTACAATGAAAGTTATTTAGTATCAACTGAGAAGTTATACGAATCAGATGGTTGAATACCAGTGTAATGTTGTGTGATGTTTGTTTTGCGATTACAAATATTTGGTAAAATATATATTCAAAACTTTTTTACTAGCCTGTTACACTTCAAATGATCTTTCTTACGATAAAATTCTGTAGTTCGCAATAATAGTTTGCAGAATCAAAACAGAATCAAAACATTTGAAAAAATGTATTTAAAGAATGAAAATATTTCTATATAAATGTATGCGCATACATTAACCCTTTGTTACCCCTTGTCCTGACAGTACTTCAAAGTACCGCTCTATATATGCGCTCTTGAACCTTTTTCTCGTGTCTTACCCTACATTCCTGTCGGTACTTACAAATACCACGTCAATATTTAATCATTGAATTGTTACAAAATTTATTTTTCTGTCTTATGTTTATGATATGCCAAAAGTTATTTAATTACGCAAAAATTTAATAAGGTCTTGGGTAAATTAATTTAGGATATAAAGGGTTAATATATATTAAGACAGACGATAACAGCATAATTAGCATATGTTATGACAGACGATATAAGATTCTAATGCGAATAAAATCTTGTTGTGTGGAAAGATACTTGGTTCTTTAAAGCTTTAAGGTATATATACAATTTACCGATAAATTCTTTTAAATAATCATTAGAATATTTCTTTTTCCCTTTTAATTGTATCCTATAAAAATGATAGAATCTTATGTCGTAAAGCACTAAAAAATAATAAAGTTTGATAAAACGCGATTATAATGGAATCTGCTAATTCATAGCGAATATTCCAGGCAAGATGAATGCCAAATTCAAAGAAATCGGGACACTATACATGACTCCGAAATGTAGCGAAATCGTTATAAATTCTATGTCATGGACAACCGGTAGCCTGTTGATGCGTCTATGCATCTATATATCGTCAGAATGCATTATCCGTTCTTTTTTACTGTTAGTGACTCATCGCGGGACAAAGAATTATCTCGCGACACAAAGTTACCTTTGTCCTCTATCCGTACATAAAATTATAGACTTTTATTCCTTAAGAATTCCACTAATAATTTTGCGAGTCAATATTTCCAGTTCCTTTCGATCAGCTTATGTCATATTTATTCCCGTCCAAATTATACAGAATTGCAGAATAAATTGTTCTCAGGAAACTATAAACATAGCTGTATAAAATAAAAGGAGAAAACAATGAAAATGAAAAATTTTTAGTTGTATTTTGTCAAATCACAAGATCATGACTCGAACAAAGAAGAAATCCTTACTAATTTCAAGAGAAAATTATTTTCAAATCAAATTATGTGTGTGAGTGTTAATTAAAGAAACTGGTTATGGTTTTCGCATAATCAACTTTCTTATACATGTTTCCATCATTTAGCGTAATTTTATTTTTCATTGATGTGACGTTAAATTCATTAGTATGCTCGTAAAAATTATTAACTATATTTAAATTCTTGATAACGTTGAAAAATAAAATTTTCCTGTTGCAGGCTATTCGTTAGTGTGATAAATGAGTGTTCGAGCCTAATCAACTCTATCACTGAGCTGAACTCACACCAAGCGCGGAACGATGGAGATATTGATGCACGAAGCAAGTAATCGGCAGGAAATAGATACAAATATGCCAATTAGCACGACCGATTCTAAATCTGTGCTCAAGGAAAAACGTGACGACTTAGGCGAGCTTGCCCATGTCGGAACGCATGATAATAACAGAGAATCAGTTGATATCATCTTTGAGGACATCGCTTATACCGTAAACCTTGGTTGTAAGAAAGGTAAATTCTCACGATCATAGAAATTTTTTTCTTTGACAAGTTGATCAGAAATATGTTACAAAATAGCATAGCTAACTGTCCATTAACGCAACCGACACGAAATTGCATTTCTCTTCGTTTTGGACAATTAAATTAGTGCCTCGGTTAATTTTCCGGTCCCAACAAAAGTTTTACGTTTTCAGATATTTTAATTTTCAATCAAGGCATTTGGAAACATTTGTTCATCACCATTACAAAACGTATCAATTGTTGTTATTTGTGAAATAATTTCAGAACATAATGTGATTCTCATAAATTTCAGGGCAAAAGGAGATATTGCACGAAATTAATGGAAGGCTTCCTAGCAAACAACTGATCGCCTTGATGGGACCGTCTGGTGCGGGAAAATCTACATTACTTGACGTTCTGTCTGGTTTTCGCGTAACCGGAGTGGACGGTGTTGTATTCGTTAACGGTCGCGTCCGGCATCTTAACACTTTCCGCAAGTAGGTAGAATGTTCGGTATTGATTTTCCGTTTTATCGAGTTCTCGAGATGTTTCCCCCTAGCTATCTGTTAATACGGCTGGTTTCTCAATATCTTCAATCCTCAATAAAGTAACACCGTTTTCCGCAAATAAAACCGGAAATTGTGTTCATCTCGTGCATCGTCGTCTTCGACATTTATAAATATTAAATGCTTAACAAGAGAAAATACTGTATATATTCTTAATATTTATATATTCTTTAGAAGACACACTTTTTCAAATATTGCTAATTTATAAGAAGACCATTGCAGTGTAAAACTCATCGTTTTAAGTTTTCTTGTGTATAAATAATTACGAATTATATTTTTTTATTTATTATTAAAAAGAATACTAGAAGATGACATCAGTAATCAGCAATAAGTTATCATTTTTCCGTGCTTTCCAAAAATCGGTTATGGATACATACTCATATCTTTTTAACGCTTTGTTATTCTGTCATTAGATGCAGCGCATACATCACACAAGACGATCGATTAGAACCTTTGCTTAATGTGCTGGAGAATATGCGAGTCGCTGCTGATTTAAAACTACCAACTGATACGCCACGACATAAAAAGGAAATGATTGTATGTAAATCATATTATTATTACCAACACATTTTTATCAATAACGTTCTACGCTTAATAATTAATTTTAGTGCTTGAGAGAAAAATACAAGCATGTTTTATTTATGCAATATATTACGAAACAGTATGTTATATTTCAGATCGAAGAGATTCTCACAACACTTGGCTTGTACGAACACATGGATACGAGAGCCGGTAGATTAAGTGGCGGTCAAAAGAAACGGCTGTCCATTGCTTTAGAATTAGTCAACAATCCTACAGTAATGTTCCTTGACGAACCTACCACGTAAGCGATTGTATTATACTAACGTCATCTCAGAATGTATTGACAATGTTAAAAATCCATAATATATGTAACGTGAACTGTAGATTTTCAGCATATTTCGAAATGCATTGTCAGCACATTTCGAAATGCAATGGCAAAATGCAAAGGCATTAACTTGATCACTCCGTGACGCTGGAAATTTTAACTTTACATTGCTCAAAACAATTGAATAAGTTTTGGAAATAAACCCTTTGTTATTGTGATATATTGTTAACATGCAAGTTCCACTTTTAACAGGCACACTTATGTAACTAATGCCATTGAGTTTTTCCTAGATTTAAGGCCTAATTTTTTATGCAAGATGCAAATATTATTTTAACCAATATATTGAAATCTCTACTAACATGTTCTCTTTTTATTTGTTATACCAATATTTCCAGCTATTTATATCATATTCTTCTTTATAAGTGTAAATGTGCGAAAAATTGTGATGCACAGTAGCTAAATAATTTGCATAAGTATCGTTAAAATATTTTTAGCACATAAAATTTAAAATCGCTTATAAATTATTTTTATAAATCGCCATTTCCATTTATTATAGAGGATTAGACAGCTCGTCATGTATGCAAGTTATAAATTTACTTAAGATTCTTGCACGACAAGGAAGGACTATAATTTGCACTATTCATCAACCTAGTGCATCTCTATTTCAACTCTTTGACTTGGTAAGTACGAATGTCGCAGACATTATTGTAGAAATTATAGAATTTGTTGTATCAATATATTACTAATAAAAATTTTATGTATGTAATAAATCGTCACATTAATCGTCGTAAAAAATTATAACTTTTTAGGTGTACGTTCTATCAAAAGGAGACTGTCTTTACCAAGGAGCAACTAATAAATTACTGCCATATTTGGAAAACATAAAACTGCCATGTCCTATGTATCACAATCCTGCAGACTATAGTACGTACACGATAATCTAAAGATTATTATTATTTATTAGCGAAAGCTTGCGTGTTTCAAGTGGATTATTGGAAAGATTCATGCAAACTCTGCATTTTTAAATATATTAAAAATAAAATATTTCTTTGAGTATATATCTAAAACACATTGGCTTAGATTATATATTTCATTAAAATGTTTCAAAATGGGAAGACATTATAGAGATGTCATAAGAAAAAAAAATAGGATTCTATATCTAAAATAATATTATTATGTACAACATTAGTAATCGAACTTGCCTGCGGAGAATATGGTGACGATAAAATTGACATGTTAATAACGGCGTCGCAAAATGGAAGAAACTTGCAATGGTTCGACAACCCGGAAGCCCTGAAAGATGCAAAAAGTTTAAGAGGTTTGTAGATCGAAAAATGAATATATCAACTATTTCATTGCTCAACGTGTAAATTGCGCAATATATAATTATACTTATTATATATTTAATAATACTATATAGCATTAATTGTCAACATAAAATACTATTTATGTTAATAGGACATGTATATAAAGTTGTCCTACTTAAAGTACGTTCTACTTATAATCATTTACATTATCTGGCATTAATATTGAAATATCCATTGTGAAATATATATTGTGTAATATTTTTATGTTTAAAATATAAACTTGTTGAGATATTTAGTTTCATTTTTCTTTTATGTCAAGCAGCATTGAAATATAGTCATCAGTTTAATAAGTTAAGTCGACCTTATCAAAAGAATTATTAATAGACATAAAGAAGTTATTAGTTGCTGTTTTTATGATAATCGCTCATTACTTTTTTTTATTGTTTACGTGTACCACGTACGTAACACTTTAGTTTAACGTCTGCTTATATCTTTCAGCGGCACATCCTTTGAGAAATTCGAACATACCGGAAAGAAGTAGTCCCTTACACGCGACCAATTTCTATTACCAATTGAAAGTCTTATTAAGAAGAGGTTTTATTATGTGCAAACGAGATACGGTATGTTATATTTTTATTAAACGTCATATCTTACGTGTTAATGATGAATGCACACTTTAGTGACACGAATCAGTTATTACTACTATAATAATAAGTAAAAAATTATTAATTATGATAGTTACCAATTAATAGTTAATAAACTTCATGGTGATGTCAATAATAGTACTGATGCACCCATATTGTTGCCTTGCAGACACTGACACACTTGCGCATCGGAGTTAACATAATTGTTGGTGTGATGCTTGGATTAGTTTTTCTACGGTCCGGCGCAGACGGCTCGCGCGTTTTGGACAATTACAATCTTCTTTTTTCTATCCTTATACATCACATGATGACAACGATGATGCTTACTGTGGTGACTTGTAAGTATTTAATCTTTTGTTTAAATACCATAGCGATATTTCTCTGCATGTACGAATAATTATTCGGAAATTTTCATAAATACAACTTTATGTAACACGAAGTTATATATCTGATTCACAGTTCCAATGCAGATGTCTATCCTCATTAAGGAACATTTTAATAGATGGTACAGCTTGAAAGCATTTTACGCAGCGTTAACGGTGATTGATCTGCCAATTTCAATAGTGTGCTGTATATTATTCTCGTTAATTGTATACTTTATATCGGCACAACCATTGGAGATCGTACGATTCTGCATGTTTTTATCCATTAGTTTATTTATCATGTTCATAGGCCAAGGAACTGGTCTCATGATAGGCGCTGTGTTCAACGTAGTAGTAAGTGCGATTAATATATTTGATTCTAATCACAATTGCGCGTGATCGCTTCGTGGTTACTTCACAGGTATATTTAAATGTACAACTAAAATTTAATGAAGATATTTTGAATTTCAGAATGGTACGTTTATGGGACCGGCATTAGCGGTACCACTGATGATGTTTGCTGGATTCGGAGTTTCTTTACGTGATCTACCATCCTATCTGAAATGGGGGAGTTACATTAGTTATTTACGATATGGCCTAGAAGGGTAGGTAAAATATGCACTATATACATATCTTTATCCATTGTTTACAACAATGTTAAAAAAATTTATATATGTATGTGTGTATGTATTGGCGAATTTTAGACCTATTATTCTTCTAGGAATAACGAAATTTAAATGTTGGTTAGTTATGGTTCAAGTTTCGACTAAAGATCTATAATATTAGTAAATCTTAATTTGAGTCTCGGTTAAAAATCTGTAATGTTGGTAAATCATGGTTCGAGTTTGTAATATCAATATTTGATGGTTTATGTCGACTAAAAATCTATAATGTCGGTATTTTTGACGCTTCAAATCTCGGTCAAAAACTGTAATGTTGTTCTTAAAATGTAGTTCTTATATATATTCATATAGAGAACTTTGTCTTGTACCTCGTGTACTTTTTTAATATTTAATGTGTACCTATACATAATGTTTATATGGATTAAAATCATATAAGTTTAAAATATGTTTATGATGATATGTATAAGCATAATGTGATGTATACTCTTCCAGACTCGTTTGTGCCATCTACGGGCTGGACAGGCCTATCTTAGATTGCAAAGAGAAGGGTGAAATATATTGTCATTATAAGTATCCTAAGAAATTTCTGGACGACATCGCCATGAGAGGAGACCAATTTTGGAACGATATTATTGCACTTTTCGCAATACTGATCATCACAAGATGCGGTGCATATCTACTTTTACGATGGAAACTGATGTCACTACGATAAAACCGATATGAACGAGGCTTGAACATTTGAATTTCGTATTTGGTGTAAAATCTTTACTATGAAAAGTACGTGCACGTATGTGTATAGATATATTTAGGCGGCTAAAGCCCAGTTGCATCAACATTATTTTGGTTTTAAGTGAGACTTAAATATATCTCTGTCTTTATTTATTTAGTAAGAAAGATAAAGACAGACTTATGTTTAAGTCTCACTTAAAACCAAAATAATGTTGATACAGGATCTAAATATTGCATATGTCCGACCCATAATTTCTAATGTTTAAATTTCTCAGAGCTATATATTTGCATATATTTATATAAAAAAATCAAGCTTGTCTTTTATTGCTTAATTTTCTCATTTGAATGAAATATAGGAAACTACGGACATTTATGTTATTCTTAGCCACTAATGTGTATATAATTGTATTCTTATACTTTTATTATTATTTATCTAAATATATATTTATATAATAGAAAGAATGTTTTAGAATGTTCAGTAAATACATATTTTCTTGTGTATATATACCTTTAATGAAATCTCCAATTATGATGTTATGATACTTGCGTGAATAAGTACATAACTAAATAATAAACTGTGTGTGTTTTATATATGTGTGTGTTTATATGTGTGTCCACACACGTTGACATGACAAATGTATTAACTTGTTTGAATTTATCGATAAATATTGAGAATATTAAGCAATAAGCATATACGTGATATGTATGTCGTAAAAAGACAGCGTAATTGTGTATTATTCGTAACGCTGTCCATTACTGATGTTAATTGTTAATTTGTATTTTTAAATGTAACATCACACGAGATATTTTGCAAAAAATCCAAATTATATACTGGATTCATTAAAGAGAGGACGGTATAAAATATGATAAGAGAATAGAACATTATATTTTATGAGAACATAAATGCTGGAACTAAAATAGCAAAACTATGGATCTATAAATAATTACTTTAAGTACAATATAATCTTTTTAATTAGCTTTTATATAATTTTGATATATCGGCCATTTCTATCATTAAAGTCTGTTAACAAACTATACCAAATTTTAAAACTGCTACAAAATTATATAAATTGTTAAAATATCCAAATATTTGACACTCTTAGCAACAAAGAATATTTAAATTTAATGTTTATTTTCTAGATCATTACTATATATAATTATAATTACATTACTGTCGTTATTATTATTTATTACTTGATTATTTCTATTATAAAAGAAGATAAAAAATTTTGATGACTGTTTTATTTGATATATACGACATCTGGTTATTGTATTGCAAAATGTTTTATATTGTTACTTATATAGTTATTTTGTAATATTTAATATTAATAATATATAAGATATTATTTATATATTATATATTAATTACATAATTAGCATACAATATGCGTAATATAATATAATATATAAAGTTAATTATTAAATATTAAAAATATAATATATTAAAGTTAATATTCTTTATATTATACCAATTACATATATCATGTAATATTAATAATAAATTTACAATTGCATTATCCCAAGTATAATCATATAAAAATGTTATATTGTTATTATATACAGGGTATTATATTAAGTAAAATGAATTTATATATATTTGAGATCTCCACCATTACTAATATCCTTATCTTTTTCTTTATAATATTCTGTTCACTTTTATCAAATACCTGGAATACTATATATCATGTTATTATATTTAACATATTACTTTCTCGCATAATAAATTTTGAAACAAAGTATCACATAAGTGATTATATGTAAACAAATTATCCAAAAACCTAATATTATTAAAATGAAATGGAAAGATATCGTTGGCATGTCCATCATTGCAAGAATCGTGCTGGGAGACTGTAAATAACAATAAATTGTCGAGCACGATAGATTATCTCGATCACTGTAAATTGCTTGGACCATTCCCTCAAATGCATACCTAAAGTATAAAGGAGTGAGTTTTTTTTTAATTAATTAAATATTATATGTTAAATTGATCGTTAACATTTTCAATCTATACCTGAAGAAGCTCAAACAACCTAAAGGCTGCAAATATTCCGACATTTCTCCCAATTTCAAGAAAAATCCAGCAAAGAGCAATAATGGTATACTCAATGCTGGTATCAAAAAGATACCAATCTAAAAGTCATTATTTGCTTCATTATGATATTTATCAACAATGCAATCAACAATATAATAAAAAATGCGAAAAAAATTGTTGCATTACTTCAGTGTTAAAAGCTGCGCCAGTAAGAATTCCGACTGTTTGCCCAATAATCGTAATTAACACGCAGACACCCCATACTTGCAAGATTCTATTATATTCCATTGGTTGTCCTGTCATATAATATGTTATAACGGTGAAGCATGAAGCGCAAAGCACCTGTAAATAAGATTAAGAAATCTTTGATTAGTAATATGAAAACGATATGTATAATGATGTACAAATAATTAATATCAAAATTATTACGTTATTGATAGAATGAAACATACCTGCATTGGAAGATCCGTTAATATTTTTACGCTGTAGTACGACTTCAAGTCGTACCAATTATTTAAATATTCCTGTAGAAATACTGCTGCTTCCGTGGGAACTACAACGAGACAACGATACAATTATGCTTAACACGATATAATTATACCATCGATAAATTCACAATATGAAACAAAAATGTAGATTTTAAGCCTGGATATATATAACGTATATAAAGAAATATAATACATATAAAAGACTATATATATTTAAGAATATAAAATTCATGTTATACTTACACATCTGTACTGCCGGCATAGAATTTGAAAAAAATAAAAATAGCAGGAAGAAGAATAAACACGCTACGTTGCTGTTCACTTTGTCTGCGTCATTTCCAAAATCATAAAACATCATACTCAGTAACAAAGCCACTATAATGTGAGCTACAAATCTCAATTTTGTTAAAGTCTAGAACAGAAAAAAAAAGTTATAACAGACACATACAAACATAGTGTGTAACACGGACTATGCAAGGTGTCCCATTTTAATGTCCCATCCCAAATAACTCTTCAGTATTGAAGTTTTAAGAAAAATGATCTGAATAAAAGTTAGATAGGGATTTAAGTGAGCTATCTCATGATGACATTGACATTGACCTTGACATCTATTTTCAAGGTCATTTGAAGGTCAATTTGCGTTTTTTAAGTGGGAACCCTTATTTTTTATTACACTGTTTTTTTCCACTAGTTAATTTGAACAACTTTTGTCTAAAATATTTTTTTATTTGTTTAATATTTTTTGAGATATTTGAGGAAAACTTGATAACTTTTTCAATATTTAACTTACGATATCTCGTTAATTATTTGCCGGAGAAAAAAGTGGTACTAGACTTTCTTGCTTTATTTAATCTCAAGAATATATTGTTACAATAGGGCCCTGATTTTTGTTAATTTAATGATTTGGAAATTTCCAAAAATCAATAAGTTAACAAAAGTCAAGGTGCTATTGTAACAATATATTCTTGAGACTAAATAAAGCAAGAAAGTCTAGTACCACTTTTTCTTCCGACAAATAGTTAGCGAGATATCGTAAGTTAAATATTGAAAAAGTTATCAAGTTTTTCTCAAATATCTCAAAAAATATTAAACAAATAAAAAAATGTTTTAGACAAAAGTTGTTCAAATTAACTAATGGAAAAAAACAGTGTAATAAAAAATAAAAATTCCCGATTAAAAACGCAAGTTGACCTTCAAATGACCTTGAAAATAGAGGTCAAGGTCAAAGTCAAGGTCATCATAAAGTAGCTCACTTAAATCCCTACCACGTTTATTCCGATCATTTTCCTTGAAGCTTCACTACTGAAGAGTTATTTGGGGTGGGGCATTAAAATGGGACATCTTATATAAATTTAATTCCACATAATCTTACATACACGCGTCTGTTTCTAAAAGTTTTTACTCACATTATCTCGTTTGATGGAAATAAATGCTCTTAAAAATAGTATTTTTTGTTGTTGACATGTTGATAATTTTTGCTTTATGTTATTTGTCAATACATGTGAAGTATTTGTTTCGAAACTATGTTTAGAAGTAGTCGATATATTCGTATCTGTAAAGTTTGTTAACGAAGTAAGTTAACTTGAGAATAAAATCTGTACAAGAACTATTTTTTCTTAATATAATGTTATAATTTTAAAATCAATTTGATTTTCTAATGCTTTATATTTATCGCTTTATATACTATATATTCAATAAATAAAAAATATTAAATTATCATCTCGGCTTTATATATCTCTTGAACGTTCTTACACAGTATTTTTAAAATACTTCAAAGATATTACCGGATAAGATAATCTTTTTAAATATTGTAAAAATTCTCTAATACTGTTTGTCATAAGTTATTATAGTAACAGTGTCAACACAACTTATACGTTAAAAACTACGTATTAGAAAAAATGTTATACGAGATTAAATATCATTGAAATTGTTTTATTAATGATCTTTTGCTTTATTTGATGATCTTTTACTTATTAGACATTTAAAAAAAAATTTTTTGTTTAAATTGACGTAGATATGTATTATATATAAATATATTTTTTAGATTGACGTGAATATGTATTATATATTAATATGCAGACGAGATACTTACATATTCACTATACGTTTACTGCATAGCAAAAAATCACTTGATTATTATAAAAATCAGAATAATTAAGGCTTCTGGCTATTCGCCGCGGATCTCTTCATTGGTGATATGAGAAGCGAGAAAAATACGTTTACAATTCTTATAAAGTATGTCAAAATAGAAAGATATGTCTGCGAACTTGATCGAACGGACCATGTAAAATAATTTGTGTTTGCCTGAATGCTTTTTTTGCTTTAACAATATATAAACCAATTTTTTAACCAATCGGCAGGTCATAAATGTCACATTTTATGAACATATCTTTTTATTTCAACGTATTTAACAGAAATTCTGAACGGAATTCTCGCTCCTGATGGCCATAGATCAAGATGGCCATGGTGAGTAGCCAGGAGTCTCTTGAAATGATTACAAATATATTATCAAGATAATATAAAATAAATATGTTACACGATGAAAAATAATAAATATTACATAGCTCAATTACCGTCACTAGAGTGATTTTTCTGCAACTTTGTCTTCTCGTATTCGGTACGGGATATTTCATACAAATTGTCTAAATTTTCACCTCTTTGTCCGGTTATTACTTCGAGTACTGCAATTAAAATCAATATTGCACATATACGAAGAATATCTTTTTTAATTAAAATTGTATTTGTCTATTGCAAATTTGATTTAATCTAATAGCAATGTGCAAAATAAGTCATGCTACATATTTAGATTGAAGGAAACGTAACTCATTCTTCCTTATTTCTCTCGTGGCTTACTCACTCAAGTTGAGTGAGTTGATGAAAAATGAATTAAATTATAGTATTACCAAATTCAGCTATGTTATAGAAGTTAGGACAGACGAAATCGGCTTTGCTGAACGTGTTGAGGATTTTGTCTTTTGGGCCGCAATACATACATCTACCATGACTTAGTACAATAATATCATCGAACTGCGAGATCATCTGACTGCTGGGTTGGTGTATCGCGCAAACCACGGTGCAATTTTCTTTCGCCATATTATATAACGTGTTAATAAGCTGTTCGATGCAAATCAAAACGTTATTATATATGAATCACATTAAATGACGTCAATCAGGTAAAAAATATAGAGCAGAGAATATTAATTATTATTAATATTAAAGGTGCGGCTTAATAAGGCGATTAAATATCGCAATATCTCTGATTATACCTGATTAGATGCAACGCTATCGAGACCACTTGTTGGTTCATCTAATAACAAAAGAGGCGGCTTGGAGACCATCTCTATACCGATAGAAAGTCTTCTCCGTTCTCCGCCACTTAACTTATTGACCATTGTGTCTAAACAACTAAGCAAACCGAAACTCTTGGCAATCTCATCGACCTGAAATAATATGGTGCGAAGTTTTGAGTCATTATGACCTTGTTAATTGTGCTTGTTTACACTATTAGTTGTGTATTATGTGTACAAAAAGATAACTTTTTTATATTTTTATTCTTATTTTTTATATCTTATTTTTTGATTCTAGTATATGTAAATAATTCTGACGACATTTATTCGAATTCAAAGATATTTTCTTGGTATATACGTATACTCACGATTGTATAAATTGCTTGATTCTGATTAGCTTCGAGTTTTAATCGAGCAGCTATATATAGAGTCTCTTTTGTGGTAAGAAACGGCAATAAAGCGAACTGCTGTGGCACGTAACATACTTGTTTACGGAATGATCCTTTATTTTGCTCAATACCATTTACAGTGATGGTACCTTTAACGTTTAAAAATTGTTCACCCGAAACGATCTTCAAGAGAGTAGTTTTCCCCGCGCCAGATGGGCCGATAATGACTGTAACTTTTCCCGGATCGAAGTTTCCTGTCACATTACTTAAAATCGTTTTCTTGGTTCCTATCATAACAAAATTTCTCATTAAATTATTTAAATTATTTAAATTATTTAAATGTGATATGTCGTCTTATTACACTTAAATCTTTGGACAAATTTACGATATCGAAACAATCGTAATCGTAAAATCAGTTTCATCATTTTCCCTATTTAACCAAGATATCATATCTAAAAAGAACAAAGTTAAATATTCTTTTTTTGATTACTGAATTTCTATATAAAATGTATGTTTAATTATTTTCAATATTATTTGAGATTATCTGCATGATATAAGAGTGATTTGATGATTTGGAAATTTCCAAAAGTCAGCACGTTAACAAAAGTCAGGACGCTATTGTAACAATATATTCTTGAGACTAAATAAAGCAAGTCTAGTACCACTTTTCCTTTCGACAAATAAGTGAGACAATTAGTGAGATATCGTAAGTTAAATATTGAAAAAATTATCAGGTTTTCCTCAAATATCTCAAAAAAATATTAGACAAATAAAAAATGTTTTAGACAACAGTTGTTCAAATTAATTGGTAGAAAAGAACAGTATAATAAAAAATAGGGTTCCCCATTTAAAAAACGCAAGTCGACCTTCAAATGACCTTCAGGGTCGAGGTCAAGGTCAATTTTGAGGTCACAAAAAAACAGAACTTTATGAAACTTTTGTTCGGGACCTTTTTCCCTATAATGCATAGATTCTGAGTTAGAGAGGGGAGTCCGTTACTTTTAGAAAACTTGGTATATAAAGAACTTAAATCTTCATTACTGAATTTCTTATTTTATGTTTTTTTTATTTCAAGTAGAGATCGTTAAATATATATCGACATATGTATATTTTTATATATATATAACTTTGTGAAGAGATTTTAGTTTATTTAAAATATTTATAAGCACAGAAATCAATATGTTAAACTTTGCTCTTCACGATATTACTAAGATATTAGATTAATATATAAATACATTATAAATTGATTAAAACTTTATAAAGTCTACAAATAAATGCATAACAGTATTGACAACCAGCGGAGAAGAACTACGGCTTGCACTTTCATTGTAAAATATAAGACGATGTAGTAACTTGCCTTTACTATTACAAGTTGAATAACAGAGATTGTTAAATTCGATACATAGCCGCGGATTTTGCGTTTTTTTTAATTCTATCAATCTCTCAGATTCTGCCAAACGTATGGTACAGTTATCATGGAATATTTCAACTGACATTACGTTATTCTTCTTATCGTTATCCAGTATGTTATTGACTATATGATCATTGGCTATGAAAAATAATCAAACGATATAACTGTTGTGTAAGTTTATAGACGTGTTTAATAGATGATAAATGATAATTTAATAGATGAACTAGTAAATGTTAATTATAAGCTTTATTAATCATAAACACACAACCTTTCCGACTAAATCAAGTTACACTTTTGTTTTTTTTCACGCGTCCATTTTTAACCGACTTTTCGTTTGATTCTACGCTTAATATTAGACGCAATTTGCTCAAAGTGAGAGATAGTTCACTCGCGGAGTATCACGCACGAGTTCTCGTCTACGACTGTCGAGACTGTCGATGTAGGCCAATTACTTTCATATCACTGACGTATCTTCGCATACAAGCATAAACGGAAATATTTTGTCTTGGAGACTGATTATCTTGTTTATTTATACATATACATGTATGATAATTTCTTATATAAAAATGTTGTCAATATAATCATGAAGTCGCTCAATATTTAAATTAAACATATCTTATTTAATATATAAATGAGACTTCATATATAAATATATATAATACTAATAATCATATATAACTAATATATAAATGAGACCACTAATGACAATGACCTTGATACATGTTAGTCATCATCTTGAGTAATCACCAAAATTTTAGCTATCGCTCATTGTTTATTAAACAGTTATTAACAAAAAAATATTCAAAAAATATAACAACCCAGTAAGCACAATGTATCATCGATATTACAATGTCAGCTAAATCATATGGTATATTACGTACTGTTACTTATAAACTGTTATTTCGTTATATAACAAAGCAACTGTTATGTAACATACCATATGATTTAGTTGACATTTGTAACATCGGTGATACTTTATGTTTACTGGGAAGTATTAGTGCTATTGTGAAATAGGAGATGTTAAATTTCTTCATCAAAAAACTAGGTCATGAGGGAAGATAGTGAGATGAATGTTATGACTGAACTTATCGAATTAAATTTACATATATTTTATTCGCTTATAAGCTGCAACGCAATTATATATAACAATATTATAATTCTATACTTTTTATATTACAATGATCACACGTTATCCCCTTTTTAAAATAGTCTTTTATAAAACACATGTCACTATATAATATATATTTAATATATTAACATAAATAAAATTAAATGCATTTTAAAATATTTTTGTTAAATATTTTTATCTTTTATATAACTTATTACAAAAAGGATAAAGTATGTAAATCCTTTTACCCACTATATAATTTATCATATATGTTGTTAAAAATAAATCAGTCTTAATAAATGAATCGCTTGAGATCTTATGAGATATTATATCATGAGACATTGTATGTACATTGTAAAACTGATACAAAATTTTATCCTGAAATATTATGTCATCCTGTTAAATGCGTTTCTTAACTCTTATTTTCAATGTAATATAGGCAGCAATATCTAAAGCAATATACAGCATTATCAACACTGACATATTAAACCAATAGTCTGCATGCTTCATATCTACTTCCGTAAGAAGCTTTTCGGGAATAGCAAAATGACAGTAATCCGCAGAGCATTTTAACTTCGCCCTGTTATAGCTGTAATTATAAATACATATAGTTATAAATATTTATTTTGATAGTAATTTAACAAATTTGACCTTAGAAATTACAAAATTAGAAAATATTTGTAAATTTTAGGATATATACAACACGGATATATACATGTCCGCATGTGATGTACGTAAGAAACATTATAAAGAATGCCAGAGCTAATTATCGTATGCCACAATAAAGAAATAAAATCTTACCCATAAATTGCAATCATAACTCCTTCAAATCCATATTTAAGAAATGATGTGTGAAATAACCACTGTAAGTAAGGATGCGCATCGTTTAGATGAACGAAAAATCCACTGAATATCATAAATGGCAAAATCACAAATGGTCCAAAAATCACACTATTCTGAAATTAAGCATTCGCATATATTATAAGCAGATGGTTTGTACTGAACTTAAATCTTTTATTTTTGCTTTATTAAAATCTTTTAAGAAAAAAGTCTAACTATATAATTATTTACTGTGATATGATTCCTTATTTATATTTTGTATTAATTTATTTATGTTTTATATTAAGAATAAAATTTATTTTAAGAATAAAATTTATATTAAGAATAAAATTTATGAATAAGTAAATGCATACTTGAACTTTTAGTCCAGATCCTAAGACAAGTCCAGCTGCCTGAGCAACCAAACTAGTAACAAAACACATGAGCATGAATAAACAGAGTCTTTTGGCTTCAGGAAGTTGATCACTCATATAATATACTACAAGAGCATAAATAAACGTGGCAATAAGTTGAACCGGAAAATCAGCCAATTTATTCGCTAGATAATACCATCGTAGTTTATACCAACGATTAAAATGTTCACGCATAAGTATCGGCAACTCAGAAGGAACTACGAAACAAATAAAAGTAACCATCATTTCAGGGTGAAGATCGTTAAATAAAAAAATTTAATATTAATATTAAAATCACAAAATACAGTATACTATTTTATCAAAATTTTATGTATATGTAATAAAAGTTAAGAGATTCATTAATTACGTTAGAAACTATAAATTTATGTTGCCATTTAAGAACTTTATAAAGGAGGTTGCAAAGGATATTTTTAAATACTTGCGTTTAAAATTCTATTGTATTAAAAGTATAACAAACTTACACGTAATCATTGTAGCACTAAACGCGCTATACATGAGAAACATCAAACTGAAGAATAATAGATTAAAGTTGTCTAAAACGTAAGCTGCATCTTGACCAACTTTGAAATATATTATACCGACAAGTAGAGCAACAGTGAAGTGCATTGAGATCCTTGAAACTGTTAAGAACTGAAGAAATGATTGTTTTATATTGCTAATATTTTGCTATTAAAAATAAGTAAATATATTAATAATTCATAATTCAATATATTATATTTTTAGATGCAGTAACGTCTGATAGAATAAAAATTATCAAATATCCTTAAATATATGAATATAATATTAAATATATTGTAAATTAAATGTATGAACATAATAAGCAGAAATTTTAATATACAAGAATTACCTTATCGCGCAATAGCCTAATTGTATTTCTTTTAACAAGAACACAAAGTTGTTTCCAGGAACTAGCAGCATAATGTGGGATATGCTTGAATTCCGTTTCGAAGGAATATAATCTCATAGGAGGAAGCTGTTGCGAAGTAATAATCTCTTTGTTCAAATAGAAAGTTGTATCCAATCTCCATTTGTTGCATTTACCATTCTGGATCGACTCCATTAGTTTAGGTATATAAGCACCATAATCTCCATTGCATATTTCCATCACTATGCAACAAAAAATAATGAAATGTAGTGCAAGTATCTTTATACAAAATATAAAAGTTGTATTTGCTACAAGAATTTGCTGGTATTAATAAGTTATTGAACTTGCTATTATTTGTTCTAAACAGATCTATCATATATATAATCTATAGAAAAAGTAAGTACATAGAATAATATAAAATAAAAATAGGAAATAAAAAAGAATAGAAGAACTTATTAAACAAAAATATAACTTACAATAATCAGCTGGATTGTAATGCTTTGGACAATATAAGCCTATAGTACTTAAATATGATACTAAATTTTGCGTGCTGCCCGTGTAAACACAGTTTCCATCAGCAACTACGTAAAGATGATCTATCATGTTTAAGAGTGTCGCGCTCGGCTGATGAATCGTGCAGATTATAGTTCGTCCTTCTTTTGCTAATTGCTTTAAAAGTGCTATGCATTGCTTTGAGGTAACACTATCTAGACCACTGAAAAAGATGTTGAAAGAGTTGTATAATATTACAATATAACGAACATATATAAATCGTACAGAGATATGTAAATCGAAATATAAATAGTTAATATTTACCTTGTTGGTTCATCAAAGAACATGATGGGTGGATTATTGATCAGTTCAAGTGCAATAGCAAGTCTTTTCCTTTGACCTCCGCTAAGTTCGCCGGTACGCGTATAACGAGACGCATCAAGACTCATTGCTGTTAATATTTCATCGATCTGTAAAATGAATAAGAATTTAATTATTATAATATAATATACAATCATAAAGATATTGTTGTACTATTTTTACATGTAATATAACACGAATCATAAGTGAATATTAAATTTAATTAATTTTTCTAATTTTATTATTACTTAATTATATCGCTAATGACAGTTATATTACTAGTGACGATTTATTGTTATAAAACAATTGTTGAGACAATTGTAGAAATGCATCTTATGTTCACAGAACCATATAACTTGATACTATTAAAAGATTTTTAATATAACTGTCTAATAAAACCAACCTTCTGTAATTTCTGACCATGGTCTAATGTTAGTTTCAGATCCACGGCAACGAACATTGCTTCCTGCACCGTTAAAAGTGGTTGCAGATAGTCATCCTGCATTATATAGGCTGATAATTTCCGAAATTCAGACATATTTCTTTCCTGTCCATTTACCTTGATTCTACCAGTAACTGAAGTTGTTCTGAAATAAAATGTATAAGTATCACATTTATAATTTATCGCATATGGATGGTACATCAATTAAGAATAAATGTCAGACAATGATAATTGATTGCTGACTAACTCAAATTACAAGTATGGCTATTATTATCTATTATCTGCTGTTTCTCCTTTACTGAAGTACAAACATTATCTTTGATAGAGATTAATTATGATTTTTTTTGCTAATCTTTTATTGATATTGATTGATATTAATCTTTTTCAGCGTAAATAAAAAAATCTAAATCTTTGTGTGCAATATTAAAAATGTATTTTTTTAAATATGAGATTTACAAAAAAGTTTCAGCGGAATTTAACTGAAATAAACAAAAAAGAGCTTACTTATTCCTTAATTTGAAGATTGCTAATGATTTCAAAAAATAAATCAACGTATGTGAAATAAAAAAGAATTATGCGAAATAAGAAAATAAAATATTAAAAGGTGATAGAAAACAATAACAAATACTTCAAACACGACACTTCATGTATTTCGTTACTATTGATAAAAGAAATATAAGAAAATATAATTAATATTCAATATAATTAAAAATCCGAACTTGTACAAGCTTCTAATGTAACAATAAATATTTACAATTACAAATATATGTTGCAATAATTTTCAGCAGAATAAAAGAATGATCAGATAATTTTATTTATTCAAAAAAGAAAAGATAAGGATATAAATCATTCACTCATATGAAACACACCGGCGTATCACGATCACCGGCGTCAAGAGAGACAATGCATCGCGATAGATGCACTTAAACAACGGACATTGATATTGATTCGGCACAAAGAGCATTGTGAAAACCTTGAACGTGCACATGTACCATGCAGTGCACATGTACCATGCAGTGCACATGTACTGCGACTTTCTCTCGATACTATACGCATGCAAGTACACATATATTTGATTTTATTCTTTATGAGAATGTATGAATTAAGATACAATTGGCGCGACTGTAGTCTATGCCCGGAAGAAGTCTTACAATTTTCACACGATCTAATCAACTCTAAAAAGACTTATGTGATAACAGAGATTATTTGAACAATACTTAATCTCAAGGCTGTCTCGACATGGATATCAGTTAATATAAATTGAATATACAGTGGCGTGCAAAACTTTTGAGCCACACAATTATTATTATATATTCATTTCATAATGAGTGCTAAAAACTTTACACACATATATATATATAAGCAAAATGTATTTATTTGTCCTACAATTATATAAACTTTACAAACTCTTAATAATTCTAAATACTTTATTTTTACACAATGTTTTATTACAAACAGTGCAAAGTATTGCGCCAAAAAGTTTTCTTATGCATTAGAAAAATATATTATTGAAAAATAATAACAGAAAATATTGTTAACGTTTTTTGAAACTTAATACTTTGTTGCCATGCCTTTAGAAGCAATCACTGCAACACAACGGTGAGGCATTGATGCTATTAAATTAGAAATGCAATCTTGAGATAAATTTTGCCATTGAGTTTGCAGATTTTGCCACAATTCAGCTTTATTGGAGTGTTTCTTATTTCCTGTACGTAATTTGAATTCTTGCCACAAATGCTCAATAGGATTCAAGTCCGGCGATTGCGAGGGCCAGTCAAGAACTCACATTTTTTTCATGATGAAAAATTCTTTTATTATTCTTTTATTTTTTTTATGAATGTTTGGGATCGTTATCTTGTTGGAAAATCCAACCACGTGGCATGTTTCGAGTTGCATATGGCAGCATATGCTGTGTCAATACATCTCGATACATTATAGCGTCCATACTACCTGTGATCTCAACTAATGGACCAACTCCATTATAAGAAAATGATCCCCAAACCATCACCATTACCTTCACCATGTTTTACGATAGGAATTTGGTACCTTGAGTCATATCTTGTGCCTGTTGGACGTCGTATATACTTTCTATCGTCACTTCCGAATAACTGAAACTTTGACTCGTCAGAGAAAAGTACTTTTCGCCAATCAACTTCAGTCCAATATTCAAATTTTCTTGCAAAATCTAATCGAGCTTTCTTATTTTTTGCACTAATTAATGGTTTTTTTACACTAGCACGTCCTAAAAGTTCTACTTCCTTTAGACGTCGAGATACTGTACTTTGACTAACATCAGCAAGATTTTCTTCTCGTAGTTCTCAAGAAATATCTTTGGCAGTTTTTGTAACATCTGCTATCGACTTTCTTTTAATCATTTTATCGACGCGCTTTGTAGTTTTGCGAGGTCTACCGTTTCGTGGTTTATCAGCTAGAGAGTTCATCAACTTATATTTAGCAATAATCCTATTTACAGTACTTTTATCAATTAATAAGCAATTAGCAATTTCGTGAGAAACCTTTCCTTGTTGAGAAAGATTAATCACGGCTTCGCGTAACTGGAGGCTTGTATGTTTCGGCATTGCGATAGACAATAGATTGAACCTTAGTTAAAGCAAATATTTACGAAGAAGTTTCATAAGAAACGTAAACAAACCGGGCTCATAAAGTCACAACAAAAATACGGCTCAATACTTTTGAACACATGTAAATATTATACGACTAAATAAATAGAAACTATGTAATTTCAAAATTTTGTAACTGTACTATTATTTGTAAAAATGTTATGTCAACTATTTTATATAATTGATTTTTAGAGCAAATCAATATATTGTCATGTATCTTAAAAAGACACTACAGCTCGAAACTTTTGCACGCCACTGTATATTGATTAATATTCTAGACATCATTCACAGCAATCTTTTGAAAAAGCTCCAAGTCATATGGCACTTTTAAAAGCGAAGAAATTAATATTTAACTGGGAAAAATTTAAGTGTATGTATCAATATATGTATATGTATCAATTATATATATATATATTTCGATAAATAAACAATGAACAGTTTTAAACTATCAAGTTCCTATTTTCTTAATGAAGGTAGGTAATGAAGGTAGAATATTGAGTTACAAGATTTTTCAGTCTAAAATTTAATTTGTCTGTTTATCATCGAAATAAAATTTGCCAGAAATTTTAGAGAATAATACAAAACATATACCCACGTGAAACCTGTTAGGATGTCCATTAATGTAGATTTTCCAGCACCTGAAAGACCCATAATTGCTGTGAGTTCGCCTGGTCGAAAATCACCATTAAGATTGCACAGTAATTTTCTTATATCTAGAAAAAAAAACAAAATAATATATATATTCATATATTATAAATAAAATATAAAATATGATGTATTAATATATTATTAACCAATATTTAAAAAAAAATTAGTAATTTGTAGAAAATGCAAAAAAAAAGATAACTTTTAATAGTCGTAGAAGAATAATAAAGTATAGTAACTTCCCGATGAAATATAATTTATGTTATTTTTATAATTCAAATAAGTCTTCACATATTAAACTAAACGTTTTTTCTCAAGAGATTGTAATTATATATTCCATAAATACAACTATAGACTAGTAGTGTCACTAAACATAATTACATACAAACCGTAATAATGCGATTTAACGATTTAACTCGTAATTTGTGATTGATTTATGTACCATGTTTTGAATTTTGTTACGCTACTCTCATTTCACATTCAGTATGTTTCTGAAAATGTCACGATTCCGAACCTATGCTTACCTTAACCTGGATTAGCATTTGATTTATAATTAGTTTACTGAGAGAATGATAAAACATCTGAGACATCTAAATTAAATATATCAAAAATCTAAGTTATAAGAATAGTAAATTTCTCTCTATTAATAGTTAATTTTTATCGATTCATATTTTTGTTGATTAATTAATTTCATATTTATAATAAATATGTGTAATACATAGCAAAATATATCATTGATATCCCAGATGGCACATGTACTCCTGGAGACGTTCTAAGGACGTTCTGAGGATGAAGAAACGTCCCCAGGATATCCTCAAGACGTACTCTGAACGTACTTTGGACGTACTCTGGACATCTGTGCTGTTAGGAATTCAATTAAACTATTTTAATCGACTTTCATCAATTGATATTTATCAATATAATCTATATAGTTATCTTACTGACAACAGAATCAATAAAAATATATAATTTCTATTACTTTCAACGTTGTGAGTAATCGACTTGCTCTTTTAAAATAATAGTTTAATATATGTATATTTATTAATAAATAAGGATATATATCTTTAACGTTTAAATTAAAAAAAACTTATAAAAAGAGACATTTGTTTAGATTAAGGAAAATTTAAATAAACATTTTACAGATATACAAATTCTATTCCGATAATAATCGAATACAAATGATGAACTAGTCTTAACATATGTTATATCTCGCTACACTTTGGAACGAAATTATCTTCAGGTGCATCTTCAGGAACAATAAGTAGCTGTTGTATATCTTATCAATTTTAGAGTCGCGACAAAGATCGATATACCTTTGTATTTTTGTACCAGTAGTAAGTTATTTTTTTAACAACAAATTTTTATCACAATTATCATATTTATAAAGTAGATAACGATATAATTGGTCATTTTATATCGTCATTTTAAATCAATATTTCTACAATGCATGTATTTGTTAAGTTTTTAATTAAATATATTTACTTATAATGATCAAAATAATTGCGTGTTCTTTGAAATTTAATAATATTATACTGATTTGATTATGACAAAAATATATTTATATAAACTTTATAAATTACCAGAAATTACCAATTCATTTTTTTTTACATAAGTAAATAAATTTAGAAATCAAATATGCAATTGTATTAATTATAATAATAATAATAAAATATGGAATTGTATTGATCATAATAATAATATTATAATAAAAAAATTAAATTTAGTTTTATTCATAATAATCTTATTCACATATTAGTTTACCTTATTGTACAAAATAGCACATAAAAATTTATATTAATTATAAGTATATAGCGTGCAATATCATAGAATAATTTTTATTTATTTTTATATATATAATCATATACTTAATGCGTTTATACTTTTACTAAATTATATTCAAAAAATTATTAGCTGTATTTACTTATTCATGTATAAATTATTCTATTAAATTTTTTACATATATCTTTCATTTTTATTAATTTATACTGTTTATAACAGGAGATTATTCTTTTAAATTACTACATTACTTGATAGTTATTTAAAATATTAAATATTATTTTAGAGTACTTCTTTTTGTTTTTTCCAATATATTTATATCTTAAATTGTTATATTCTCATATATATTTTATTCAAATTATGTAGAGAAATCAACAGAGTTATTCATTATGTTTCTAAATATTTCTTAAATACACGCAATATCTCAATAAAATTTCTTTATATTACTTTGTGTTTAATTACCTTTTGTTAGAATACTTTTCCGAACGCTGTACGAAATATCTTCGAAAAGCAAATACAGCAACTTTTCGGCACAAGTCGTCGTTGTGTATCCCATATTCGTGCAACGTTGAAGTTCACGTTCCTCCAGCAGTGTCTGCGGACTCGTGATTGCTGAACGTTTCGAACGTAGTATTTGCACGTTCCTCGCTCAGTTCACGTATGCCAATTCGTTGTTCACATTTTCCTTTCTTTTCTTCTAACAACCGGTAGATAGCTCTCGTTCGATTCTACGCGCGCCTTTATCGCAATGACGACACGCGCGTGCTCGCTGTGGTATGGAGCTATGGAGTGTTGCATAAGTTGATGCCGTGTAAAATTCAGTATAAACGTTTTTTCTCTGTCGTATTGTCGTTAGCACATACCATAAATTTGTTGTACCTTGCACAACTGCCTCGATATATATTCAATCGGTGGGAACGCTTCTTTTCTGACGCATCACGAACTATGATTTTAAAGCTACGTTCAAAGTTCTTGTTGTTTCAGCAATGACAGTCAGCATGAAAAGTTGACACACGTTATCAGGACATGCTTTATCGGCATGCGCTCTTGGCCATCTAAACAAGATTTATGATAAGAAATGAAAATTGCTATTATTCCCTTTTTGCTAAACATCTATGTTAAATAGACCTTACATGCAAAATATCAAATAAAGTCAAACTTTATGAAAGACCTGGAAGATTTTACTTACACTGTACCTTTCTTTAATGCAATCATTCTGTAAGAAAAAAGTATAAACAAATTAAGGGCCACCGATGAAATAACCTTAATAAAGCTGAATCCCCGATATTCCAATACACTATATTCCCTTGCTCATTGTGTCCACCTATCTTTGCGCTTCATTCTATTTCTTAAGAAGAAACCAGACGATTAACAGCAAGAACTTTTTGCAAAAATTCGAGAATTATAATATGGCAAACTCGCGAGTCATAAATAACGGTCATAATCATCATTCCAGAACCAGATTTTGATGAAAATTAACTAGTTAATAAATATATACGTACCTTATTATTATTAACACATAATTACATACGATTTTCTTGGAGAAATTCTCGTAGGGCACTCGAAAAGGGATCGAAAGGTCCTGAGGTCCATCGTTTTGGAGATTCATTCCAGGATATTGGGTCAGAGAAAGTTCGTACGTGACAAACGACGAAAATTTAAATCTGCCTCGCCATTGATAGGCGATGCAAACTGTTACAGCGCAGGCGCTCCCTACTACGTGACAAGTAATACCTTAAAGTGAAGACCGAATCGTCAGCCGCCATTGAGAAAGAACAAAGCGGAAGTCTGTGCTGTGATTAATTGGAAATTACCAATTTTATGAAAGATTCATATAGTGTGTTCGGTATACGAAGTTCAATATCTAATAGGAAAATTCGTTTTCTGGGTATTGATTATATATCTTTTCACCTAAAGCGAAGTTGTGAAAAGTTTTATTGACAAACTATTAAATTCGTCAATAAAATTTTTTAATTTTTACAAGTTCATGTTATGGTCGATATTCTAGCGATAAAAATGTTGTTAGGCAAAAGCTTTGGACAAAAAATTAAAATTTATCTTGATCGCGTACGTTGCGACGTTACTTCGAGATTTATTACGAGAAAGTCCTTGCACAATATGTCAAGTAATAGACAATAGGAACAGGTAACAGAAATAAGGAATAGGAACGGAAAATCCCAGAACACACCAAAAACCGTATATCAATGCAGAATCAACCATGACACAATTCGAACGTTTTCGATTGGATAAAGTTTTTATCGCCGTAACATCATTGTGCATCGATAATTTCCTATTCCTTATTATCCATTATTCCTTATCGCTGTTACCTGTTACCTGGCATTATATAAGAATCTTGAGCGAATAATGTTCATGATTCACCTTTACGGTATCTGAGAGACAGTATCGCAAAAATCGCCTATTGGCTGCATGCAGAGAACAAAGCGCTCACTGAGCGATGCGATTAGTAGAGACTATACGTTGACGAATTATTCAACCGTTGTGTTTTTTTAAATGCAGCCATTCTTTTAGATCTAAAAGTATATTCCAATTAAATGTAAAAGTTTACTAACTACAGTTGTTACAAAACTGAATTAACGCCATTGTGTAAACATAATCATTGATTACAAAGTACCTGAGAGAAATCTAAAACCTAAAATTGCAGTAGCCAATTGTTGACGTCCCACATGTTGCATATGTTTCGTAAATACTATTCCCGGGCAAGCAAGGTGCTGAATGGCTACCACAGTATTTCCTAGCCAACTTCCGCCGTGTGCAACCGGTCTTAAGATGATACGGGTTTTAATCTATAAAGTAGAATCTAATAGGGTAGAGCTTACTATATGGCATCAGTTGGATTTCCGTCGTCGACTCGTAAGGCACTCTATCTACGTTGCTAACGCCATCTTCGCTTTAGTGTATGAGCAACGACGCGCGGATCACAAGCATTGCAGTGTATGCGTGTATGGTGTGTGATATCAACCCGATCAAACTATAGAAGTGTCCGGCAAACGTGAAATTTCGCAGAACATAATACAGATACGAGAGAAATGACATTCTGCTTCGTGTTCTGTGATGTAAGTAAATGTGTTCCCGCACGTGTGTAAAGTGCTACTCTGCAAGAGTAATTTATCTCGCCTAGCGCTCCGCTCAGAATTCCGACCAAGCGTCTCTAGTCCTCCTTGCCTGATAATCCATCGTCGTATCAAACACGCCGGAATATTTCACGGGAATTTGCGTACGATGCGATCTAATCGATTGCTGATTACGTCGGATGATCAGTCAGTAAGTACAGTTTAAGGCGAGTCTTGCAACAATAGATCACTACCATTTTGTTTACGAACTCCTCCGCGTGCTTCGTTCCAAAAACATTGAACCTAGCAGGCTAAATCGTTTGAAGCATATTATCGGGAAAATCGTTTAGTGCATATTATTTCGCACATCGAAAGATTTTATACATTTATATTTCTTCATTTTTTCACGTGTGGCTTGTCGCATGATAAAAACTGACGTTTTTATCATGCGACATGTTTCAAGGTATGGTCGCTGGACGCGTGAGCATCAATGATGCTATATAGGGTGTCCCGGATCAATTGTACTTTGTATATTATAATCTAGCGTGACCTGTGATTTCTGAATGTTTTTAGATATTTCCTTAATATTTTTGAGATTGTTCAATGTCTTTGAATATTAAATCTCTTGTGGTCTTTTTGAGTCTTTAATGTTAAATTCATTAACCTTAATGATTCATAACCTTAAATTAACCTTAAATTAAATTTTCATTCTACAAGATTCACTCGACATTATTAGATAAATAAATAATATTTTGATAAAAGTGTACTAATTCAGCAACTTTTCATAACAAAATGTTAAAAGTAATCGTTTGATATTTTACCAAAAAATAAATCGATTGAAATAAATATGCTTAGATTGGAAAATTAAACATGTACAATGTTTACTAATAGGTTTCTTCAAAATATATAATTTCTTTATAAAAATTTTCATTAAAAGTGATAACATATATTTGTATTGAAATACTATATTTGTATCATATATATCACAATATATATATCTATCCCTATACACTATATTTAAAAATATTTATTGTATTAGACTAGTCGATACTTAGCCTAAAAATTTACCTAAAAAATTTGCTTAAAAACCCATTTAATCGTGTCATATATAAAAACCAATAATCATTTATCAAGTATTTCCTTATTCTACGTATAACTATTAAGTTTATTACATTATATGCAATTGTGTTATTTTCATCTTCAGTTATAACAAATTCAGCAATGGCTGGTAACGTTTCAAGAGGCATACCTCGTATACAGGTCTTTAGACCAACGTATGAAGAGTTTAAAGACTTTTCAAAATATGTGGAGTATATGGAGAGCCAAGGAGCTCATAAAGCTGGCTTGGCAAAAGTAATACCACCTCCCGAATGGATCCCGAGGAAACAAGGCTATGAATTAGACAATCTAAATCTTACAATCCCAGCACCAATCTGTCAAGTTGTCACTGGAAAACAAGGCCTTTATCAGCAAATTAATATCCAAAAGAAGCCAATGACTGTCAAAGAATATAACAAATTAGCAGATTCTGATCGTTATCGTACACCACGTCACTTTGATTATGAAGATCTAGAAAGAAAATATTGGAAAAATATAACGTACATCTCACCGATATATGGTGCAGATGTATCTGGTTCTTTGACTGATCCAGATGTAAAAGAATGGAATATTAATCATCTCGGAACTATTTTAGATTATGTTAATAAAGATTATGGTATATCAATTGATGGTGTTAATACAGCCTATCTATATTTTGGAATGTGGAAGACTACATTTGCCTGGCATACAGAGGATATGGATCTTTATTCTATAAACTACTTACATTTTGGTGCACCAAAAACATGGTATGCTATACCACCAGAACATGGACGTAGATTAGAACGACTAGCCAGTGGTTTTTTTCCATCAAGTTATCAAAGCTGCCAAGCTTTTCTGCGCCATAAAATGTCCTTGATATCTCCTCAAATATTAAGACAATATTCTATTCCATGTAACAAAGTAAGTTGGATGAAGCTAAACTAAAAATTTGTATGGTTAATAAATTTATATTATCATAAATTATCTTTAACTTTTTCATATTTTTACCTGTAGATAACACAGGAAGCTGGAGAAATAATGATTACATTTCCATATGGATATCATGCTGGCTTCAATCACGGATTTAATTGTGCCGAATCTACTAATTTCGCCACACCTAGATGGGTAGAATATGGAAAAAGAGCTACACAATGTACTTGTAGTAAAGATATGGTAAAAATATCTATGGATACTTTCGTTAAACGTTTCCAACCAGACAGGTAAGTAATTAATTTTTAGAAGTTAGTTGGTAATTTTCATTTGTGTGTAAAGCTTAACAACACACTTGCCTTATGCACTAATGTTATTATTAATTTTAATAATTAAAGGTACGAATTGTGGCTACGTGGTGAGGATATTGGACCTCATCCTGAAGATCCCAGGCAGACGGCTGCACCGATGCCGTCGCAAATGGACCTGCTGTGTAGCAGTAGTAGCAATGGCCAATTACCTCAAAGCTACTTGAGAGCAGCGCTAAAGAATAAGCGACACATGATACACAAGCAGAAAAATATTAGATCCATTAGCTCTAGTGTTGATATGGAAGATCTTGAAAGCTATGCTGATATTCCTGCGGATGTGAAAAAAGTTATACAAGATCTTGAATTGGAGGAAATTGAAGAACCACCTGACGAACAGCAAATGGAAGTTTTAGAAGATATTTGGTTGAAAGCAGGAGAAATGGGTAAAAAATAAGTTTATGATATAATTTGATTTTTACTATCTTAGTACTTATTTCTTAACGTGAATAGCAATTTGTTAAAATATTTTTATTAATCAAATCTGTTTTTTAGACGTCGATGAAGCAACTGTTTTTGACGATGGTTACAATCGTAAAAAGAGTAAGAAAAGAAAGAGGAAGCAAAGCATACCAGACAAAGAGAAGCGCGAATCAAAATCTAAAAAACGAGCTAACAAAGTTAATACGCAGAATGCGAACGAAATTAAATTTGAGATAAAAACTGAAGTTGATGAGCTCGCAGGTTCCTTTGAAGATGTATCCCAAGAAAACATGGATGAGATTCCAGTGCTTCAAGGAAATTATAACGACAGCATTATCATAGAAAACAAAAATGATCCTTTGAAGATAGAAGAATTCACAGACTTTTCGGAAAGTAATGACAAACATGTCAAGAAGAAAAAGAAACATTCAAAGAACAACGAGCAGAAGAAATTAAAACAGAGAGTGTCCAAAAGTAAACGCAAACAAGACAGCACATCAACTTTTGATCCTAATTCAACTCTCAATATTTCGGATGCCAATGTACCAAGTAAAAACGTAACACTACCCGAAATCTGTATTCCAAGGTGTTCTATAAAAGATATATCTGATAATCAGGAGAAAGTCAATGTGATACCTGGAAATATCATCTCTGTTAATAACGAACTTAGCATTATGAATGTTAAAAATAAAACTGTTGTAAATATCACCAACAGTGGTCAGGTAATGAACTTCGCGCACGGCGACGATAAAAACATTGAGAAGTTGACTAACAGTGCTGCTGAAAACAGAATAGCCATTAGTACAACAGCAAACATCAAAAATATGCCTATCCGATCTGTAGGTAGTAGTGCAACGAATACAGTACAGAACTTGTGTGCGACAGCATACAAAAGTACAAATTCTGAATGTCAGAATGAAAGTGCAAAACCCACCACACATAATATAAATACATCTACGAGTACAAATTATAAGAATCTATTGAAAGCACCTAAGTTAAGTATATTAAAAACAGCTTACGATGCATCACGTCTCACGTCCCAAGTGCAAGTTGATAATTCTGCTGCTAACGAGAAGGATGCACACCCAACTGTCGATATACCAAAGATCTGGAACTCGCAGGAAACGAAACCTGTACCGAGTATGTCGTTCTTAGCGAACCCAACTTTCAGTCAAGGTCCTCCGGTTTTGCAGAACGAATTAAAAGCTCAGTGCGACGGCATTAGACCTGCAAGTTTTAAACCACCGTTAGATAATATTAAATTATCAGCTGGCGCTGTTATCAATCAGATTTACAATACAGGACATTCCATCTTTAATAATTGCTTCTTATCTTCAAGATTTCAAAAGCGTCTAGCTGAGCTTAGACCCCAAAAAACAACTCCTCCAAGTGGCTGTAAAACATTTATTAAAGGAATGAACTGGGGAAATGTCTCATTGGATTCCAATGAAAAAACAAATATTCTTAGATTAACCCCTATATCTACTCCAATGGGCAAACAGGACATATGTATTTCTTCTACGGTACCAAATTTAATCCTACCAGCAAATGTGTCGGCTGTGCAAACGTATCCTATGAACAAAATTTACGCTTCCCAAATCGCACCCATAGATTCCAGCAAAACATATTTGCTAAGTACTACGAATTTTTCAACCAATCCTACAAGTATATATCCAAAAGTCACTCCTGTATCTAAGGAATGCAAAAATTCGACACGCCAAAAGTCGCCAAGAGGACAAACATCGCGTAAAAGGCCATCAATGAGGAATACCACTAAGTCGAATAATAATCCATCTTTGAACACGCCTCAACTAAATACTTCAGTAGGCACACAAGTAGACAAGCCGATTAGTCTATTAATCAATCAATCGTATGTAAATATTGTCCCTGTCAATAATGCCCTGTCAAGGGTTACAAACAATATCTCGCAAAATACAACATATTCAAGTAACAACGACTCTTCATTTAAAGAGAAGCCAATTCTGATTAATCCTGCGCAACGTAATGAAAACGCGTGTTCAAATATATCCGACAATAAGACACAGTTACCAAATTTACAAAAACAAGTGGACAATATTAACTTACATTTACCAATATCTAGTTCGAAATCAAAAAAAGTAACTGCTGTAAGGAGAAAATCTAAGGAAAAATTGAGAAAAGTTATAATAGAAAAGAAGGAACTGCCGATAATGACAACTACTATGACAACGAGTGAAACTACAAAGGAACAAAAGGAACAATTAGTAGCACCGACACAATTGGTCGATGTACAACCTTACAACATACAGACGCCGTCAGTGATACCAGGTCATATTTCTGACATGATTTATCCAAACGTTCCGAATAGTGAACTATTGAGGGCGTTCAACGATTACTGGAGCGCTCAAATATCTCATTGCGCGATATGCGCTACTTTTGCTTCGTGTAGCAGCGGAAGCAGCAGAACAATGCCACCCGATTGGAAATATTGTAAATCAACTGCTTTACCTGAAAGTACACCAATATGGGTAAGAAAATTTTTATAAAAAAATGTATATATATATACTTTTTAATTGAAATATATGCAGTTAATTATAAAAATACAACATTAATGTGTGTGTTACAGGTATCATCCAGTCTTTTCGCAGCCAACTCCAAGGAACAAGCTGTGGAACCAGAAAATGAAAAACTTTTACGGTGTAGGGAATGTCAAGTAACTGTACATGCGTCTTGTTACGGTATAACAGTGGTACCCACAGATGTTCGAAATTGGGCTTGTGACAAATGTAAAGCTGGCAGAAATGATGTGGTATGTTTGCATTTACGATAAATTCACTTTTTTTCTTATACGTTAAATGTCATTGAATGTATAATGTTATTTTCATCATGGCAGATGTGCTGTTTATGTCCGATGTATGGTGGTGCTATGAAACGTACCAGCGATAGCAGGTGGGCGCATATCCTGTGCACGCTTATGGTACCAGGTGCCACGTTTAAAGATGCTATTAACAAAGATCCCATCAATGTATTGACGATCATGGCAGATACATGCCACAAAAAATGTTGCTTTTGCGAACAACAAGGTGGAGCGTGTTTGACATGTAGTCAGTGTACCAACGTGTTCCATCCATCATGTGGTCTTGTCGCGGGTGCGACATTCACTATTCCAGCGTACAACTCGCAAGAACTTCAGGTATGGTATATATTTTATTTATAAAATTCAGTATTCAGTATATAATGTTCTGCAGTTGTAAAATCTAGTACTATATAGATATACAAATGCAAATGTTAATATTATGAATTTTATTCAGGTAACATGTAACGGGCACGATGATGGTAAGGAAAAAATTCCGCAAATACGTCAAGGAGAAACTGTGTGGGCGAAACATCGTAACACTCGATATTATAAAGCCAAAGTGGAATCTATCCAGGACACCGTTTTTTACATGGTTACATTTAGTGATAATAGCTTCAGCGATGATCTATATCCATCAGATATAACTGTGAGTTTTTGCAATGTGCTTTATCAATCTGTCAATGAGTTTTTATAAATGTTTATAAATTAAGTTTAGGTGTAGATACACTTGGTATTTGATGTATGTCTATATATTTTTAATTAGAATTATGATCCTGGGAACACACCTCCGCTCGGAGCTCCAGTGACTGTAAATTGGACAGACGGTCAAATATATGATGGTGTCTTCGAAGGTACAAATCACCGAATAATGTTTACCGTAAGTATTTATTATATTATATTCAATATAATTTGACATGATGTATTCCTTATAAACAAACATACATACATACATACAAATATATATATATATATATGTATGTGTGATTTTTTTCATACAGGTGATTTTCGAGGATAGCTCTAAACTCGATTTAAAACGCAATGAAATATATAGTTTGCAAGAAGATATGCCAAAAAGAGTGCGTTCTCGACTGGTGAGTTCAGTCTGAAATTAATGTTACAATGTAACATTAATTAAAGTGGTTTATTTCGTTTATTTCATGTATTTATCTTCCTTCTATTGGTTACTTATGTTATTCTTATGTTTATTTCTCTGTTTTTCCGTTTATTTATTAAAGTCTATTGCAACTGAAATGAAGCACCGGGATCACCTTTATGGCACAGAGGATGAAACAGAGGCGCAAAGAAAAGTGAAACAATCGAAAAATTGCGATTAACCAGAAGTAATTGGATGTAAATAACTACATAATTACGAAATATAAAATTATTGTAAATAATCTCTATGTACACATGCAAAACACAGGAAATATATTTAGTATTCGCGATAGTCTTTGAATGTACTCAGCACCGAACTGATCACAGATATACAGACCATGCTTTTTTACATTCGATTGTTTTTATTCTAATTAACTGATATTTTAAAAACAATGAAGATAATTATTGTCGAATTTATGTTAAATTATTAATTTTCAATATTTTATTAGCATGATCATATACTCCATATCCCATTACGTCATTTTATTCATGTGATAGATATCATATTTGTATGTATAATATGTGTACAATAGTAAGTTATATTGATAAAACTTCACAAATTTCTTTTGTGTTCAATAAAGGCTTATATCAATGTTTCTGAATAGATGAATCTTAAAATTAAAGCACTCTACATTTTGCGAAATGTTTATTGTCTTATATCTATCGAATTATAAATCAAAGAAGCAAGATAAACTCTACAAGTTACAGGTACATACCAATGTGTGTGTCACAAGTGTAACATATTTTTTGAATGTATCAAAAATATCTATGTTTATTTGTTTCTACAGTAAATCATGTGACGTAATTTTAACGATACAATAGCCATGTGCATACACAATTTTATTCCATTTTAAGAATATATGTAAATGTAACATTGTAATTTGTGTGACAAATATTTGTGTTCAGATATTTAAGCACTAGTGAGATATGAATGAATGTGAATTTATTGAACTTATTGATATATAAAAAGATTTTAAATATATTGAGATATTGAAGAAAATTCAATAGTTTATGAACGACTCGAAGTACCATTCAGTTAATTGAATTTTTACAAGCAGCTTACCATTTTCATCAATATAATTTTATAAATTCTAAACATATATATATATATATATATATATATATATATATATATGCGTATCTGTAACTGAATAGAAAATATTTAAACTTTAACAAACAAAATAAAATTACTTATAATTATTATTATGTAAAGTATATAGTAAGAGAAAATGGTAAACTGCAGAAATTACAAAAGTAGTAGTTGTAATAATACTTGTAATATTTTGTCAAGTTATTTCAATTTTCATTTTACTCACTACAATGTAAATACAATTTAGAAATGACATATGCAATTTTATATTATTATATATTGTATATACATGTATATATAGTGTATATATATATACACTATAAATATACACATGTATATATGTGTGTGTGCGTATATATATATACATACATACATACATACATACATACATACATACAATATATATGTATATATGCATATATTAGGTCTATTGAAAAATTCGTTCCTATATAAATTTTGCACTAATAAAATGAAAAGCGAACGAATTTTTTGATTAACTTAATATAAAAATATATTAGTTTACGATATATAATAATTTCTAATTGAAATAGGCATACAATATTGAAAAATCATATTCACTGTCGGAGTCTTTCATTAATTTTACTTCTAGTCGCTATTTTTAATCTGTTTCAATACTTAAAGTTATACAGAGAGATAAATAGAAAGAAAGAGCACATTAGCTACAAACACAGTATTACTTTCTTTATAATAATTTTAATAATGGCAATATTAATTTTGCATATATTTGTATAAGAAAAAGGTAATGAACACAACCAAGAATATCCTAAGAGTAAATATATTAATATATAAGTTAACAAGACTGCGATGTGATTGTTATCACTATTATTATTAGGCATAAATATAATTCTATAGGCAATGCTTGTTATAAAATATATATAGTAAATTTAATTACAAGAATGACAAATATTTATATCATCGCACATAAACCTCGATTAATTTCAACATAACTTATAAATATCCGTAGCATTGTAAAGTAAATTTTTCATTTTTGTTACAGTAATTGCTTAAATGCTTTTACTGAGCATAAATTCTATTGTAAACTCTAAAGAAGAGATCATATATCACAAATAAAGAAGTTGTAAAACAATCCTTATTTTACAAGTTAATTTTTATAAAATACATTATATACTGCTCAAGGTATAGTATTATTGGACTGTTCGATAAGTTCGTAAGAATTTTTACGAAAAGTCCAAACAATATATTCCATAATTAACTACAGTTTTATTTAATAATGTAGTAGCCGTTTTTTTTTCGATGACCTGTCATTTTTGAGGTAACTTCATAAGTCCGTCTCCTCCCAGAATTTCCCAGAATCTTTTCCCAGAATTTCTCTTTGATTGAAAAACCGCTGCACGTGATTTCTACAGCTGTTAAAGATGACAAATTTTTTTGCATTATAGAAATTTTGTAAACGACATAACAAATGAAGGGGATACGAAGGGTGATTTTAATATATTATGTAATAAATAACACAAAAGGGATTTTTAATCACTGAATGATTCTTTTTAGAATTTTATAAGCAATTAATATCTCTAAATATAAAAAATAATGCTCAGATATAACGTACACATATAAAATAAATTTTATATAATCTTCAAGTCGTTATTTTTTTAACCATATTTGTGTATGATTTCCCATTAAACAATGCCTCTGGATATATATATATATGTATATATGTATGTGAGTAATTATGAGTAAGTTTCCAATACTAGAACAACATTCGTAAAAATTATACTGTAAGTGATACTGATAAAAGTAGACGAAACAAAATTCATCAATTTTTGTTATTGTTTTCACTTCATGGGGTTTTCCGCAAAATAAGATTATATTTTCTTTGAAAAAGAGTTATATTTCATGATGTAATATCGTACAAATCTGTTAATAAAACATTTATTATTATATTATTTATGTATAATTTTGTATATATATTGCCATAATACTAAAAACGAATTAAATAAATATTACAATTTATATTAACACTATAACATATTATACGTGATTATATATATATATATATATACACACACAAGATATATATATATATCTTACGATGTAAATATAAATCATAATACCATCGCAGTGTCATATATGCCTACCATTTTACATTACTGAGAACTATGTACATATAGACACTTAGCTTTATACAGATTACTTATCACTTAGTCTTCAAATATATATGCATACATATATATGTACGAATATATAAATATATATGTATATATATACACATATACCTACAATTTTTGTGTATATATGCATCATTATCAAAATAATTAACTTCAAAAATTACTATCGATCACAAAGGTTTTGCTCTGATTGATATAATAGTAAATCTCCGACTAGCACTTTATTTACCAGCTAAATAAAATATAATTTTAAATACTAGCGCAGATATTAATAACATTTTATGTAACATTCAAAATAACATTTTATGTAACATGTAAAATTCGATATTAATACAAAAGTTATAAGATATGTAAAGATATGCAAAGAATCGAAAAAATTATTTTTGAAAAATGATTCGCTACTGTCATTCATTACTCATTGAAAAAAGTAACACGTTATTATTACTCAAGAAGCAACGAGCCGTTATATATATATAAATTCAGTTTTCTCTAAATTCTCAAATTTAGGAGACTTTTTCAAAATAAAAGTAGCGATTATGTTCAATATTGTTACCTAAAAAATACGATGACTAAATAATTACTGAAAAACTACTTCGTAATTGTAATGTGTTACTTTTCCAACTCTGCGTAAAATATAATATTAATATATAAAAATATTAAAATAAATGAAATATCTAATTGTTTTTTGTTATTCTATATAATTCGATTTCTATATAATAATTCGATTAGGCACATTACGTAGATAATAATAACGTTATGAAAGTCGCATTATAACTATCAAAACGTCAAGATAACTTATTTTTTTCGAGTTCGTAATTTCTTATAAGAACTATTCAAATATATAATTATGAATTTCATGTTTCATTGACTTTGAGTAAAATTGAAAAATAAATTTTTTTCCTTGTCTGCGATATTTTTTTCAAACATGTTATTCTGATCGTTCTGGTAAAAATAGATCATTAATCGTCGATAGCTCTAATGTTAAGGCTCAAGATCTTATACAAAATTTTTACCGATGTTATTATTAATAAAGCGCGAGTCAACAATGATGCCAGTCTTTACCAATTTTTACATTTATAAAGAATATCTCCAATATATAAAAATTTTAAAGATACATTACAATTAGCAAAATGAGAATGAGATGAGAAAGGGCTGAAATAGGAACTTAAGCAGTATATGATAATGTTGATTCTCTTGACCTTTCCATTTGCGTTCCATTTGCGTTTTTATTTTCACTGTAAATTTCTAATCGAACGTTTTTAATGAGATTTCCTTATATTTCCACATTTCGTACAAACGTGGAAAAAATTTTGACAATATTATTCCTCGGAAAAACTCCATAGAACGTTAAAATACTGTGTCAACAAGACAGAAGAATTTGGTTCACCTTCTATTGAGTTTGCACCATAATGCACTGGCGGTTAAAAGATGCATCAATACTCCTATGCCAAGAATCAGTACTAAATTATTCACTACGTTTACTTCATTTATGTCCATCTCTATAAGAAACTTAACGGGTTTCTTGAAGTGACAGTATAAGTCGTCGCATTTCAATTCTGTTCTATCGAATCCATACATAGTGTACACTAGGCTCTGAAAACTTGCTCGAAAATATGATATGTAGAACATCCAGCGGAAGAAAAGTGGAGTATCCATATAACGAATGCAGAAGCCAAAGACAGAGAACAATACCGCAAGTATAGGACCAATAAATACTGCGATCTGTAAAAGAATACAAATTCAAGAATACAAAATTCAACATTTTTAAATTTATATTTCAATGTAATTAATCTAAAAACTATTAATCTCCATTTTTCAGTAAATTATACACTTATATCTCATACATATATATAATTTTTAAAACCAAACATTTAGATATATAAATTAAAATTAGTTTTTTTAGAATTAATAAATTAATAAACTTGTAAAAGTACAAATTCGTATATAACTATACGCAAACTTATAAATGTCTAATTATATAGTATATTTGTGAATCCATCAGATTACCGACCGCATAGACTTGCGATCTATTATTTACACACGTTGCTGCAAACACTTTTGTTAATTTGTAAATTTATCAACGTGTATCAACATGTAGAATTCTAGATCCCAAAGTTATACGACTAATTTCAAGGAGGAAAATATCCATACATATAAAATGCCAAATTTACCTTAACAGGTGTAGTAGCACCAATGAAGAAACCCCATGCTTGTGCTGTTAAACTAGCAGCTATGCTGATTACCATGAATGAAATTATGCGTTGTGTCTCCACGGGTTGACCAGTCAACCAGTAACTCACAGTCAAGTATGTTGCCGCGCATGCCGCTTGGAAAGGTATTTCGATAAGTAATATACTGATATAATATGGTGCTAGCCGGTACCAATGGTTAAAGTGCTCCCTTGTGAGAATTTGCATCTCCAATGGAACTGAAACAAATAGAATCTCAATATATATAACAAAAATCGCAACTTCCCTTTGGGTTTATATGTGATAAATGCTATTAACGTAGTAACATATACTATTGTATGAACATTTTATTTTATATCTATGCAAATACCTACACACAGCAAATACATACATACGCTTGCTTGTAATATAATAAATTGTTATATAAATATTACTTATATATGTATTTAAAGATGTACTACTATCAAGTAAGCATAAACTAATTTTTTAATTTTTTATTTGATAGACTGATTACGATATTTGAATGTATTATAAATACAAAAACGTAAAAAGTCTGAATAAATCTATCTATCTAAATAAATACGTAAATAATCTTTTAATATTTATCGTTGTAGAGTTATAGAATTTATCAAATATTAAGTAACGTTATAGGTCATTTCATCATTTAATCGAAATCATATATTAATGCTTATTTCGATATCCGTGTATAAATATGTTACTAATATGTGCTAAGACAATAGTCATGCTTTGTCACTCTCTAGACACTCTAGTACTCTAGACTCTAGACATTCTAAACACTCTAGAAAATTTAATCGCACTATAAAAAAGATATCTCGGCACACGTTTCCTTGACCTATATTTCAACATAATGACCAAGCACGAAATATTGCAACGTGTGAGCCATTATATATGAAGCAACGATCGCAGGTAATTACTATTGACCAACGTCATTTCAAAAGACAGCGAAATTGGCGACGATATTTTTTAGATAGCTGCAATGACAGACACTCCATATGGTTAATCAAATTGGCAAGTAAATCAAAATATATAAGCTAAATAAATAGTGAGATCATAGCAAAATTCGATTTTATTATGACAAATTATATGAAATTGCGAGATGAAGCAAACCGGTGAAATCTGACAGTAGATTGACGGCAGAAAGCAAGCAGGATCTAGAATATACTTCATTCAAATACAATGGAACGACGGATCTTGCTCGGTTTCTGTCATCAGTCTGTCGTCATACTCTGGTCAGATTCTATTATATTTTTGCTAGTAAGCTGATGAGTCTGTAACAGACACTACATAAAATCTATTTTTGCGTTTGGCTATCTAGGAAACATTTGATTGTATGAATTAAATACACAGACACATGCAAACACACACACAAACATAATTATATGCAGTAGGAAAAATTATTCAATACTTCTGATACATATTTATATAATATTTATATTATTGCAATTACATATAATTGCACATTATTATGTTATTGCGATTCACATTTCAATCTTAGTGGCCTTGATATTAATAATTGCACGTTATTAGCATGCTATTGCAGTCAGATGAAAACATTTTAGAAAAAATTCAATTATGAGAAGAGATAAAAAAACACATTATCATGACAATTATGGAAATGATCTATTATTGTAAACATATCTATTATATGTATGACACGTTGTAATATTCTCTTAAGTTTTACGTAATAATCTTTTTAAGATTTATCGTCTCTTTTCTTAATAATAAATCCGTGAAATGATAATAATAAAATTAAGTATTTGTAATATTTGTAGTATTGCACAATTATAAATTATTCATAGATAGGAAACAACTATATATAGGAATAGGAAACAATTATATACTTCTAGATGTAACGGCAAGTTGTCCTTCGAATATTGATAATAAACTGCGCATAATCGAATATTTATTTAAACAATTTGATTCACTTAGATACTTACAAGCAAGGGTAACCGCCATTTTTCCGGTATAGACGAGAAGTAGCAATGACCCATATAGATAAACATAATTTGCTAGGACACCATTAGCTCGATAACCACTTCCCATGTATAGATAACCGAAGATTACGCCGATTAATAGATGACAGAGCAATCGCGCCAACAACAATGCATAATCTCTTTTCAAGCATAACAATTGCCTTTTGTATAAAAGATAACATTGCGTTAGATATCCGGCAGGTGATGGCGAGTCTTTTACATTTTTTGCTGAAATTATACGTATAAAGATAAGCGTCAATTCCATTTTTTTGGAGAAGTAGATCTTTCGACGAAATGTAATATATTACTTTCCCCGCGAAAATAAAATAAAAACTACGGAGATGAGAAAATTGTTTAAGATTTGCACATTAACGAACTAAGATCACTTTAGAAATTTGCTAAAATAAATTTTTCAAAAAACAACTTTTCTGTTCATTCTATGTTAAAAAAAAATTGATTTTTATATATTAATATGAATAACAAATCAATATAAATTTTATTATAATCAAAAATATTCACACATACACATATAAATCACTATATAAAATATTTTGGAACTCTGTTGTATATTTATGATACTTATACAGGTTGCGTGAAAAGTTCGCGGAGCGAAACTGAAATAAAGAATACCAAATTCTAAAAATGATTTTATTCAATATAGTCTCCATTAACTTCAATACACTTGGCCCAATGGCTCTCCAATAATTTTATTCCATCACGGAAGTGTGTTTCTGGAAGATCTGTGAAATATGCCTCTACGGCAGCTTCTTCATTTGACAAAAAATGCTTTCCACAGAGGAATTGTTTCAGATTTCGGAACAGATAGAGTTCGCTGGGTGCCAAATCTGGCGAATACGGTGGATGACCAAGCAATTTGTACTTCAATTCATTGAATTTAGACATTGACAAAACACTTGTGTGAGCAGGTGCGTTATTTTGGTGAAAAATGATCTGTTTGTGCTGCAAACCAGGTCTTTTCTCACGAATTTTTGCGTCCAATTGATCCAAAAGGTTACAATAATATTCAGAGTTAATTGCTTTACCTTTTTCCAGATAGTCAATTAACAAAAGTCTCATCCATAGTTATAAAACGACGCACAAAATCGGTTTTATTCTTCTTAAAACGATCCAAATAACGCTGAGAAATTTGCTTTCGAGCGAGTTTTTGTTGAATTGTTAACGTTAGCGGCACCACTTTTCCAAACACCTTTTTCATTTGTAATTCTTTATGCAAAATATGTCGTACCCGTTCATCTGAAATGCCTATGGCATATGAACAATTTCACGCGTAGTCACACTTGGATCTTCAGAAACAATAACATGTATTTGCTCAATGATTTCTGATGTTGATGCGCTTTTTGGACGTCCACTGCGTGGATCATCTTTAATGCTTGTACGACCACGTTGAAACTCAAGTGCCCATTTATAAACCATTGTTTTTGAAGTAGATTCCCTTAACACATTTACCATCTCGGAATGAATTTACATTGCCTTTAAACCTTTTTTAACAAAGAACTCAATCACTGCACGCTGTTTCAAATTTTCCATTGCAAACAAATATACTGACACGTCAACTTCAATTGGGTTGTAAACACAGAAAGAATTGACAGATGGAAATGAAACCTAACCTAGGTTCATGTGAAGAGTGATTCTATATAATTCATATATTCTATATGACTACAATTTATAATTCTACCGTTTATTTATAGATGCCGCTCCGCGAACTTTTCACGCAACCTGTATAAATTAAGCCAGCGGCACATGGTGCTTGTTTCGTGCTGGATTGCTTGCTGGATGAAAATACTGCGTTCTAATTGGTGCATTTCCATCCATCTTCGGAAATGTACCAATCACAATGCAATATTTTCATCCAGCAAGCAATCCAGCACGAAAACAAGCACCGTGTGCCGCTGGCTTTAGACATATGGTCTGTTCTTTTCAGCTACACTGCGGAACCAGTGCAATAAGTTAGAATGAGACAACTATATTTTTTCTCACTTTAACTTATTGCACCAGTTCAGTAGTGCAGCTAAAAAGAACAGACCAATATACACGAATATGGCTGCGTTCCGAAATTCACTGCCAGTACTGAAAATACACAGTTTGTGTCACGTATACTATAGATTTTCAATGCTGGCAGTGAATATCGGAACGCAGTCTATGTAAGCATTGTTGACCTGTAGATTTGTCGAGCATCTTTATTATTCAAGATATTGTGTGTACTCGAACATATAATTTTCGTGGACAACTTAGAATTTTATGAGAAATTTGAGATGAAAATAAAATATCTAAAAAAAAAAAGTAAAAGAGCTTACTTCTTTTAGGCAGCGCTGTAGTAAAAACAGTTGATTTCTGATTATCCTGGATCGTCTGTGCTGCATCTATCAGCTTGTCGAGAGTAATGCCGTATTCTCCAATTGCCACTTCGAGAACTGAAACAAATATAAGGATTAACTTTCATTTAAGAATTAACTTACAAATTCTAAAATTTGATGTTTTTATGTAACGATGATGTATTTTATAAAATCGTAAAACTTGTAACTACTAAATACATTTAAATAGAGTCGTGGCAATAAAAAATAAATTATATTTTAAATTTAATTTATTCAAAAGAACTATCTCTCTGGCGGGTTAATGAATATTTTGCATTCTAGCAATTTAAAAGATATTCCGTGTACAATTTCATCTTTGAAAAATGATCTTTACAGAAAATGAATATAATTTGTTTAAACTTCTTATGCATTTGCAGGTTAACATCAATAACAATACGGGCGAATAGATAGTACTCTGTGCTATCTGTTATCTAATGGTAGTTTATGTTTAAATTATTTTACTTACGGAAATCTGCTGGATTATGATAAGGTGGGCAATTGGCACCGATGGAGGCCAAATGCGGCAACAAAGAACTGATTGTACCTTTATATATACAATAACCATTAGCCACTACGTATAAAGCATCAAACATCTCGAGGACCAAAGCACTTGGTTGATGAATCGTACAAATTATCGTACGTCTTTCTACTTCAGCCAATCGTTTCATGAGTGCAACGCATTGGCTGCACGAGGAGGAATCTAAACCTGAAAAAGCCGTATCTATTAAGGCAACAACGATCTCTCATGTATATAATTTTCAAATAAAATGATTCTTCTACCTTAAAATTGTTCAATATGAATAAATTTTCTTTCGCGTGGGATGTATGATGAAACTACAAAGAACGACATTGATATCTTTCAAACGTTTTTTCCTTGAATACTTTGAACTTTACTTTCTTTTACATTATTTCTGGGGAAATTGTTGAATCGATATTATGTGCTGGGGAGATCGTTAAATCGATATTATATCAATATGAAAATTAGTCGCAACACTTTTTGCAATGCAAATGTCCATAATAGATTTGCATGTGTCCGAAGTATTAAGCAAACATAGTCGAGACTGAAAATGGAATGAAGTAAATGGAAATACATATCGTAGATTGCGACATGTGATTGCGAGATCTTGCGACTTCACTGTTGCTCATTACAGGACAGAATATTACAACACAACACAGAACAGAACACAGTCACGCGACTTTTTCTGCCGTATAATCCAATGCAAAAAACACAACCCATTTATTACAGAGTATTAGATTGTCATCATAAATGACCGATTATCGATAACTATTATTAATAAGTATTAAAAAATATCTCTTCGGGTGAATGCGCATGCAAAGGAACAGACGTGAATTTGGACGTGTACTATAATGAGACGCTTCTAGTTAATTATAGTTAATTATACAAATTAACCGTTCTAATGTACCGTTCTAATAATTAATTCAATCAAGTTCTAAATAGGTCCAACCGATTCCTCGGAGTAAGAAAACTATCTTTAGTTTTATTCTACATACTTTACGATATTGTTTGTATAGTTATTGTGTCTGATTATTTTTAATATGTTGTTATACTTTTTGTATAATATGATTTCCTTTTATATTAATTATTTTCATTTATTAGGGAGAATAAGGAAAAATTAAAGAATTTGTAGACATCATTTGTGATAAAATTTTAGTTACAGACATGATAAATGTTAGTATTTACATTACTTACCAGTTGTCGGCTCATCGAGAAATAATACTGAAGGATTGGTTAGGAGTTCCAAAGCCATGTCGAGTCGTTTCTTTTGACCTCCTGACAATTTTCCGCATAATGTGTCGTAACAATACGTCAGTCCTAACATTTCCAATAGTTTTAAAACCTTATTAAACAAAAATAAAAAACATGAGTAAAATAAATTGGAGAATGAAATCAGAAAATAATTATAAAACAAAAAGTGAACGAGACGTCGTTAGATATCAATAATATAATTATAAAGCAAAATGGATTTTTTATATTTAAATAAAATCGATCAAATTTTGTTCTTAAACAGATTTTTCAAAATGACTTTTACTTCAATGAAAAATGAAAAAAAAATATCCAACTTTTTATATAATCAATCTCGTTGTTGTAGATAGTCGATTGTAATAAACCTGTGAATGCTTATAAGCGGAGCTTATTGAACAACCAAGTTTTAAATGAGCTGCTACAGTCATAGCCTCTCCCACGGTGATTTTCGCTCTGAGAACGCTGTTTTGTTGTATATAACACGAACTTCTTTTCCATCGTTCGCTATAAGGTAATCGAGTTTCGCCGTTAACTAGAATTTCTCCGCTTGCACCGCTTACTCTGTAACATTTGATGTTGATATTTTTAAACGAATAAATATAATAATTATAATTTAATATACTCATCGTACAGAAAGTATCAAAAAGAACTTAAGAGATATCATATAAATTAAGTAACAAACAAGAGAAGAAATTTATGTCTTGTATGAATGGATACATTCAATGGATCTGTCTCTAAAAATATAAAACACCGACATTAAAGTTTGATATATTAATGACATAAATTATATTATTTATTATTATAAAAGAAATATATCATCCAGATGTGACTAGTTTGTTGACGTTTTCTATATCTTTTCTTTCTATATATATCTTTTATGTATGTTTATCAGTATTTGCAGCACATTTTTAATATTCAATAGATGCAAAAAAGTAACGATAAAAAATTAATTTTAAAGTTTCCGTTTGTACGTAACAAATGAGAAGACGCGCAATATCGCGCTATTTATAAATTATATGCTTTATATTCAGATTCAATTTAAATTCACAGTACACACACACACAAAAAAGATAAGATTTTAATCTCATACAACAAATTGTAAGTAGAAGTAGTACATTAGAAATCCAACACTAAGTATCTTATCTAAAATTAATTCTTAATGATATTTAAAGTCGAATCATTTATCAAATATCATTACAGATATCATTATTGCACGCACTTTACAAAATTAAATCATATCTTTTAATTATTACTCACGTGAAACCGGCAAGAACATTCAGTAATGTCGATTTCCCGGCTCCAGAAGGCCCCATTATAGCCGATAATTCTCCGGCTTTAAACTCGCCGCTAACACCATGCAAAATTTCTTTCTCGTCTGTAACAAAAACATTATTCGCAATTGTCATTGTGATATGGATATTTCACCTGATGTTACATTGTTAGCTTGCTTAACATTTGAAGCAACATTATTCAACTTTATAGTCCGATTTACGTGAAATATGTGCGAGTTGACAAAGATAAAAAAATACGTGCATATTATATAATAATTTTACGAGATTAAGATTCAATTATTATTATATATAACCAATGCAGTTTGGTATATTATATAAAAAATATATATTTATATTGCATAAATACAAAATTTTGATGAACTTTGTGACACAAAAATGGACGAAGTAATTTTATTAAAAATGATTTATAACATTCTACTAAGTAATCGCCATTGTTTTCTATTATTTTTAGTATGTTGTACATCTATATATATAACTGGATTAGTCGTCACATCTTTAACAAATTCATGTAAACTTTTGCACTTACCCAATATATCGCGACATTAATCTTAATTATTTTTATATCTTAATTCAATTATTATATAATTATCAGCAATGCAGACAGAAACCGAGACGATATTATTCGTCTTGAATTTTGTAAGCAATAGCATTTTCTGATAACCGTTACTTGCGACATTAAATAGAGCAAGAGTTTGGTGTCAAGTTTAAAGGCTGATATCAAGTTTAAATGATCTGAAACGATTTTTTCTGTTACTTTTTAATAATACCGAGAGCAATGTGCACGAATAACAGGAACTACTTCAGATAGCATTTCTAGAGCAACCCGATTATTCCTTTCAACTTTGCATATGTTCATCCAGACCTTGAACCGCTTTTATGATAAATTATTACCGATAATAAGCAAGGCTTATTATTTCCCTGCGACGTACATGCCGCGTATGTTGCGAAATATATGAGAGCAACTACAACACTATCCAAAGTACTCATTGTATTGTCGCATTGCTGTTACTTCAAGATAAGTTATTAGAAAAGATATTGAATTATGCTACACTTCTCAATCACGTTTTATATAATACTTATGTAATTACGATGGGTGTATGATGTCCAATTATAAACATTAATGACACATGATAATGAACAGCATTCGTTTACCCAGCTTCCACATGTGTTTAGTGCAGCATGTATTGATATATGTATCAAATGTACATTTGATTTTACACAGAAACGCAGCAAATGAGATGCTCAACGAAACAAATACAAATGGCGAAAGCAATTTCTGCGGAAACTTAGTATCATAATAGTGCTAATACTCTACTACAGAGACGGCAAAAGCAAGTGTCATTCTTAATTCGCCTGTCCACTTTAATTGTATGGGCAAATTTGATTTTGCAATGTATTACATATTATATTTGAAGAAATTTGGAAAAAAGTTATCGGATTTGCATTTTCCTCTCTAATTAGTTCGTGCGTTTTGCTTTCAAGAAATAAATTCCCTTCGCAGAATTGTACTTCGCAGAAATATAAGATTGTTCATATTATTATTCAGCGCATGCTTACCAGCTTGAGGTATATTTGCTGGCAAACGCATCACGTATGATTAATAAATGTTACGTATTATTAATTCAAGTCGCAAATGCTCATATATTTCTAAGAGGTGAATTCACTGTATAGATTCGTATTTGAAAAAAAAAAAAGAAAAAAACAAGTGTTTCATATTTACTCATATTTATTGAAACTTATGCTTCAATACACATGAGCTGAAACTAAATTTACTTCATTCTCCCTTCATGGAATGTAAATTAGTGCACAGGCATAATGACACATCTATAAAAACTTTATTCAAAAGAGAAAAGGGGCAAGATGAATTGTTATGCAATTGATTCCACTGTCCAAGTGAAGGCACACATCTTTCGTCTGAATATTATTATCAATGACGCACATGTTCCTTTCTTGCATTATGATTAGTACAACATAGCCTCATAGCGGATGTGGTTTTAACACGTAATCTCGAGTTATACACTCGACATAGTAATTCATCTAAATGACACAAAAAAAAATTATTATACGCTTGTATCAAGGTAAAATAAATTGAAATATCACGGCATATTATAATGACGTGATTAAGTACCATTATCATTTATTGCCCATTTATACGTACAATATTGAAAAAATTGAAATGTCATGGTAAAATGTAGATAAATGGACAGAAAAACTGGATTTTAATAATTACTGAATGTATTTATAAATAAATAAAATCACCCAAGCCGTTACATTATGCAAATGTAAAGATTTGTCTGTAGAATAAAATATGATTATTACGATTGTTAACATATGTATGAAACGTGTGTAATAAAATGGTTCTTAAGCGGAAAGCAATTATTTCTTTAATTATTTCTTTACACTTTAAAGGTTAGTCTAATCGTTACTAAAGTAATGCACTTCATGTTTAATCGATTTCTAATGGATGTTTTTACTATTATTTAAATACTAGATTATACCAGTTTCTAAGAATGACCTAATTATTATGTTGTTTAATTCATTTCATTGATTTAAGCACTAGTATTATTAAGATGATTTCCTTATCCATAATATTTCTAAATAATATAACTTTTATATGTTATGTTTTTAAAATATAGCGCGATACTTTCTCCGTTTAAAACTTTCTTCGTCTCTGCGGTAGGACCGTGTTTCAAATACTTTCTCTGAAAGTACGTCACACTAATCCTATAATACACGGTTATTATTAAACACTATTATTAATACGGCTTATTATTAAACCCTATTATTAAAATAATCGTCTCGCTTAAATAACTGATGATATGTGCATATGCATATAACAATTCTTCTGCAACATGTTCTGCAATAATTTCTGCAATATGTTCTGGCAAAATCTTAACCGGTTAAAAATGTTAATTTATTCAACACGTTTCTGCTCTCACAGTAATTTTTGTCATGTTTTAGCCAATGAAAATTTCTCGTTATCGTTGAGTGAACTATGAGCACCTAGAAATGACAATCTACTTTCACTTACGTATAATTATTATTCATAAACATTGATTTTTCTATTGTGACTGCATTTGCTCTCATTTATTTAGCATTCATTTGCATGATAATGTACATAAGATATATCATACGTATATAAAATATTTATAACATATGTCCTATATACGACGTATTTAATGTTTCAAAATATATAAAGATATTTTTCAAAAAGAGATTTTTCTAAAATACAAAAAATGCAAATTATATGCACGATATGATTTCTAATGAATGAATGATGAATGATTTTTGATATAATGTCTTGCTGGTACGTCTGTATCATCTATTATGAGATATTAAAACTAATAAAAACATACACAAACAAATATTGTTGTTTATTGGTACTCACAGACTGTGAACTTGCATAGGTTCCATTCCTTAATGTGATAACGTACGTCACTGAAAGACAAGTTGACTTCTGGTCTCTTCGGAAAGGAGTGTTTCTCTTGTAGGAAATAATTATTGTTGCTCATCATTGCCGGATTTCTTACGTCATCTTGACTGCTACGATCGAATTGGCAACAGTTCAAAGATGATCGTGACGGCGAGCAGTGCGACGGAGTGGCCATCATGAATAAAAATGCGATGCAAATGCTTGTTGGCAAGCGAACTGACGCAAAAACGGTCACAACGATCTTAGATATTATTCGACAAAAGTACGTTTAAATTCATGAGTGCATGTTTTTGTGGTATTGTATCATTCAATTATATAATATTTCTTATGTTTGTTCGTTGTTCAACAATCGCTTTTGCATGACTTAACACTGCGTCAGTCTGAAATAAAAAAAAATAAATAGGAAATAAAAAGGAGAGGATAGAAATAAAAAGGAAAATGTTTCGAAAATTATTATAATTTTTCAATTATAACACATAACTGAAATCAAGAGAAAATATTTTTACACCCAGTTTTTATATTTATGTAGTAATGTATTGGGTGAGTGCAAAAGTTCGTGCGGAGTTTCAATAGATGGAGTTATAAGCGTCGTAAAGTGTTGTCATTAATACTTCCATCTACATATTATATAACGTTGGAAAGGTGACGTCTTCAGCTGTTATTAAAAAAAAAATCATTTGTTTTCATACAAACTGCTTCGAGAAATATCACTTTAAAAATGAGTATCGATAAGGTGCATTTACGGCATGTTATGCTTTACGAGTTTCGGAAGGGAATAAACGTTGCCGCAGCCGTAAAAAACATTCAGGATGTTTATCAGGATGAAGCACCAGCTAAACGAACTGTGGAAAAATGGTTTGCTAAATTTCGGCGCGGAGAATTTAACCTTGAAGACGAGCCACGCTCTGGTCGACCTTCTGACATTGATGACGATGTTTTGCGTACTTTAGTGCTCAATAATCCGCGAATTTCAATAGAAGAAGTTGCTACAGCACTAAACGTTGACCGATCAACCGCTTTTCGGCGTTTAAAAAAGATGGGATTCGATTTGAAGCTCGATATATGGGTGCCCCATTTGCTGACCGAGAAGAACAAAATCAAGCGAATTTCTGCAGCCGTTTCTTTACTCGGGCGGCTCAATAACGAGTCGTTTTTGGATCGACTAGTGACGGGCGATGAGAAATGGGTCCTCTACAACAATGTTCAGCGCAAACGGACATGGAAACAATCAGGTGAGCATGGTGACGCAATGCCAAAGGCCAGTTTGCACCCGATGAAGGTGATGCTCTCTGTTTGGTGGGATTGCAAGGGCATAATCTATTTCGAGCTTCTCCCCGCTGGCGAAACGATTGATTCGGACAAGTACTGTCGCCAATTAACCAATCTGAATCGAGAAATAAAAGAGAAACGTCCGATTTTGTCAAATCGCAAGGGAGTCGTCTTTCATCACGACAACGCCAGACCACACGTTTCGAAAAAGACGCTGCGCAAACTGAAGAGCCTGAAATGGGATGTCTTAACGCATCCACCGTATTCTCCTGATATCGCACCATCTGACTATCACTTGTTCCAGTCATTGCAAAATTATTTAAATGGAAAAAACTTTGACTCTTTGGAAGCCTTAAAAAACGGCGTCTCTTCGTTCTTCGAATCTAAACTGCGCAGTTTTTATGATCGAGGCATCCGTATGCTGCCAGAACGTTGGGAAAAGATTATAGAAAACGATGGAGAATATATCATTGATTGAATAAAGATTTTTGTTTGCCTAATCACTGTGTGACTTTTACTCACAAACTCCGCACGAACTTTTGCACTCACCCAATATATAAAAAGAACAAATTATATGTAATATTTTTAATTTTAGTAAATTTAATTTTAGTAAATGGACTACGTTCAATTGATGAGCATGCGAAAAATTTTACAAGGGTGCTACGGATGCCCGAAAGAAAGAAAATATCATTATTTGTCTTCATCATTTTATATAACATGTCTGCAATTATCTCTGACAATTGATAACTAACGGGACATTTTCAAATCTTGTCTTTCTTTTTCTGAATCACAACCAAGCTATTGGCTTTAAATAGCTATGAAAACAAAATAGCCTACTGTATCATTTTTCTTTTATTATATCACAAAATTTATACGTCTCATTAATTTATTCATTTATATACCGCTGATGAAACCAACGGTTAATTAATTTGTTAATCGAGAATGTTCGGACACGTGTATTCTTAATTAACATATAACAAAAGCGAACACATATATGTAAAACATCTCTAACTTTTCCATAATGCGAATATATTGATGCACAATAGAAAATTACAAATACATTCGACATGACGCTTGTATTTCAAACAATCTATATCTCATTTAAAAACATCACAATATTTTACTATATTTGCACATAAAGCACGTGTAAATATTATGAGCCTTCGAATTATCATAATGTATTATTTTGTATTCACGAGAAACAGAGAACAATCGTAAGAACTAGTCTATCGTAAGAATTTACCTTAAATTGTTAAGTATAATTATATCCATTATAAACATTATGTCCATTCGAAATTACATATCAACAAGAAATATAAAATATATAAAAAAAAAGAAGTAATATGCACATTAGTTTTTTTCGATCGGATGTTGTAAAAGTCTTACAGGAAAGTGCAAAGGTTATTAGCAATTTATCAGACTGATATTCATACCGCGTATTGCTAATACACGTAAAAGCAACATACATATGTACATACTGGCAGCGACATGCGAATAAAATTTTCAAACTGATCACTTTTTTACCAAAAAAATGGCGAGCATAAAAATATCTTATCTTGCGGGTAACGCTTGATTTTGCGGAGAACATCGCATATTTGCAAAATAATTGTAATGAAATAAAAATACGTAATGATAAATTCGACGGACAACTGTTCTATTTAATGTTCATATGTTCGATAATAAAATAAAAAAAGCGGTATCGGAAATAAATAAAATTGTGATTCAGTTATTGTAACTATCACTCTGACTTCACGAACGAAAAATATAATCTTGCGCAAAAACGATGTAACGACAGTGTTATCAGTTACAAGGCTACAGAAACAGGACGATATATCATGTTTAATTTAACATTAAACTATGAGAACGCGCGCGGCTTGGTTGAAAGTCCATCTTAATTTAAGTTCTGCGATTTAAACGTGTACATGAGATGAGATATGCTGCGATTTAAATTTCGGACTTATGCGATTCCGAAATGAGAAAGTTAATAGCGTTTTCGGCTTGAAATATAAATGTCGAAAATTAACATGAATGAACTAAAAGTTAATACAGATCGTTAGCTTAAGCTGATGCGATATTCGGAGAGTAACGTGTTTTCGTTGAATATGCATCAAGGATAACACTGGATAATAAAGATCCCCCAATGCGAATTCCAATTATAGTCATTCCAAGATATTAATTTATATAAGAATAATAAAAAAGAAAAAAATAAGTTGAGTAAAGAATAATATAATAAATTCGAAACTGGTAGTATAAACTGGTAGGTTTTATAGCTCTTTTTGAGTGCCAATTATTTCTAAATCGGAAGCAAATCACACGTTCGTATATCATTGTGATGGACGGGATTATTTAAAATACATAGAGTTTGAAGTATTTGAATAACCTGTAATTCTCATGAAACATGTTTTCGAGTTAAATATATGCAAAGCCAAATTTATGCGAAATCTCCCTCTCTTCCATTCATTTATACTTTTGTTTGTCTGCATAATTTGACGACTTTTAGTTTCGTTTCATAGTTATTATGTTCCAAAATAACGTATAAGAATTATATCGTATATCTAGCCTTCTATCATTATCGTGGAAAAGTACGCAGACAAGCCGTATCTGTTCTAAAAGTTCCGATTTCTATATACGAACGTATGTAACAGCCGTCGGCAATTGCACACAATAAAATCATGTATTCATACATTGTCACTGAAGAATCCCGTATACCACGATATTTGCAACGAGCAAAAGTATTAGAATATTCTAAGTAAAAAACATCTCGATATATTAGAAATATTCGAAGTAGAAATTCGAATATGTTTTATTCAATGTTTATGATCAGTAGTTATATACAGGGTGTCCCATTTTAATCCGGCTGGCTGAATAAAATTCGAGGATATTTTCCAGAAAAAAATGTCAGACAAATGTTACTCAGTTCTAAGGGGGACATTCGATGCCATCAACAATTTTGACCTCGGGTGAAGGGTTCAAGGTCATTCAAGGTCAACTTTTTTTTCTTAAATAGGAACCTCTATTTTTCACATCGGCAATCGATTCTACGTAAAAAAAAAAATGAAACTTTTGTCTGAAGCATTTTTTTTATAACGCAAACTAATTTCACTTATTCAGCCTCCAAAATTGAAATTTTCAAACTTTCTGAATTTTTTACTCGAGAATGGTGGGGTTTGGGGGGAAATTGCAGAAGACAAAAAGTTCTTGGAATGCTGCAAGGAATTCACTCGAATTTTCGCATAGTTGATCGTGCACTTTTTTCGAGGTACCTCCTGACAGGTAGAACATTGGCGGAAAAAAGTGCACGATCAACTATGCGAAAATTCGAGTGAATTCCTTGCAGCATTCCAAGAACTTTTTGTCTTTTGCAATTTCCCCCCAAACCTCACCATTCTCGAGTAAAAAATTCAGAAAGTTTGAAAATTTCAATTTTGGAGGCTGAATAAGTGAAATTAGTTTGCGTTATAAAAAAAAAATGCTTCAGACAAAAGTTTCATTTTTTTTTTACGTAGAATCGATTGCCGATGTGAAAAATAGAGGTTCCCATTTAAGAAAAAAAAGTTGACCTTGAATGACCTTGAACCCTTCACCCGAGGTCAAAATTGTTGATGGCATCGAATGTCCCCCTTAGAACTGAGCAACATTTGTCTGACATTTTTTTCTGGAAAATATCATCCTCGAATTTTATTCAGCCGGCCGGATTAAAATGGGACACCCTATATAATCGGGGCAAGTTTTATTCAGCGAATGACAGATTCAGATAACATTTGTACTTCGCAATTTTAATCTCGGACTTTTAAACGCAATTTCGCATCACGCTCTCATGACTCTGGTATTCATCCGATTGAATCTGGTATTACTCCAATAAAAAAAAATATAGTCTTATCGACAAATAATCTTATTTTGCAAGCTATCTACATTTATGTCAATATTCCAAACTACGAGAATGATTTGTCAACTGCATAAAACCTATATGATCTCATATTTATAGCATTTTTCTTTTTTATCTATATTTACTAAATGCGAGTCTATTAGAATTTATAAATTGTTCACGAATTGATATATTCCATTATTTTTGTTACGTTTATTATATTAATATATACCCAAACAATCCGATCATCCTTATTTACGTACTATTAAAAAATATCGTGCGATAACATTTTATATACAAGAAAATGTTTGATTAAAATTAGAGTAAAGTAAATTAGAAGAGAGACGTTCTTTGTAGAGCTTCCTATCGATTAGCATAAAGACTAAGGAAGCAAACACACAAAATTATTCTACTTAATATGATATGAATATCAGTTTTATTGGCACACTTCTCTCCCATTACTTTGTCTCCGATTTCGTCTTACTTGTCGCTTTATAATATTCAATAAATTGATAAGATGCATACAAGATATATAAGATGCGTTTCAATCTTTCTCATATAGTTTTACAATTTATTATTTCTAATTTTTTCTATGATTTATATCATTTTCTGGTGTATTGAATTAAATAAAATCAAATCAATTAAATAAAATGCACAAATTGGATGCACAAACTAATAATTTAATGTGTTTAATCAATTTAGAATTTGATCTGAGACAATATAAAAGATTTAGCCATATTGATCGCAAATTTATTATTGTCTCTTCTTTTTTTCATAATTTGTTTCCTGTCCACAGAATTTGTTGGAAATATAAAACCGTAATAAATCCTAATATTTAATATCTTATCTAATGGCAAGTTAATTTTGGATCAATAAAATAGTTGATTAAAGATTAAAAATTAATAAATAAAATTTCAACGAATTAAGTGATAATATATAAATATTTTGAAGGCATAACTATCCAATCATGTCGCAAATATTAATATTGAATATTCAAAATCAGCAAAATTCGTGCACAGCAACAAATATATAAGTAGGAAATATATTAAATCCTTTTCTAGATATTGAATATGAGAGATTTCAACATTTATTAATTTAATTTTATAATTACATGTATTTAACTGATAGCTTTACCAGAGTTCTACGAAATGCAAAATTGATATACTAAAAAAACTTTGGAAAAATATTTTAAATATGTCAATATTTTTTTATGTAATAACTGACTTGCTAAATATTCAGGTTATCTAAATATTATATGAAAAAATTATATATCAACAAGATTAAGAGAAAAACATATAAAAAGCCGTATATATAGCCGTAAGGACACGAAATAACTATGAGACAAGCATGACTCACAATGAAAATTAGTCGGTTCAACGGGTGGAATGGCGAGTTTTGTTTGCTCTTATCGTTCCGCGATAGCTGTGGAGGTTAACTTTTAAATACAAGCAGAGACAATACAAAGACTTTATTCTACGTCATTATATCACATTGACAATTAGTAATTATTGGTAAATGAAATTTAAAATGATAGAAATTTAAAATGATAGAAATTAAAGATCGAATTCTTATTTTGTGAAACATTATACCATTGTATGTAAAATATTATATATGAAATGACTATATGAGGTAGCGTTATATATGAAAAAACTCGGTAGTAGGCTAATGTATAATTGATAAAATTATGTCAATTTGAAAAAAAGAGAGTTGTGTAAAGAAAGAAAGACAGGCGTAGGTGCAAATAAGCGTGTACACACGCGAGAACTGTCCTACTTTCACAAAACGCTAACAAAATGAAACGTAAGCATGTGTGCTCTTTCTTTAGACGAGAAGTTTATCGGTCTGAATTATAGTGATGTATATAATCATTGTACGTATATAATCAACATATTGAAACATCTGACGGAAAATATACGATGAAAAATTATTAATGAAAAACTAGTAATGAAAAAATTTATCATCATTAACTATCGCATACGAGCACGATAAATGATTAAGCAATCTTGATGGCTGTTAGATGATGATGCACTTAAATACATCCATAATGTTTAACATATTAACATAATATTAATATATCGTTTCGTATTAGCATAGTTAATAATATAATTTAGCATTTTTATTTTACGGAAAAAAAATAGTCGAAGTCTCTTTGTAAATCCGCATCAAATAATATCAGAATTCACGCTTATACTACTTTATAAAACACGAATTAAATAGTGAATAGTAATATGTGAATAGTAAATGTACATTGATTCGTTGACGAGTGAATATAATTTACAAAACAATATGACGTCAAATATACAAGTCACACAATACATCGAAGTAATCAAAATTATTTTATCATTTGGGTAAAATACCGAGACTATATATATATATATGATTGTAATTTGATCTTGTCGGTTAACCCTCGATAATCATATTATTCTGAATAATTGGAGAATTACGTTTAATTAATAATTAAACATTTCAATAGTTTAAGAATTAAATGTAAGAAAAAATATGAATTTTTTTATTAAAGATTAAGATATATTAAACTAGAAAGAAATATATGTAATATTTGAAGAACTGATTGTATGATACCGTTACACATGTGCGGAAACTCTATTGCTTTCAGTACGGTAATAATAGATCACTATTACTTATGATTCAACATTACAGTACATTAATTGATTCAATGTCACAGAAAAATAACCGCCATATCACTGCAATTGCACTAGGAAAATTGCGCTAGGTTATGCTAACATTGGATTAATGCTCAGTGAAATAACAAAACTATGTGGAATATTCTGTTGCGACAAAACATTCGATTTTCATTTCATTCCTTCTTCATTGTAGCAAAAGAGAACGTGACCAGAACGCAATCATACATTCCTAGATCGAGACACAATGGAACAATCTCCATTATGGTCGATTCATTTCCGGCCTACAAATGATTTAAATGCGAAATATATCCATCGAATATAATCACCACATATACGCGAGCAAATTAATCGAAATGTTAACGAAAACACACCGGATGCCGGAGCGCAAATATACTAAAAGTGCACGTAACACGAAAATGATCGATCTTTCAAACAGAGTTCAAGTAGAACAGAAAATCACGATGACGAGAAGATAACCGAATCATGATGAAAAAATGAATTTTCCTCATCATTTTAACATCACCGTGATTTGCCATTCTATCTGGAAATATTCCTTTCGCTTGACATTCACGAAAGAGAGCACCGATCAACGCATCAACTTTCTGTACACCGAACATACAAATTGACCGCTGCTGTCTATACGAGCACAATCGATACGACCGCAATTCGCATAGTAGACAGAAAATAGATACCTGTATTACGTACTTACTAACTGCGGTGTAGATCGATCCGTTGTACAGGCGAGTGATTCCAAGCTGCAGTTTGTCGTCCCGACCACAGTATGCGACCGTCACGGCTGAAAGCTCACCGACGACTGCCAACACGCTTTCACGAGCGTCGCATTATAGCATGTAGGTTGTGAGCCGTGAGCCGCATTGTGGCTCGCTCTGGCAAGCCAGTCTCCCAGTGTACATTATCTTCAAATATCTCTTTACTTCTTTCTATATTGTTAACAAGAGTTACAACATAAATATGTAAAAATATACAAAATAAATATGTAAACTAATGCATGTAATCTTTCCGAGAAGTTCGTATACACAACTGCTCACCTTTCAGCCATTTTTCTACGATACATACACTACATACGATAGTGTAGCTAACTTCATACAGTTCGGATGCTCGAGAGATTTAAATCGAAAATTTAAATCGCTGCCAATAACTGATTAGAATCTATATCTGAATTTACACGACCCTGCATTAAACGATATATCGTTGATATAGCCAAACACTCGAATCGATTCGATCCTTTTTTCCGAACCGTCTGGAATTGTTGTTTCTACTTCAGACTATTCGATAATACAATCGATGAGGATGAGATCGTATCATTCATTGAAGTCTGAAGTTATATACATACGCTACGGAATGGCGTATGGGGAAACCTTATTCGCCCGGAGCCAATATTGAACTGAACTGAACTGATTATATACATACGCTCGTACATATACCTTCACTGCATATAAAACATTTTTAAATATAAAACACTCAACTAAGCTTAACGTTCGAATCTGAAGATTAATAGTTTTTTTTATCAGATATTATTATAAGCTATAATATGGGCTATTTATTTTTTTCGATAAACAAAATTATATTTCAAAAAGATATCGAATACCATTTGCACTGATATTATTAGTCAATTATCGTTTTGTTAATAAATTTGTAGATATAAATAGCACATACGTAAATATACACAGTAAACATACGTAAATTATTTTTATTTATGATAAAGAAATGATGGTTTTATGTATTCTGTATAGTATCTTATATGCTAGAATGAATAAATAAATGAAGTATATACACTTTGTTTTAAATTCTTGGTGCATCTAATGCTATACATAGTGCTGTAAAAACTCTAAAATTTTAGAATTTAAAATATAATAGATGTAATTATCATTTCTTTACCACAAATCAAGTTAATTATACATGATTTTATATAAAAATATAATCATTTCACTATACAAAATATTAGTACTATTTTATCCAATTTAAAACTTTTCAGAAATACTTGGAAACATTTTTACTGCATAATTGGAACTTACACAGCAATATTAGAAATATATTATTTGATATAGTATTTGAAATATTTTACATATATAAAATATTTAAACATATATAGAAATATATACATCCGCGTTTACAGACACACACACACACACATAACATGTATGCAAGTATATTCGTGTGTTATAAAGTTTGGAGTATTATGTTATCAAATAGGATAAATCCTTATTTCCAATACTTTTATGCTTTCTGTATATAAACTTAACTTTTTGCTTTATTTTAGACAGAAAAAATGAAAGTTTAGGAAGTAACAGGCAATAGCTAGAGACAATACATTTCACTGTACAATTAAGAGCTGCTATAACATTAGCTTGCTGTAACTTCATATATGTAAACATATAATCTAACATAGTTGATGAAAGGTTGTTACAAAATACAAATTGTTTTTGTCTAAAATAGGAACATATATTTTATCGGATATTATATATAACTCGTAAAAAAATAATTGCATAATTTGTATATCGCAACAGAATGTGCTAACCCTCTATTGCTACAATGTTTAAATTATGATTTTATTTTATTAATAATCTATGTTTATTTGTCACCATAACTTCAAGGAACATTGAGAAATGACTTTTTATATATATATTTGTAAAAATATCATATTATTATTATATTTATATGATAGATAAAGTAAAGATATTTACTATCTTATCTTTTTCAAGATAATTTTATACAAAATACAAGATCATTTCCTGATCAAAGTATGCATTATTTCTTGCATTTAATGTAATACTATCCCGGAAAAGATGTAGACTATGCAAATAACTTTTATTATTTGTTATATATATGAAATGTTTTTGGAAATTGGAACAAATAATTTCAGCAATAGAGAGTTAAATCGTGAACATTAAAATAACATTTGCTTATTCTATTATTAATATTTTATACTTAGAAAATAAATATACATAAATTTCATAAATCACATTTCCTGGCTCTGCACTTTACCAGTATTTGTTTTTATGCATACAATTGCATCAGACTAGCAAGAGCCTTTGGCCTATAAAATGCTTTCTTAAATACTATTTTTATTGAATCTTTTTATATGAGAATCTTTTTTTTATATGAGATTCTTTTTATATGAGAAAGAAGAAATGGAGATATATTGAATTTATGAAGTGTAAAACGAACTCGAAGTAAATTGTATGCTGCAGGAGAAATGCTATTTTATAATATGAGAATATAATCTAAAGAATAAACTTAGATATGATATATTAAAAACATAACAAAGGGGAAAAGAGAGAGAAAGAAAGGAAATAATTAATATTATCATAACGTTGTCATGGAATGTGTCTTGCAACTCTGTTTGCATGTGCCTGTAAAATAAGTAATTTGTTTTTAAATATCTGTATAAAGAATTCGAGTAAAATGTTCCTTTAAAATATGAATTAGAAAACATTGAAATATGGTTAATGATGTATAAAAAATATACACATATGTATGTACGTATTTAAATGTATACTTTTTATATATGTATTTATTAGAACATGTAGACTATATACATACCGGTAGTATATTTGCATGAGCGATGTCATCGTGAGGGCCTCTGGTTTTCGGCGGTAACTTTGGTAAAAGAACATCGGTATTTATTTTAATTTCAGGATTCTTTTCCTTAATCTGTTTCATAGTTTCTTTGCAAACATGAATTACAGCTTCAGCATTCATACGACGATCGTCGCTCCATAGTGGACAGCTATATTAAAAATCGCAAAATGAATAAAAATAGAAAAACAATAAAAATTAAATATCATTTATATAAGACTTACAGATCAGGTGCCATTGATCCCTGACCTTTGAAATGTCCATAACTAGATATTTTTTTGTCACAAATGTAACACATTTGAGTACCACACAGACAAGTCATCTTGTTACACCCTTCTTCTTTGAAGAAGGTTCGTGAACAATTGGGACATTTCCGTATCAAGGCTTCAGTCATTTTTTCTTCCAAGTATAAACGTGCAGCATCCGATTTTACTTCGTTACATTTCAGAGGTAAGTGATTAATTTCTTTACACAATCTAATAATAAAACAATCTATTATCATATAACTGTAGAAACTCATATAACTTGTCTTCTAATTTGTATTTTTGTTAATCTTTTAATTTTGTGTTGTCTAAATGTGTGTTTATAATAAAACAATAATACAATTACACTTACCGACATGATTCTTTCATACAATCAGGATTGAAACATTTAAATACTTTATCTTCTTGTGGTGGTATAGATGCAAAATGACAAAATGGACATGACACTAAACCTTCCAATCCAGCAGCCATTACCTCTGCTTCTTGTCGTTTTTGAAGAAGAATACTGAATTTAGTTGGAAGCAGTACATGTTGAAGTACAGAAAGATGAAATTCACTACCACAATCTATCAAACAATAAATATGTGTTTCACCCTCTGCTAATTTCACATCTGTACACTTTGCAACACATGAATTACAAAATATATGACCATCCTCACAGGTGGAACATTTTGATGGCATGCATTCATTATCGTAACAACACTGGCACTCAAAAAGTTCATTTTTTGCCTGAAAGAATAATAAAATAAAAATAAGAATCTTGTTCAAACTAATTAATATGCTAATTACTACTTATTATCTGACTACTAAAAGATCTCTATTTATAAAACATAATCTACAGATATCTTGTTTTTACTTTGTATACCTTAAGTTCATTAAATTCTTTCTCTTCTTTTTCTTTTAATTCGTTAAAATATGCTTGTAGTTCTGTTTTATGTAATATAAAAGCACATTCTTGAAGAAGTGGTATATTTTCTGTTTGCACCAATGCATAGACTCGTTTAGTTTTCATATCAGGATTTAGTCTTTCCAAGACTTTTGCAGTTAGACTTAAATTATGTTTACACTGAGAATATATATTCAGCAAAGTATTTACCTGTGAAACAAATACCATTTTTAACATACAAAATTATGTATATAATAACATGTATATATCATATCAATCAAATAATTACCCTGATTTTATTAAAATGATGTTTTAAGAAGTCTACTGCATGTATGTCAAATTTACATTCTCTCTTATCATTCTCAAAGTGTGAAAATGGATCTGGAAATATCTCTAAAAATTGTGATACTTGAAAGCCTGTAGTGTATTGTTTTTGTTGTTCTGTGATTTTCTTTTTAGCTAAATATTGCTCTCGAGTTGGATAATCTGGCTTTTCAAGTTGTGATTGAACAAATTGTTTTATCATATCTGGATTATTGTATATCTTTTCAGCTGTTTGCCTTAAGAAAATAGGATCTGCTGCCGGAAATATTTCCAATAAATTAGCATACTGCTCATTTACATCAAAAGTATCTGGTGCTGGTTCAGGTTTTTTAACATTTGGATGCTTTTCTAATATTAGGCTATTATTGAGCAAATGCTCAACTAAGATTTGCAATAAATTTATCTCGTCTATTACCAGTAGATCATCTTTAATATATTCCTGACATAGCTGTTTAATATATTGAGTATTTACACATGGGAACATTGGTATTAATTTGTAGTATATTTTACGAGCATTTTCGCCTAATGTTATTTTTTTATCACTTATATTGTGCTCTGTATTTCCTTGTTTCTTCTTCATTGCATATCCTGTTTCTATACATAAAATATTGATATTACCATATATAATGATGCATGTACACATGTATGCAAGCCTGCACATACATATATGTACAATTTGGACTTTCTTTTTTAATTTAAGATATTAATAATATTTATAATCAATAGTAGTAATATTTATAATATATCATAAATCAGTGGCAGTAATATTTATAACATATTTATAATATTGTATTTATATATACTGTATTTATAATATATTATCTCCATTATTTAAGACATCAGTAACAATATTTATATTTGTAATATAATGGACTTACCTTCTACTTTGTCCACAATTTCAGTAGATGTCGATGCCTTTTCATACACCATAGTATGATTATATGGCGCTAAAGAATGATTAACTGTGTGCCATGCTATCGTCTGATTCAACATGTCTGATGCTTGACTTTGTTTGGTATTACATGGTTGTAAGGAATTTAATACTTCTAATCTCTTGGTTGCATTTACTTCTTCATTGGTTGAAGCCATGACCTGAAATTAAATATTAGTTTAGTGTTAGATTCAACTGTCTTATAAGTTTATTCATATCTGTTAATCGTCTCTAAACCTGAGTTGTATTGACATCGATTCCTTCTTGTCTCAAATTTTTTACTTTACTTTTGCTATTAACGTCTTTAACGATGTTTAAAGTAGGTATATTCTCTGTATTGTTTGATTGCAAATCATGCGATGTATTATTTTTTGATAATTTAGCGCTTTCCGTCTTTATATTTGGCACCGTTTTATCTTGTGAAGTGGTTGCATCATCTTCTTTGAGGTCAATGGATGAATCTAACTGAGTTATATTCACATCAGATGCTTGAATGTTTCTCCTGTCTGCTGATGTATCCAAGGGCGCATGTCCTTCAGTGTTTTGTCTCAACTCAGTTGATTTCTTAGGATTCTGAATCGGCACCATTACAAATCGCGTAGTCGTTTGTTTACGATCTTTTGGAATTTTGAATTTTGGCGGCGATAAGATAGCAGTTTGTAATGAGGATGATTTAAATGTTGTATACTTATTATTAGGAATGTATGTTAATTTTGATGGTCGTAATATACTTTTAGAATGGTTGATCTCCTCTATTTCACCTTCTACTGTTTCGTACAGTATTGGGGCGTCCTTAGCCAATTGTAATTCTTTGTTTTCTGTATCAACCTTTGATGATATAGATTTCTCTTTATCAGACACGTTACATATATCAATATCGTTATTAGATTTATTCATTTTGCTCAATTTTATTTTTGCTGTAGAAACTGTATCTTGATGACTGGTATCGGTAATTGTATCATCTTCAATCATTATTTCATCTATTGTATGTTCCTCTATATGTGAATCTTTCTTACTTACAGATTGCAGTTTTTCTAAACGGTTATCTACAACTTTCAGATCATCCTTAGATATATCCGCAATATTTTTTTTACATTCCATTGAATACGTATCATCCAAAAGTTTCCGTTTAGATGGAACTTGGGGTTTTGGTCTCCTCTCTGGTAATAAGTCCCATAATGTAAGCTCAATACGATTTTTTGCATTATAATTATGCCACAATGTTTTATAAATTATATGGTGACTCAATTTAGGTAAAAGAACATTTATTTGTTCAGCTTCAGTGTGCAATCTAGAAAGTTTAGGTGATAGAAATGTATCGTGAGAATCTTTACTGCAACCTGGTTTTGGACTCTCAGGTTTTTCGAAGAATTCTACAAAAGATTCTACATTTGAATCTTTTCTCTCATGATCAATATCTGGAGAATTATTTTCAAACTCTGGAAATATTAGAACAGAACCTAAGTTATTATTAGGATCATTATTGTTTTCCTCTAAAAATTCTTCAGGACATCTTCTGAGATTTTCAAGATCTCCAGTAACTTCAGAAAAATTTGTGGCTTCACCATTATAATTTGATGATGACACGTTATCACATGGTTTTAGAGGAGATGGTATTGATCGTGTTACAGTATCTATTACTGAAATATCATCCAAATTAGTAGAAGCATAATAAACATCTCTATCATCATAATCTGATGAAGCATCTGATATCTCATTATATTCTTCCTGTACACTTTCAAATTTAAAAATTTTATCATTGTCATGTTGTACTTTAGATTCTTTTATGATAGATGTTAAATTTATCGTGGAAGTTTCTGCTTCATTGTTTTGACAATCAGAACTCCAGTTTTCTGTAATCAAATTAATGATATGCTCTAGTTTGTAATGAGGATCAAAACTTTGCAACAAGTCACATATTGCATCTTCATCCAAATTTTCTCCTAGCTCTGATAAACGTCTTCTTATTTCTTGAGCATCTTCACGAATTTTCTCATGTGTCATTATGCTGTTCCTCTGCTTGCTCTCTCTACAAGAAAATCTCTACAAAAAAATCATAAAGTGATAAAACAAACATGTCAAGAATTGAATAAATGTAAACTTACCTAACAAGTACAAAAGTATTGTTATTAAAGCAAAATTTATAAGATGAAAAAACAAAATAATTTTACTTAAAATAGGAAATATAATTTATATTAATCTTGTTGGGCTGTATAAATGTGGATAAAAATTTTCTTTTAATATCTTATTATCTTTAATATCTTCATATATCTTTTATTATCTTTTAATATCTTTGTCGGTTATAAGAACAGAAACACATATCAATCGGCCATATTTCTTTATTTACTCACAATAGATCATAAATTGTCACAAACCGTCAAGTTCCATTCGAAACTACGGCTGTGTTCCAAAATTCACTGTCAGTACTGAAAATACATAGTTTGTGTCACGTATATTATAGATTTTCAGTACTGGCAGTGAATATTGGAAAGCAGCCTTTGTAGGCCGGTATTTATAGGCTGCGTTCCGATGTTCACTGCCAGTACTAAAAATCTATAATATATGTAACATAAAGTATATATTTTCAGTACTTAAGACGGTCTTAAATATAAGACCCGATTATGGCTATATTCCAAAATTCACTGCCAGTACTAAAATACATAGCTTGTGTCACGTATATTATAGATTTTTAGTGCTGGCATTGAATACTGGAACATAGCCTAAAGGCTCATCTACAATAGCTGTAAAAGTAAGGCTGTAAGGCTGTAACGTAAGCTGTCAGCGAATGAAAATATTTCATTTCATGTCTTGCAACCTTACAGCCTTAGTCTTACAGCTAATGTAGACGAGCCTTAATACCCGTATTCATAGTCAGGCCCTATATTTGAGACCTCCTTGTATCCATCTTTAGATGCTGCACGGATTATTTTATTGGCTACAGACCATCTGAAGATAAACTTAAGGGAGCCTTAAATATAAGGCCTGGCTATGAATACAGGTGTAAGATTCTCATAAATTGCAACGACGTGCGCCTATTATGTGCGCATTATCGAGAAATTGAAGCCCGTAGGTCGAGATCGACCGATGCGAAAATGACGAGTCACTGGGTATAAGCTGCAAAATTATTTGAGATAAGATATTAAGGCCATCACACACAAATGAACGTAAGCAGTAAGACGTAAGCAGCAAAGAAACTGACCAATCACAATCAATTATTCTCGTAAGTTTTAAAATGGCATCTTTAAGTTTCGATTGTGATTGGTCAATTTGCTTACTGCTTACGTCTTACTTAAGTTCGTTTGTGTGTGATGGCCTTTAACCTAAGTTCAAAATAAGGATGATCCGAGCTAACCGCGTCGAAATGCGATTCAGAGCTGCCAGATTCGCTGCATTGCCACCAAACCCGCGCACGTGGAGAGGGAACGTATGCACGCGTTGAGCCGTGTCCGTGTCTCGACGTTCGGCAAGCTTCGGATAATAGAGAAGGAAAGCGCTATCTGCGCGATCTCTTTCTTTCCTATAAGAATAGCTATAGCTATACCGCTAGCTTCAAGATATGCGTTGACTCGCCGACGATATTTTCGCGCGGGCGAGAGAAAGAGTGAAAGAGAGCAATAATTTGAACAATCCACTCTTGGCCAACATGTACGTCTTCTTCATAAAAGAATAATGTTATGTTACGGAAAAATAACTTATGTTAATTTAAGACATAATTTATTATTAGCACACAAGAAATATAAAAATAAATTATGTAATTTAATTTTGATATAAATTAAGTTTTACAGATTATATACATAATGTGATAGAAATTAAGTTTTACTTCTGTTGAAAATTAATTATACATTATTAATATTTACACTAGTTCAGCTAATTTTAGAAATTAGCTGTAATTGCCGTTAAAAATAATTCATTTCTATTCAGTATATTGCAAAAAGGATTTTATCATAAATATATGTACTATTTTTAATATTATATTACATAAAGCATGTGTACACTTTTTTCCGGTTAATCAGTAGAAATACCGAGTTATATTTGACCGTTTCGATGTTTTAATGTAGTATATTGTTTTTGTATGGTAAAAGTATGACTTTGAAATTTTTTGAGTTGTTAATCTAGATCCAAAATAACTATGATCCTCGTAAACCGCATTGAGCTGCGATTACGCGTTTCGGAATTAGAAGCCACGAAATATTGAAAAGTGACAGGTTCGGAAATGACAGGTTATATTGCAGGAAATATTAATTAATGAAATATGATTGATAAGGTTTCAATCTAGGTCCAAAATAACTAAGATCCTCACAAATTGCAACAACGTGCGCCTACGCGTTATGAAGAATTTGAAACCGATATATCTAGATTGATCGATGCGAAAATGATGCGTTACCAAGTATAAATTAATAAATCATGCGGTGATTCATTTCTTTCCGTAGTGGCACTATATATCTGCACAAAGTGTACGAAGTGCGGGTGAAAGCACAGTCGATGATATATTGATTTAAAGCCAGCGGCACACGATGCTTGTTTCCGTGCTGGATTGCTTGCTGGATGAAAATACTGCGTTCTGATTGGTGCATTTCCATCCATCTTCGGAAATGTACCAATCACAACGCAATATTTTCATCCAGCAAGCAATCCAGCACGAAAACAAGCACCGTGTGCCGCTGGCTTTAATTTTCGGAGTAGAGAGAAACCTGCGAGCGGCCACACAGCATTTTCTGCAACACCGACTTTCCGCACTGGGAAAGGACGCCATCTGCATTTATTTTGAGAGGAGAACTACGATGTTACATTCACTTTTAGGTCTCGGTGGTAAAATGTGATGGAAGTCCGTGCTACATCCATTTTCAGACGGTTTATCAGACGAACGGTCCGTGCTACAACCACAGTTACCACCTCTATGTTAAGCCAGCGGCACACGGTGCTTGTTTTTGTACTGGATTGCTTGCTGGATGAAAATACTGCGTTTTGATTGGTACATTTCCGAAGATGGATGGAAATGCACCAATCAGAACGCAGTATTTTCATCCAGCAAGCAATCCAGCACGAAAACAAGTACCGTGTGCTGTTGGCTTTACACCTATTAAGCCAGCGGCACACGGTGCTTGTTTTTGTGTTAAATTGCTAGTCGGATGAAAATACTGCGTTCTGATTGGTGAATTTCCGAAGATGGATGGAAATGCACCAATCAGAACGCAGGAAGCAATCCAGCACGAAACAAGCACCGTGTGCCGCTGGCTTTACAAAATAGACCTATCGGATGCAGTATGAATCTCCCATTAGGCGATAGTCGTTTATTGCGCATGTTCGTCTCGATACGAGTGAGGGGTGAGGAATATAAAAAGCAAAAATTGAATACTTGAAGTCAGTGAGGTAGATCAGAGGAAGGAGCGTGAATGAAGATGTGGTAAAGCGACTGTTACGTATGTGCGCGGTGTAAAATTCTACGAGAGATTCAATAAAAGAGTAAAATTACGAGATAGATCGACTGGAAGAAACGATGTGACAAACGCACATCGAAGAAGAGACGAGCGGCAAATAAAGGTAGAGCAATAGCGTGTACGAGTAACACGTTCACGCGTCGTACACGAACGTGCACGATTTCGCGCAACGAGACGGAGTCTTCGATCTTGCAGTCGGTGGTGGTGGTCGAAAAGTGAAAAGTGCTCGACCACGAAGGTGCATGTATCGAAATCTGCCGTGAGAAATCACGCGTGGTGGATCACGCTCGAGCGTGGTGGAAGTGCTCGCTGCGAAAACAAACAAGTCGTATATCGCGTTCGCCATCTTGCGTGCCTTCGCGCAAGTGGGGACGGTTAGTGAGGAGTAACAGGAACAGCAGCAGCAGCATTGTCACCGTGTCGAGCAGCGAGCGGAGCGTGTGTTCCTCGTTCGAGAGAGTAGGTCACGCGAGAGTAAGGAAAAAGCAACGGTGGCAAACGGTGAGGAAGTCGGTGAAGACGAGGGAGAAGAAGAGGCGAAGGAGAAGGAACACGAACAAAGAGGAAGGAGGAGACACGGTGGCCAACAGTCACCGGATGTGGTCGAATTTGCGAGGAATGCGCACTGGGAGGACTGCGAGGGAAGAGGAGCTTGAAACAAGGTAGCATCGCGCTAACAGGTTCCCGGGGAGCCGTATCGTGCTAATTCCTTCGCATCGTCGTCGTCGTCGTTATCGTCCCCACCACCATCATCATCACCACCACCACCACCACCACCACCACTACCACCACGACTACCAACACTACCGCCATCGCTCTGCCCTGGATACCGTGATTATTGCGCAGTTTGAAAAATTGCTGAGCACGGACGCCGCATACGGGAACGCGGGATATCGTCTCCCGAGAGGCAGCCCGCAGACGTTAACGGTAAGAAGAGTTATTGGCTTTGTTCTCTGCTTCGGTTGATCAGCAGATAGCTCGCTCTTGAAGCGCGATATCTTGTGCGGAGTAAGTGCTGAGTATCGAAGTAAACAAAGTCTCGCAATGCGGAGAGACAAAACGATAAGATATTAAAGAACTGTGATGCGAAAGTGTGAAGATAAAGGCGAGAACTTAATCTCAAGTTGTGTTTCATTGTGATAAAAAGGAATATCTGTTTATGTTCTTTTTATCTTGCTTCCGGCAAATTCCACTGTTTTTAGTTCTGTCGCTGTGTATTTATCTCTGTTTAGTTCTATCGTGCCAGGTTTTTACAATATTATGCGACAGTGATGGAAATAAACAAGTTCAAGCAATATGCTCTTTCGCATAGTATGGTGAATACAATGGAACGATAGATAAAATGGAACAATTTATGATAATGTATCGTCCATAGATTCATAAATCAATATGTCCAATTTTAAGTTTTAAGCGTGAGATATATATATGTGTGTTAAGTATGATGGGTGCAAATTTATAAAGGAAAAAAGACAAAAGTAGCTTATATAGAATATAAAATATGTATATTTCTATCCATATTATTGAAATAATTCCTAAGATTTAAAATTTGATATATTGAGACATCTGCCTGGTTTTACAAATATTTGTGTTACATCTGTATAAAGATCTTAAAAAGATACAGATTATATATAAGATTATATATAAAAGATTATATATAAATGTAAATGTACATGTACATAAAAATACTTTATATGTGTTAATTATGATATAAATAATATTTGTCATGTTGTGACAAAGACCGCATATGTTCTCATTTTTTTTTTTCGCTTTTCTGAACATCATACTTTATTTTCTTGCGATAATACGGTAGTCAATATTTATACGGGAAAAATGCGCGACCTATCGGAGAATCGTGCTCGGCGCAGGGTCATTGCGCGTCTCGTTTATCTTTGTTATGTAAACACGCAGTCGCGCGAAATAATTTCACGCTGTAGGTCAGTCCCGTGAAACACGTCTTGTATGGTAGTCGGGTAGACTACGTGCATCTTCGTAATTCACGATTTCTGCGAAATTTCTGAGTAATGTTGAAAAAGAACTTTTAAAAGATCTTCGACGAATTATCCGCGATTAGGTTCCGCATTTTTATTATTGTTCTTAGCAAGAAAAATAATGTTTACGACAATCCTGTTTAAAAAGTTGTTCTATAAAATATAATCATAAACTATTATTAATAGGAGCACAATTATATTTAACAGTTACATTAAACACTTGGCTTACTCTTTTTCAAAGAATTTATATGTACTTTTGAAATTTAGAAAAGAACAATTACACAATCAAGACTTTATGGAGAAAAGAGCAAGAGAAAATTAGTTCAAAATAGCTCAGAGAACGTAACAAAAAAGGATAGACTAACTTTGTTGGTTGTGTGATAATAAAATTGCACAACTAATGAAATCTGTTTGCTTTTTTACATATATTAAATATGACTTACAAAAGGAATCCTACGCTTCTTTTTCAATGCATAATGGAATACTATAAATGACTTTATAGGCAATATTAGAAGTATTAGTACTACACAGTACGATGTACTGAGAATGAAGGAGACAAACAAAGAACTGAAAAATGCGGATTTAAACTTGTACCTTGTGTTACAGTTGGGTTGGACGTGAGGGTGAGTGACGACATAGCGAATCGGCACGAGAGGGAGGTGGATATCCGAGCCATGACGAACTCCACGCCCAAGTTGAACAACAAAGTTGAACAGCAGGCCTCGCCGAATGTCGGGGCCGACCGGCACCAACGCCATTGTCACCGTTATCATCGCTCGAACAAGTCGTCGCCGTTCTTCCACAGCGGTGGCCGTCGCGCCAGGACCAACAGTGGCGGCCGATTGAGCTGCAGCCCGCAGCACTCCCCGTCCAAGAGCACGAGGAACTCGCCGCTACGCGGCGAGTGCAGTCCACGTGGCAGCCCGACCAACAACAGCTTCTACGCGGGTGCCAAATTTTCAGAACCACCGTCGCCCGCCAGCCTCCCAAAACCGCCGAGCCACTGGGTCACGAGACTGATGAACGGCTGTCACCAGTCGGTCCAGGATATCTCGAGGCACCTGACAATGGTGTTGCAGGTCCAGGCCTGATATCCAAGCACCCAACAGCACGCCCGCCATTCGAGAGTTGGCTGCCAGCAGCAACTTGTAAAGAGTCAGGTATGATACAGAGAGAATATCGTGGTCGATCCTCAGCCAAAGAGGACGACGATGACGACGACAGGGCTAATCTGTCTCGAAACTCGTAATCGCAAGGCATACAGGGACGACGACGACGATGATGATGATGATGATGATGATGACGACAGTAACGATAAACGATGCGAATGATGATGGTGATAACGGTGACACGCTGCATCCCCGCGTGCGGGTCGTGCTACACACGGGCTTTCGATTTTATCGCGCGCGCGCGAATACAAAGTATTCACCGAGTGAATGCCGCAGTCTGTTCTTTACGCTAAGATACGCAGCATACAGACTAATGATAGACTATATATCGCGAAAACGCGGTGCTCGGCGTTCCGATGACCGCGATCGATGCGCGTTGTCCACGAGATACATATACATATATACATATATATACATACATGTGTGTATATATAAATATTTATATATACACATACGTACATATATATTGCGTTCTGGGACTCCATCACGCGCCGTCTGTGACAAAACGTATAAACATATTGTATTTTAGATTATCATATACCGCGCTAAACTTACAGAAGACATACAGAAAGACACGTACACATACGTACATATACATATATAAATATATATGGAAAGATATATACATATGTGTATATATATATATATATATATATGTATGTGTACTATTCACATGTTAACACAATACGAAATTCAAACAGGAGTTACAATCCTCAGTCTGACGAGACGACAAGCACAAACAAGCGAAGTTGCATTGCGGTTTCGGAAACGATGCGCTTCAATATCGCCACTTACGACGAAAGCGTTCAATTTTTCACGCGATATCTTTCACTTCAATTTTGGATACTCGCGTATATTGCACCACACATTCTCAAAACTGCAGTATTCTTGCATGTACATTTTGTCTTATCGTACTCCGATCTCGAACAGCAACGTCGAGAAACATCACAACCGATACTTGCTCCATAACACGAAAATGTCAGATAACATTGATCGTTTAGTAGCTGGCAGACTAATGCTCGTTATCTCATTGGCCTCATCTCATTAACAGTTTTCTTTCACGGATTTTGTTATTCTTGGTAACGAGCTTTTTCTAGTTGGCTAATCATTTCGGAATTGTATGAGACACGGCTTCGTGCGGGAGATTTACTTCAGATAGCTCTTTTTAGTTTCCGTTTATTTTTCTTTCGCATTTTTTTTTATTGCAGATATTTTTATTTTCTTGCTAGTCTGTTGTACTGCAAGTGAGGTAGCCGCGTAAGATATGAGGCATTGAATTTCTTGGGCGTGTATTAGGAGAGCAAGAGTTAATCGAGCACGACACTGACGTAGTGGAGAGGAAGGAAGATCGGGATATAATGGGAGGAATCTGAATGAAAGATAAGAATCAAATGAATGTTTCGGTTGTGTGTGTATATGTGAATGCTTCGGATACGATAATGATCGCAAAACTGCAGCGAGTCCACATTTTGATCGTATTGGTGCTTGACTCTTGGCATGTTTCAAGGAAACCAGTGACTAATTGCGCGTAACATAAATTTAAGGTTTACTTTTATTGTAATTGGAAAAATTTTGCAAGATAGCAAGAAGGAAAGAGAAAAATGGAAGAGGAGAGAGTTAGAAAGACAAAAAAAGAGTCTCGTCAAGTTTATCCATTGCAAATGAGAGACAACTGAGTATGTTTCTCTCTTTTTTCTCTCTTATTCACATAACAGATTATGAACCGTATGCTAATTAGAAGTCATTATGGTAATTCTTCTATTAGTTACGTGTAAGAAATTTACGTATGAACGTATTGAGATACTTTATTTAGAAACATATATATTCCGATCTGATGACTCATCTTAGCATTGAATACGCTGTCTGATTGTCGAAATGGCATGATATATGTGATACTTATCTAAACATGTTTAAATCTTAAAACCAGACAGTCGTATCTAATGCTAAATGCACGGTCAGTGTACGATCCGCAAATTCATTGAGGACAAAAATTTCGCGGAGAGAACATTAGCATCGCGATTATTCATTGGCCTTGCTTAACTAACTCTGGGCAAATGTTGCTTATCCTTGTTTGAATCGTGGTCGTAGTTTCGACATAGACTGAGGCGGAGGATTTAATGAGCTCGGTTAATGTTAACCGATGTCGAATCAACCCGTCCTTGAGAAGCCGGTCCTTTATCCGGGACAATGTACCGAGGTTTTTGTTGTCCACAATTTACGGTCACAATTGTCATATCAAATTCACACCATCTTTTGTGTCTATATTGGACAACAAACGAATTTAATCTGTTTATCCGATATAACAATGACAGTAACAATTAAGGATAGTATTAATAACAATAGTAGTGAGATAAGGCCTTATGATATATAATAGCGTGAGGAATACAATCAATTTGATATTGCAGGTAAAATTCAACAGCAATCAGCATTATACGAGATAATTTTTGAAGTACATGTTTTCTTTGTTTCTCTTTTTTCTTTGCCGCAGACGAGTGCATTTCAATCCGCGAACTGAGCAAAATTATTGGACGTAATATATTTTAGCTAGTATTGGTCCTATATTTTTTTTTTAGGTTTCCGAGTAACTTGCATTTTTTTCTTTTTTTTTTTTCCCCCTAAACAATGCGCTCCTTTTCCTCTTTACGTCGATTCTTTTTGCGGTAAGCAATTGGTCTTAAGTGGGATGAGTTTGCGAAACAGATGCGAATATTGACTAGAGAAAGTAGATACGAGTGAACGAAACAAAAAGTATGATGATAGCAAGATAATACCAAAATGAGCGATTTCGATTTTTCAATAGATTTCAATTTCTTGTTCTGTATCTATAGTTATGTAAAATCTGTTTATTTGTAAACAATATCTATAGACAACTCTTACGATAACACGATGAATAATGATCGTTTGATTTGATTTGTGACGTTAGAAATTTAAAGAAAAACAAGTACGTTTCTATGAGCGGACAATGGGTATTCTATCGAATGTAAACTCGTGCACGTGGCTTTTCTTTCCTTCTTGGTGTTTGGTCGTCGTGCGACGGTTTGAGAGAAAATCGATATGCCGGGATACGCGAAGAGAAAGTTTCGGACTTGTTTTCTTTTTGCCTTCACAATTTCATTTACGTACGCAGGTATTACGAATCGTTAGTCCAGAGGTTATTTTTATACAGTCAGTACGCACTTTCACGTCCGAAATTGAGTTGTTCCGCTAACGACAATACTCAAACAACTTATATTTGCGTGCAACTACGCTATAATTATTATATAATTATATCAATGTGCTTCTTTATTCTTGTTTTTTTTTCTCGATCTTGATTGTTTAATATATTAAGTTTGTGTTGAAAAAAAATTTTTTTTTTTTTTTTTACGTGGGATGTAAAACATCTATATTTAACGAGAATCTAAAACAGAAATTTATCGTATAAATATGTGATCATATAACAGTACAAGGAGCTAAAAAAGAAAATAGGTAAAATAAAATGCAATATTTTTGCATTATATGTATTTTTACCTTTCGATTCTTGTTTTATGTTTCGTGATAAAATATGCATATATTTAGATATTTATTACTTAACACTAAAACACAATAATTTCGTTCTAAAATCATTTTTAGAAATGTTCGAGTTAGCTCTAATTGACAGTTCTACTTGAACGTGACATTTTAAGAAGATAATTTTGTAACTGAAATGAAAAGATACAAAGTATTTGGAAAAATAATATCCAAGTATACTGCGCATATTACTTTGTGAAACAAATTTGATTTGCCATTTTATTAAAATTGCCAGATATCAAAAGCTTGCTTGATACGTAACAATTTTCGATTTTGATACGTATTCCATTGCACGCATCTATTTATATTTTGATTCGATTTTAGACATAGTAGCTCTTTGTACTATACCATGTATTACAAGGAAAGTGTCTATAGATTAATATTTGCAAATGCCTCTTAAAATTCCTACGTTTTGCTTTTCTACGATAAACTATCGAATTGTATTATTTTAAACGCCTAATATTCGTAAATCCGTGATATCATCCGAGAAATTTATTTTTTTTTGTTTTAGTTAGTTTTTTCACGGATCTATGTGCTACTCACGAACAATTGTCATCGTACCATTTGCAAAATCCGGCGAAACTTAGCTCGATCATTTTCGGAGATGTTAACGTCTCAAAAATATTTGACTGCTATCGAGAGTCTTTGAGCCAGTATACCGTAAAGGTTGAACTAGTTGTGATAGCTGAGTAAAGATACCCGTTAAATGAAATGAAGGTTTTCAATTTGTGGATTTTCAAGATCGGTTAAATCGACAATCTTAAAGTCCCGCATAAAATCTTCGGATGAGGAGGAAACGAATTGAACACTGCCGTCCGGTAGAAAGAGAATAAGCCAGTAAGCAGCCAGTATGTGTAAATTATTACGTACCGATCAGTATCGCGATTTTGAGATAAATTACGGTATAAATAATCGGCAAGATTGTAATCGGCTATAAACGTCTCTGCACGATTTATATAACGTCGCGTCACATTGTTCTGACAGTAACAATATTTATGTCTTGTTACCCGCACGAGAGCGTTGCCATAAAATCAGCCACGCGCGTGTAATTGACGTTTTCAAAATTACGTGGACGCCAGGCTCGATTTTCTCCTTGTCGATTTTTACGGTGCAGATCAGCACAAACAAGTAAAAATATACGACAAACGAACAGACAGGGAGAGACGAAGAGTAGAAGGGAGGGAAGAGCGCCTCGAGTAATGAACATAATGGTCTCACACATGAGAAAAATCGTTACGATATTAGCTGTGATGATAAAACTCTGCAGGATCTAGAATGTACCCCACATATATGGAATTTTTAATTGATAATTTGATGAAATATATATGCATGTATGTGTGAATGTATATTTTATATATACATATATGTATATATATAAACATATATACATATACATGTTTATGTATGTATATATACATGCACACACACACCACAAGCGCGCACGTATGCATATACATATATTATATTAAATATTATATATAATAAACGTAGAACACACACGGAGTAAATTCAAGTACGACAAATATGAGAATGATAACTTTAGGAAGGAAAATCGGATTAAGAGAGACACATCGCACGTCAGACAAACGAACGAGACAAACAGACGGCAGAGAGGGAGGGAGGGAGAAGCATTCGTGTTTTTTCTTTTTCTTTCTCCCGCTCTCTTTTTCCTTTATGAGAGGGAGCGTGATATCTGGTTTTTTCACGCTTTAATATTAATGAGACGATTGAATTTAACGGTTCGATAGTACTATCCGTAAGATACAAGAGAGCTCGAGAGTTAAGGAAGGAAGGAAGGAAGGAAGGGAGGGACGAAGAGAGGATTGAACGCGAAGGTCGAGAGGGTATAAGTCTTTCCTGGTAGAAAAGAACAAAAAAAAGGATGGAGGGAGGCGGAGGATAATTATATTCGAACGCGTCCGTCTCGCGACTCTGAGAGCTACGACACATAGGCTATTATTCTGTCGTGTCATTAAGTGACGAAACTGAAATATCGCGACCAAGTTTCTACAGAGATATGTAAGGTATCTTGAGTCACAAAGACATTTAAGTCGATTAAGAAGAAAAAATAAAAAAAAATAAAGAGAATATTGCATCAAATATGTTAGCTATAACTTTTTACGGTCACATCGTATTTCGGCACAAGACGTATCGTTCGACATAGCCCGAACTATACGATCGCGAAGGGTTGAATCCCGAGGAAAAGCTTCCATAAAAGAATCAGAAACCTTGAATTCTTCTAATCTGAATGTGTATATCGTTAAATCTAGATGTTTCGTGTAGAAAAATGATCGCTGAAATTCAATCGTGTCACTGATTCTGATCTCGACTTACATTCGTCGCGTCTGTGTGTCGCAGCTCTGACAATTCGCGTCATCTTATGACGCATGTAAGAGTAAATATAAGAATTATACAAAACAAGAAACATAAGAGTTTAAGATAAAAACGTAGCTGATAATAATCATAGTTGTTAATTAACGTGCCGACGCGCGATTGGGTCGTCCCGAGGGAAGAAACGCGAGGTAGAATCTACACGACGAATCGATTGCGCGATTTAGTGACCGTCACCATCGCCACATTCATTCAATAAGAGTGTGTGTGTGTGTGTGTGTGTGTGTGTATTTTAAAAGGATACTTTAAGGGTTTCGGCATGTAACCGGCTAACATAGTACGTTACTTTTACTTCATTTGTTCGTAACAAAGGGGAGCGAGGGAAGGAGATAAGGGGTGAAGACCCGAGTGTTATAAATCCCCGTGGAATGCCCGATAAGGAATAATGGCGAGGTCATGCGATCTTCTCATTCGAGAGAAGACCGATGGATGCGGGACGAGAATCCGGGACGACCCATATTATCGGTCAACACTCATTGTGATACTGTAACGTACAAAATGGTTCGTCGCAAAATAAGCTGTGGGAGGCAAGGGAGAGATTTCGTGGGTTTATGAACAAAGAAACGACGATAGAGTTTTCAAGGTAACTGTGCGACGAGTTCACGGATGTTTGCGTTGTTAAGACACGAAGGGAATCGACAAGGTCGATCGGGTGGACCGGATGTCGTGTCGACGCTTTCAATAATTCCGTAAAATGTTTGTTTCTCCTATCACGCAGATAACGCAGCAATATTCGCCGATATATATTGCTTTCGTAAAACAGATTTGAATAGAATTGCGACATTCTACAAGTTATATAGCAAAATTTACGATGACACAAAAAAGATTCAATCTTTTATTTCTGGATATATGTATTCACATATTCTAAATTACTGCTACTCAATTATTTTAACAACGTGCCATTGAACTTTTAATTTTGAAATTTGGACATTTAATGGATAACGTTAGCACAGGACAATTGTAAAATTGTTCTATTAAAAGTAAACGTACAACTTCAAAGTTAAGAGTGAAATTTTATGCGAAGAAGTTTTGCTAAAAGCAGTTGAATTATGATAAATGCGTTGACAAATTCGGCAATGTTTTTAAGCGATTCTCCAAATCGATCCTTAATAATACTTTCCGACAAATATAAAAGACGATATTCAAGATTGCTTACAGTGATTGTAAACTTAAGTAAAGGATTCTTAAATCGGGCGCGGAAGAAGTAGTAAAAATTTTAATTTCGTTTTATTGCACAGTAAATTCATTTCTTGGTATTTCTCGTTCGTATTCTATCATATATGAATAATACTTACGAAAAGAGCATTTCATTAATTCTTAGCTTAATGTTGTTAATCTTTCGATCACGTAGCGAGGAGAAACTTGTTTAAAATTTTACGGAACTTTCTGTAAACTCTTCAATAGAAGATACAAAATTTGAACATGGAAAAAGTCTCCTTGAATTTTAATGAACACAAAGTATTGATATCGGAAACTTCGATTGTTTTACTTTTATATCTAGGGTTCTTCGCGATTCTTCTAAATTTTGTTCTAATTGTATTCTCGAAGTAAACGAACTAATTCTTGGCGAACGTTCGTGAATGTACAGAGATTAAAGGCACATGTGTGTGTGTGTGTGTATGTATATATATTTTAGCAAGTAATGCTTTCGCGTAAGAAAGATTCAAGATTTCTTTTAACAATTTTTTTATCTACATTTAGCTAATACGCTTTTTATGAAAAATTTTGGAGACACAGGGGTAACAATTAACATCGACATGATACTGTTTGCGCTGATACTTTTCCATACAATCAGGAATCATTGCTAATAGAATTCCGACGAGTTGAAATTCATACATGTAAAGCATGCAGTAAATAATTTTTATGTTCGCGAATAGTAAACGTGACACTTAAAAAAATTTTTTTGCGTCCCAATAACTTAGAAAATTGAACTCAGCGTATAATTATACTAGTTTTTGATTCTCATGACAGCAGATAAATCGAGCAATTGAGTTGATAAACTGCTTAACTCTTGCCACTTGTTTCGCCACTGTTAGCAATAATTTCAAAACTATTTTACGAAAGCGAATAGATCAATCGTACAGCAGCAGCATATATTTACATTGATTATTATTTCTATTTCTTTATCTATTTTCTTTTTTCTATTTTTTTTTTCTCTCGTTACTTTCGTTGGTTTTCTATGCAATTTCTATAGAAATTCCAAATCGGCAAAAAAGGAAAGAGATTTAAAGCTTTGCGAATCGTTGTCGCGCGACGCAGGTTGATTGAAGTGCGTAAGCAAAGATATTGAAGCTCATCGCCGAAGAGAGGGACTCATGTGTTCGAACAATTATCGAG